GTCCCATTTTAGGAAAATCTTAGAGGCACCAGAAACAGAGGACTGTGGACAGTTATTTTGTGAGACAGGGGTCCAATGACTCTCAAGCTGGTCCTAGTGGCATTAAAAGACAGAGAAGGAAAGTAACCCCATAGAGGGCTTTGATACCTGAAGTCCTCCTGGAGGGGGATTCTCCTTCCAAACACTAACCCCAACTCCCTCTCTCCTCTCTATCTTCCAGATGCCATCACCAATCTTCAATAAAGTAAAATGTTATTTTATATGTTTATTTAAATTTATTAATACATAATTGAACACTATATTTGTTGTGTGTATGTAAAACTATAATTAACCTCCATATAATGTATTTTTTTGGAGAATATTTTTGAGTTTCTGGAATGGGTTAATTGTATTTCCATTATTTCTTATTTGAAATATTGCTTCGCTTTTCAGACTTTTCGAATTTAGAACTAACCCCTGGAACAGATTAAGTTTGATATTTGAGGTTCCACTGTAATTTACACTATGTATGATAACTGTACTTATGTGTACCTGAGAGAGAGACAGAGACAGACAGATAGAGATAGACAGAGACAGACAGATAGAGATAGACAGAGACAGACAGATAGAGATAGACAGAGACAGACAGATAGAGATAGACAGAGACAGACAGATAGATACAGAGATATAGACAGATACAGACAGAGAGACAGCCAAAGTCAGTCAGCCAGCCAGCCAGCCAGCTGGCCTGCCAAATACGTATTACACGTTCCAGAATCATTTCTCTTTACTTAGGGCATAGATTATAGGACATTCTGGCAGGATGACACTACCAGTGGTATCAAAAATGAAAGGATGTTGCACAGATGTTACACATAGGTTATTATCGAGGTTTTTGATATTATCTCGACCACTTGTGACTACATCCATCTCAGAGCCACTAAACTCTGGGTCAACATCACTTTCCTCTTAAAATGGGTGTTAATATGACATGACATCAGTGAATCCCTGGTGTTTGCCATGCTATTTGCTCTAGCTGGCACTCAATTGAACTGGTGTTCCCACAAGGTACTAAGTGGTCCCAGATTTTTTTAATACTATGCACACCCGAGTGTTAAGACCCATTCTATACTGACCAGGCATCTCAGGCCAGTCGTGCCAAATTTGGAGGCAGGAAACATAAAACATTGATCTATATTTGAAGTGCTAGTGGTAATAACATAGATCTGTGTTTAGACAGTTTAAAGGTTAAATGATATCAAGAAACAGCCAGTAAAACCATAAAAACCATCCTGTATAACATCAAAGTTGCTGTTTTAAACCAAACACAAAAGTCAGAGTTTTGCTTTTCCCGTCATGTACTGCGTGGGGCAGGATTTTTTTTTTTATATATACTATGCACACTCATTGCACAGACCCATTCTCATATCTAGGCCAAAATTTACCACTCACAGCTTATCTAAGTTAGCTGAGCTTATGACGTCAAACTATGCAAGTCTCAGTACTTAGTTCTGTGTGACGGCCATTCTAAACATAAAAAAAAAAGCAGGGGTGCAATAAGTATAAAGAGTTAGAGAATTTTCAACCTCCTCCCTTCATATATAGGAGAAATTAACCACAGACCCATAACTCCTTTCAAGAAGGAACATAAAGAAATCCATTTAATTGTTCTTGCTCATTCTTTGTGATTCCAATGCTGGACTTCATACTGCAGCTATCACATCCTAGTTGATAAGACATGAAGTCTAGTCCAAGATTCTAAAACTCTTTAATGTTCTACCAACAATTACATAAATAAAATTTTACATGCTCAAAAAGGTAGAATTTCTTAATAATGAATTGGACTACTTAGTACAAGTGCTAGGTTGCTGGCAGCAACAGCATGGCTGGCCAGGCTGTCAGTAATGAAGTCTAGCCTCAGGCTGGGCTGTGAGTAGGATCCTTGAAACCAGTCACAGTAGGTTGCAAGTAATCCTTCCAGGCAAACTGCAGCTTTTGCAGTGACTCAGTGGAAATGCAACAATGACATCATAATATTGACATGGGTTTGGTACTATATTCATTACCTCAGTTTTTTGTTTTCCCCATTTTCTGTTCATTCATCACTGCATAGTTTTGCTATCATGTTTTGCATTAGCTGGTGTTAATGTATATTACACAGTGGTTCCCTGACTTAAGATGTCCTAACTTACAATATTATGTTTTTGCAACATTGGCACTTAAGAACTAACTAATGACTTAGGAACAAGGACTTGCTCTTCCACGATGCAGGAGTAGTTACAGCCACATTAGGCTGAGACAGCAGCAGTAGAAAATGGTGTTGTGGCCGTTAGTAAACATTGTTGCAAGACACAGTTCATTTTTGCATTCTAGCATTTGCTGTTTCCTAAAAATATAATTTTAAACATCACTAAACTGGTTTATCTTGACATCTGGGCATTCGGAAATCCAATGAATACATTTTAAATGAAATTATATGGTTGATTTCAATTACTGTCTTGTGCCAAATGGACAATTGGCCAGATGAAATTGAGCTGGGCTGATACATAGCTTGGACTAGGGGGAGAGGGAGGAGAGAGCAGTTGGGAGATACAGTATGTATTTACAGATTCACTTGATTTTTTAATAATACCTATTTGAATATCATTCTAAACTGCTTTATATTGACATTCAGGAGAAGGAGACACTAGAAAAAAACAAATTGAGTGGAGGAAATCCAATGAGAATATTTTGAACAGAACCCTATAGTTGATTTTCAAAGGAAAGTAGACACCCGCCCAGACAAAATATGACTAATTTTATTTATTTTTATCCTGTTCTACATGTTATAGTATTTACACTAAACAACATTTAGTACTGCATGTCTATGGGAAAATAGGTTTTGCATTCCAAACAAGAAACTTTTGATGAATTTTAAGGTATGCATTAACATTGTCAGTGAGTGCCTACACAAATTGGTTAAATGTCTTCAACTTATCCTAAACAGTATACAGTAGTATAAACTCAGTAGTGTTAAGATTGATTGCTGAGACATGGCTGTGGGGGTCAGTGATCCTCCAACCCCTCACCAGGGAATGATGGAAAGAAAAGAGTTCTTCATCTTAATTCAGTAAGAAATACAGTTCACTGGGAGATCAACACAAGATATATAAAATGCCTCGCTTGATTATGCAAAGAGTTCACCATTATTATTATAGGTTCATTTCAGTCTAAGAGCAAAAGAAGATGAAATTAGGGACCGTCATTTGTTTAAAAGGCAATACTCTAATACAGTACAATTAAAATCCAGATGTAAAAAGGCATGGAACTGATGCAAAAAAATATGAAAAAAAAAAATTTGGTAGAATGGGTTCAGTAAATCCTCATATTATGCAAAATCATATAATGTGATCATGCTGCAACAAGATTGAAAAAGTGCAACCAAAATTTTATAGTGCATTAGAAACTGCTGATATTATGCACCATAAAACATGAAGTCAGCATAGCATAAAGTTGTAGAAAATTCTGGGTGCTACATGCCATGGAAATTTTTCCTTTCCAGCCCAAGTTGGGGCCTAGTAATGGCTTGACAGAGCTCTTGGAGAGTGAAACATTGCCACAAAATGTCACTTTAGTTCCCCTTGTCCTTTTACCTAATATATTGTCAGTAATTTTACCAACATTATCACAACACTTCATCAGTATCATAGGCAATTCCATGTTATTAGTAAATTTGCAGACATTTTCACCTAAAAATATGCTGACACATCTAGAAGCATTGCTCAGAAGTGGAACAGCTGATAGCTTATTGACAGCTCTATGAAGTACTGCAAGAGAAACCAGAGAGTCATTATACTATACATGAGGACTGTAGTACAGCCATCAACTTTCAACAGTTCTGCATCCAAATCAACACAAGAACTGCAACCTTCCACCTTAGCCCAATAGGGCCACATCATCCCTCTCCACACACTTCCATGTCAACAAACAATGTCAACTAGAATGTAAGGTAAGATCAGCTATGTAGTCTCACCTAGTAAAATATTGAAAAGACATTTGGCAAACTTGGGGGTATCAGTAACATTTTTCTATTTTTCCGCATGTTCTTGTAATATAACACCATTTTTTCATAATGCACCAATTTTTAGGAACAATCCATGCATTTTGAGGTTTGCTATATGTACAAAGGAGTAGAACTTTAAGGAAAACATAGCAATAGTTTGAAAATTACCATGCCACGGAAGCTAAGGACTAGTAAAAACTTTCATAGTCCTTATAAAAAGAAAAATGTTTGTAAATGACCATGTGATTAGTAACAATAGTTGGGAAAACTAAAGTGCTCAATAAAAGACTCCATTAACAAATGACCAAGGATCACTGTCAGAACTGAGAGATGGAGCACCTTTCCAGGTGGTGACAGAAGGCAATGCAAAAGAAAAAAGTCATCTGACAAGTTGGATATGAGAGGAGTCAAGAAACTGAACAGCAATTTGTCCTGTATATGGTGTGAGTTGACATCGTAAGTAAGGCACCTAGGTAAGATTTGCAGTACCAACCAGACTGAGGATGGGAGAGATGCCAAACACCTGGAAAGCAGCCAATGCAGTATTAATATTTAAAGAAAGGAACAGACATGAAGTTTTAAACTATAGACATGCATCTCTACTCTGTAAAGTGATGGGAAAGATCCTGAGAATAAGGATGGTAAACTAGTACTTGAAAAATATGGGCTCTTACAGATGAAAAATACTCCTTCAGGGAAGTGAAATTATACATCATCCAAAAGGATTAAAATACAGTATCTGAAGTAACGCTTCAAAGGTACGGGTGGGTTGTTAACAATTGTAATATTACCATGTATATGAAGAATGACAATTCAATCGAGAGTATAAATTACTGAATTTATTCAGTGTATACTACCGGACATTAAAAAAGAAGAACTTATTTAATTTTGTGAATGTATAAAGAAATGTGCTCCTTTATTAAGTTAGAAATGCATGTATGGAAATCCTGCATATGCCATCAAATTTATTAAATTTCAGGTAAAAAAGGCACAGTAGACCTGGAGACTGATGCCCTGGTTAAAGTTATGAAACACCAGCCATCCATCCTCCAACAGATGTTAGCCACGGTTCTCAACATAATCATGTTTGAAGATTGTAGAAACCAGTGGAGCATGTCCCGTCCACTTCTACCACTCATCCTTTTAAATAATGAGGTACATAATTTTTTGTTTTATTTATTAGTTTTTATCTAAATTGCATATATGGGAAGGAATGTCATCAGTGAGTCATGTAACATGCATTTATTGTAGGCAACATTTCTGAGGAATGCCAAAGGTTAAGATAATGCTGTATATTTTGTAATAGTGGGGGAGGGAGGGGATGATAAGGCATTGGAGGATTAAGAAGGCAGGATATGTATGTAAACTATTAGATTAATTTGGTCTTTGTACCTATTTACTAATTTGGCTCTGCTCTGTAGTAGTTTGTCTTTAATATGGTGTTGAAACCTAGGATTGCTACATCCTCTAAGCATTTTTTTCTGTATTGGTCTTCCTCTTTGATGACTAACTAAATTATGCTCTAATCCAAGAAGTGAGCATGTTTCTGCCGATTATTCCACTTGCATCTGTATGTGGTTGCTGTAGTCTTAGTGCCTTGTTCTGCCTCTCATTCTGCTGCCTGCCAGATTCACTCCCTCCTGGTCTAGTGGACCTTATCATACCTCCTCTTTAAAACTACGTGTATATGGAGCCAGCCTCCACCTTTCTTCGTTGAGATCATTCCATTTCCTGACCACCCTGAGACTGAAGAAATACTTCCTGACATCCCTGTGGCTCATTTGTGTCTTTAACTTCCAGTCATGCCTCCTGAGTACCTCTTTTTCCAAACCTGTTCCTGTTTACCCTATCATTATCTGAGTATTTTGTATGTTGTTATCATGCCTCCTCTGGTTTTTGTCCTCCAGTGTTATTAGATTGTTCCATTAACCTCTCCTCATAGCTCATACCCCTTAGCTCTGGAATTAGTCTCATTGCATACTTCTACACTTTTTCAGGTTCCTTTAAATGCTTTTTTAAATGTAGGTTCTATGTTGGTGTTTTATATTCTAAGGGCCCTAAATAACTTGAAATTCCTGAAGGCACTCTTGGATTTGCCAAATGAGCATTAGCTGCATTAGTTATTTGTCAGTAATTCTACCAATATTAATACAGAAGTTATTTGGTTGATGTGAGCTTTTGGTGATGTATGTACTACATACATGTCTGTTATATCTAATTCATATGATATTTCACCAGCATAAAGCATGTTTCAACTCCAACATTGCTACCATGCTCATCTGGTGGCAAATTCAAAATTATCACAGGTTTATTGTAGGATTGGGGAAGAAAAAATTATACAATAAAGCATCTGAGAACTAGATGAAATAAAACTCATAATTTGTACCGACTTAAGTACGAGTAGAAGAAAAAAATGTCAACTACAGGACAGTTTTTACACTGGCACCACAGCTTTGCAATTTGACAAGAGGAAATTAACAGAAGTGTATGTTTCAAGCATCGATCTGCAAAAACTACCCATCATAGTTTTACAGTTTTGGAGACTGCAAGTGGTATCCTTAGGTCAGAAAGTACTGACAGTGTCAGGAATTTAAAAAAGAATCTGAAGTGGTAGAGAATCTTTCTGAAGTTAATAACACCGAAAATATGAAATTTGATAGAAAACTTGTGGAATTGTGCAGGCATAAAGTTTGCAGCCTGGGCATAATTTACACATTGGTGATTTGCCAACTTTGAGTCCTATTTTAAATCAGTTTCATTGCTCAATTCAACCAAATTCTTAGCTATTTTGCTAATGTGCCTTCCTTTCTATCGTTTGAGCACAAGACACCATTCATTCAACTGTTACGAAACTACCCTATAAACTGCACAGATGTTGGTAATTTGACCAGTTTTACATAAATTAAAAAAACTTATTTAAAGAGATAAAAATAAACACTGTAGACATTCCAGGCACTAAAGCAACATTTCCTCTGTTCATTAATCATATCCCCAAGCCTCTCCTATATTACACTTGCCCTCCACTTTGCATTCATCACCACACAAAAAAAAAACAAAAGTTTTATCTTATTTCTCAGATAAAATATAACCATTGATTTGGTCATGGTTGAGGGGCATTCCAACAATTGAATCAGACCTAGTAAAAACCCATAAAACAGACCAGGGGGAAGGAGGTCTTGCATGTCCTCGGGAAAATCGTCAAAAATATGTGTGCTCTTTTTTAAACCCGATTTGAAACTACCACTGCTAGCTTTTTTATTTCAGTAGTATGTCTTCCATTCTATCAATTAATATCAAGAAACAGCCAATACAACCATAAAAGCCATCCTAGAAAACACCTCAAGTTTGATGTTGTACACCAAACACCAGGTCAGAGGTTCACTTTTTCTGTCATCTGTTTTGGGCAGGATTTTTTTTTATAACATGCATGCTTACTGCACAGATCTATTCTCTCATGTCTAGGCCAAGATTTATTGCTCACAGCATATTTGAAGGCACTGTGCTCAAAACGTAGATCTACACGAGTGATGTTGGCATCAATAACGTAGATCTACATAACAGACAGTGAGAAGGCTAATTATGGCTCCTCAAAGAATATACACATTGAGTGCCAGTTGCCTACAAAGCAATTTTGACAAGAAAAAAAGCTTGCTGAAACATTCAGATATGGAAAATAAAATAAATGAAAGTAAAAAATACAGTAATAATGACTGTGAAGGTTTTACAAAAATATTATGGACATAAATAATAAAAGGTTGATTTAAATTAGAAAGGATAGAAAAATATAATCAGTGAGCTTAAAACAAAAAAATGCTAAACTAAAATGTCAGGTCAAGATAAGAGTTGGTTGTAAAAAAAAAAAAAAAATGAGAGAATGTAAGCCATACAATATAAATTCAGAGATGAAAGATACTGGACATTCATGCAAAATGAGAACGTAACCAAGCAATGATACTTGAGGTAACAGAAAGAACCACTATGGTAAACAAGTACTCAAGCACTAAGATAATAAAAAAATACAAATTCTGTAATCATAAGTAATTTTAAGAAACTGAACAGAGACTAGGATTGTTTCTGGCTTTGTGGAGAAGCCAGCATATAAAACGTTGGAAGAAATCAACAAGAAATCAGTATGATAAAAAATGCATAGATGATTTCAACAGTAAGAAGCACATAGGATATACCCTAGAAGAGTAGGAAAATAAGAGAAAGACAGGAAAATGGCTGCAGTCATAAAAGAAGAAGACAGATATAAATGTATAAGGAAATGCTTATAGGCTGTAGAAATCCAGGGTAAAATGCAACATGAGAAGTACTGACAAGTTGATGAATAAGACGTGTCTTTATTGCAGATGGCAATGTAAAAGTTGTTTAATACTGCTAGCCATTAAAAAATTCCTGCTAGGCAGTGTGACAAGTAAATGTGATAAAAAAAAAAAAAAGGGCACATTTAATCCTTTTCCATGCTTTCATAACTTTCCACACCTAATCCCCTCTTTGCTCATTTTCACTGTGACTGGATACTTAAGCTCATTTATGGTGACTGTTTTTCATGATAGTTTGTCTGAATGCTAAAGTAGGAGAAACTTTTAGAGAGGGTGTGGTAGGTAAGTTTGGGGTGCCAGGTGTAAATGATAATGGGAGCCCTTTGATTGAACTTTGTATAGAAAGGGGTTTAGTTATAGGTAATACATATTTTAAGAAAAAGAGGATAAATAAGTATACACGATATGATGTAGGGCAAAATGACAGTAGTTTGTTGGATTATGTATTGGTAGATAAAAGACTGTTGAGTAGACTTCAGGATGTACATGTTTATAGAGGGGCCACAGATATATCAGATCACTTTCTAGTTTGTAGCTACACTGAGAGTAAAAGGTAGATGGGATACAAGGAGAATAGAAGCATCAGGGAAGAGAGAGGTGAAGGTTTATAAACTAAAAGAGGAGGCAGTTAGGGTAAGATATAAACAGCTATTGGAGGATAGATGGGCTAATGAGAGCATAGGCAATGGGGTCGAAGAGGTATGGGGTAGGTTTAAAAATGTAGTGTTAGAGTGTTCAGCAGAAGTTTGTGGTTACAGGTAAGTGGGTGCAGGAGGGAAGAGGAGCGATTGGTGGAATGATGATGTAAAGAGAGTAGTAAGGGAGAAAAAGTTAGCATATGAGAAGTTTTTACAAAGTAGAAGTGATGCAAGGAGGGAAGAGTATATGGAGAAAAAGAGAGAGGTTAAGAGAGTGGTGAAGCAATGTAAAAAGAGAGCAAATGAGAGAGTGGGTGAGATGTTATCAACAAATTTTGTTGAAAATAAGAAAAAGTTTTGGAGTGAGATTAACAAGTTAAGAAAGCCTAGAGAACAAATGGATTTGTCAGTTAAAAATAGGAGAGGAGAGTTATTAAATGGAGAGTTAGAGGTATTGGGAAGATGGAGGGAATATTTTGAGGATTGTTAAATGTTGATGAAGATAGGGAAGCTGTGATTTCGTGTATAGGGCAAGGAGGAATAACATCTTGTAGGAGTGAGGAAGAGCCAGTTGTGAGTGTGGGGAAGTTCGTGAGGCAGTAGGTAAAATGAAAGGGGGTAAGGCAGCCGGGATTGATGGGATAAAGATAGAAATGTTAAAAGCAGGTGGGGATATAGTTTTGGAGTGGTTGGTGCAATTATTTAATAAATGTATGGAAGAGGGTAAGGTACCTAGGGATTGGCAGAGAGCATGCATAGTTCCTTTGTAATAAAGGCAAAGGGGATAAAAGAGAGTGCAAAAATTATAGGGGGATAAGTCTGTTGAGTGTACCTGGTAAAGTGTATGGTAGAGTTATAATTGAAAGAATTAAGAGTAAGACGGAGAATAGGATAGCAGATGAACAAGGAGGCTTTAGGAAAGGTAGGGGGTGTGTGGACCAGGTGTTTACAGTGAAACATATAAGTGAACAGTATTTAGATAAGGCTAAAGAGGTCTTTGTGGCATTTATGGATTGGGAAAAGGCGTATGACAGGGTGGATAGGGGGGCAATGTGGCAGATGTTGCAAGTGTATGGTGTAGGAGGTAGGTTACTGAAAGCAGTGAAGAGTTTTTACGAGGATAGTGAGGCTCAAGTTAGAGTATGTAGGAAAGAGGGAAATTTTTTCCCAGTAAAAGTAGGCCTTAGACAAGGATGTGTGATGTCACCGTGGTTGTTTAATATATTTATAGATGGGGTTGTAAGAGAAGTAAATGCGAGGGTCTTGGCAAGAGGCGTGGAGTTAAAAGATAAAGAATCACACACAAAGTGGGAGTTGTCACAGCTGCTCTTTGCTGATGACACTGTGCTCTTGGGAGATTCTGAAGAGAAGCTGCAGAGATTGGTGGATGAATTTGGTAGGGTGTGCAAAAGAAGAAAATTAAAGGTGAATACAGGAAAGAGTAAGGTTATGAGGATAACAAAAAGATTAGGTGATGAAAGATTGAATATCAGATTGGAGGGAGAGAGTATGGAGGAGGTGAACGTATTCAGATATTTGGGAGTGGACGTGTCAGCGGATGGGTCTATGAAAGATGAGGTGAATCATAGAATTGATGAGGGAAAAAGAGTGAGTGGTGCACTTAGGAGTCTGTGGAGACAAAGAACTTTGTCCTTGGAGGCAAAGAGGGGAATGTATGAGAGTATAGTTTTACCAACGCTCTTATATGGGTGTGAAGCGTGGGTGATGAATGTTGCAGCGAGGAGAAGGCTGGAGGCAGTGGAGATGTCATGTCTGAGGGCAATGTGTGGTGTGAATATAATGCAGAGAATTCGTAGTTTGGAAGTTAGGAGGAGGTGCGGGATTACCAAAACTGTTGTCCAGAGGGCTGAGGAAGGGTTGTTGAGGTGGTTCGGACATGTAGAGAGAATGGAGCGAAACAGAATGACTTCAAGAGTGTATCAGTCTGTAGTGGAAGGAAGGCGGGGTAGGGGACGGCCTAGGAAGGGTTGGAGGGAGGGGGTAAAGGAGGTTTTGTGTGCGAGGGGCTTGGACTTCCAGCAGGCATGCGTGAGCGTGTTTGATAGGAGTGAATGGAGACAAATGGTTTTTAATACTTGACGTGCTGTTGGAGTGTGAGCAAAGTAACATTTATGAAGGGATTCAGGGAAACCGGCAGGCCGGACTTGAGTCCTGGAGATGGGAAGTACAGTGCCTGCACTCTGAAGGAGGGGTGTTAATGTTGCAGTTTAAAAACTGTAGTGTAAAGCACCCTTCTGGCAAGACAGTGATGGAGTGAATGATGGTGAAAGTTTTTCTTTTTCGGGCCACCCTGCCTTGGTGGGAATCGGCCAGTGTGATAAAAAAAAAAAAAAAAAAAAAAATTGTCTGGTGTGTTTATGTTTACAATAAAGGCTTGTCTTTGTGGTGCTTTTATTCACATCTTAAACTGAACAGTAGAACTTTCCATGCCATTCATGGGCTGGAACAAATCCTTGTGCAATTGAAGTTGCATGCTTTGCACTCTCTTCATCCTAACATTATTTTCTGTGAGGGACCCCTTGGAGTAGTCCACTTGGAGCATGCCATGCCACATTCACACTGATACTCTGCTTTCCTTACACCTTTGCTTTTGTTCTTCTACTAAGAAATAACTACAGTTAAATATTGTAGGATGCATTCAAGGGGTGGTAGTACTTTTTTCCTTTCATAGGGGTGGAATTTGACATGAACCAAGGTAGGATAATAGCTCTTTACCATTAAATTAAAAAAAAAATATATACTTTTTTTTAAGCTCGTCAAGTCCCAAAACCCATTCATCTACACTCCTATCTAATATGCTCACATGCAACTGCTGTATGTCCAAACCTCTTGCCCACAAAACCTCCTTTACCCCCGCCCCCCTCCCTCCATCCTTTCCTAGGATGACCCCTACCCTGCCATCCCTCCACTATATTTATTCCCACCAAGGCAGAGTAACCCAAAAAAAGAAAAACATTCTCACCATCATTCAAATATAATCACTGTCTTTGCAGAGGTATGCAGATACTACAGTTCAGATATCACTCCAAACAGCAAATTTCATGTGTATTATAATATAAACATTATTACTCCCTTCCCTTCCCCACACGCACACACAAAATAAGTATTTCTTGAATCTTTTGTGGCAGAGGCTTCTGCTTACTTTTTTTGTGTTCTATGATTTATACAAATCATTTAATTTGATTTTTTTATTAGTATTTTGGCCAACTGAGACAACAGATCATCAGCCAGCAAGCACCGGACAAACAAGGAGCAATGGCACAGTGGTTTGACAGCCTTATGGAAGGTATTGAACCCAATCTTCTCACCAAAAATAGAGACAAGTAAGTTTTATTTTTCATACAGTATTATGAAACCCTCGATTGATAGTTATCTTTTTATACTATATCCATTAGGCACGTGTATTTTATGAATATTTATTTTATTACCTTAATGGCCAATTCTCGCCAAGGCAGGTGACCCAAAGAAGAAAACACATTCACTATCATTCATTCAGTTGCTGGCTTGCCAGAAGTGTTCTGACATTACAATTCAGATTACCCTCCGACAGCAACATTCCCACACCTTCTGAACTCGAATCCAGCTAACTGGCTTCCCTGAATTCCTGCTCGCACTCCAACATCACATCCATTAAAAACCACCTGTCCCCATTCACTCCTCTAACCTGTTCATAAAAGCCTGCTGGATGCTCAAACTCCTAAAACTCAAAGCCTCCTTTACCCCTTCTCCCTCCAACAGTTCTTGGGACGACTTCTACCCCTCCTACCTTCCACCCTAGACTTGTACACCCTTTTTATCATCTTATTCCTCTCCATCCTTTGTACATGCCCAAACCACCTCAACAAAACCTCATCCCTTTGAATTATATCCTTAGTGACCCCCACATCTTTTTTATTCCTTTGCTTCATATTCTTTGCATGCTATTCACATCACCCTCAAAAAAGACATCTTCCCTGCCTCTGTCCACCTTGCTGCATGCAAGTGTTGGTCCTACCATACTCTGGAACATTTCTCTTTCTCCCCCCCCCTTCCCTTCCATAGATACTTTCCTTGGGTATCTAAACTAATTACATTAAGAGTGAGAGGTGAAGGGCTCCTGATCAAAGGATTTGGAGCTACCAGCTATTTCCTTGGATTATACCTAACTGCCTCCAAGCACTCTATAATCCAGCATAGGGTTAGCACTTCCCATAAATTTAATACTGAATGCAGTTGGCATGGTGCATTCATAGATAGTTGGACCGAGGTGGTGTGTCAACATGTTCTGGAAAAGTTATTACTAAAGTAGCCATTTTATTAAATATGATGATTCACCTACAAAAAGGCTTCTTCACTCACCCCTTCATTGTTGAAACCTCCAAAATTAAAAGAACTTACAGTGTTGTGAATTAAAACAAAAAATATCTTTTGAAATGGTAGATAATCTATTACTGAAGGTAATATCACCAAAAATGGAGAACTTTTATTGTTATGCAGACGTGATATTGGCGATCTAGGTACAATTTATGCATCAGCAATTTTGTCCCCTCTGAGGCCTATTTAGAGCAATTACATTGCTCAGTTTGACCCAGTTACTAGCTGTTTTGCCAGTGTGCTTTCTGTTCTGTTAATTGAGCATGAGAAACTGCCTGTTCAGCTTATCAGAACTACCCTACATAAGAGTGCACAATGTTGGTAATTTGGGCAGTTTTTCACAAAATTCAATATATTCCAGGTAAAGAAGGGCCAAAATAAACACTAGGCATTCCAATCAATAAAGTACCCTTTCCTCCATTCATTAATCACATCTCTAGGTCTCTTCGGTATAATACTTTCCTTCCATTTTTAATCCACCACTGTTAAAAAAAATTAACCCTGTTTCTCGTATAATATAACCAAGAATGTTTGGTCATGATTTAGGTTATCCCTGTAATTGAAGCAGACCTACTAAAAGGCCATACAACAAAGCAGGGAGGGGGCCTACCCATCCTCAGGAAGACTGCTAAAAATCAAATATTTTCACCACTTTGAGGCCTGTTTCAAGCTACTTCTGGTCTGAAACTGGCTAAATTTCTCTTTGTTTTGCAAGTATGTCTTCCACTCTTATTAAATTGATACTAAGAAGCATCCAATAAATCCATAAAAACAACCCTGGAAAACACCTCAAGATAAGATTTGCTTTTCCTATCATGTACTGCATGGGAGCAGAATTCTTTTTATACTCTTTACACTCACTGCAGAGACCCATTCTCTCATGGGTAGGTCAAAATTTACCACTCATCATCACTAACAACATAGATCTATGTGGGAGGCAGTGAAAGGGGTTAAGTACAATTCTTTATAAAGTCTCTCCCTCTCTCTATATATCTCTCTCTCTCTATCTCTCTATATCTCTCTCTCTCTCTCTATCTCTCTCTCTTTCTCTCTCTCTCTCTCTCTCTCTCTCTCTCTCTCTCATCTCTCTCTCTATCTCTCTCTCTATCTATCTCTCTCTCTCTCTCTCTCTTGATGTATTAATGCTTTTGTAGCCATTCATATCCTTTCTGGTGAAGGGAAAGATTGTTCACCACATGATATAAATTGTGAATTTTGTCACATAGTTTATAAATAAAGTTTCAACCAAGGTGACTTAAGTACAGGTCTCCCTCAACATTCACGAGGGTTAGGGGATCAAGAGCCTCGCAAATGTTTGGTGCCCCAATATATTGTAGGGAAATATAATACAATACTTCTTCCTTAACTTGTCGAACCATGAACAATCATAAAATACATGAAAACGTCGTAAATTGTACTAAATACATACATTAGGGCTTAATAACATGTATGTTATTAAATACCACTGCCTCCACCACTGCGAGTCCCTACTACCCTCCCTCTGACCCCCCACAACTGGCAACCAGCCCTCCCACCACTGTGTGGTGAGTGTTTTGTTTGTTCATTATTTGCTATTAAACTACAGTATAAATAATGTCAACCCATTTATGACTGCATATTAGAATGGCTATTCGGACAGGTATTGGAAGGTGACATCATGTGTTTACTCTTGAACACAGCAAAGAATCAAACATTTGTGCTACTGCTAATAATAATAATAATAATAATAAATACGATAGAATTGAAGGAAATTGTACAAAAATACGAGGGTTGAAGCAGTGGTGGAGGAAGTGGTTGACGCATCGTCAGTGTGGCTTTGTTTATGCTGGAGTGAGTATTAGTCTCCGTGCTCTTCCAAACATTTCACAATAATTTATTGTATTTGGTGCTTGTAGATTGAGTGTGACTGGAGTGGTTGAGGCAGTGGGTGAGGCAGTTATAGAGGCAGTGGTACAGGCAGTGATAGAGGCAGTGGGTGAGGCAGTGGTATTTACTAACATATACGTTATAAATAATAATAGTACATGTTAATATTAATAACATTTATAATAATAATAATAATAATAATTGTTATTCATAATGTACTATTATTATTTATAACATATATGTTAGTAAATATCACTGCCTCTACCACTGCCTCAACCGCTGCTTCTACCACTGCCTCTACCACTGCCTCTATAACTGCCTCTACCACTGCCTCTACCACTGCCTCTATAACTGCTTCTACCAACCATACCCCCGGCCGGGATTGAACCCGCGGTCATAGAGTCTCAAAACTCCAGCCCGTCGCGTTAGCCACTAGATCAGCTAGCCACAATAAGATTCATCCAACTAGGTATATTTCTACACCATAGGAAAGTTAGCACAGGCACCTCTGTGACCACAAATGCAAGTTTTTACAGACGAATCTCCAGCTAGCGTGGCCGTGACGAACTCTAGCTCAAGTCCCTTCACTGCCGTCAACATGACAGTTTTGAGACTCTATGACCGCGGGTTCAATCCCGGCCGGGGGTATGGTTTATTTGCAATCGTGTCATTACGATTTCTTAAGTCATGCTTCTACCACTGCCTCTATAACTGCTTCTACCACTGCCTCTATAACTGCCTCTACCACTACCTCTACCACTGCCTCTATAACTGCTTCTACCACTGCCTCTATAACTGCTTCTACCACTGCCTCTATAACTGCCTCAACCACTCCAGTCACACTCAATCTACAAGCACCAAATACAATGAATTATTGTGAAATGTTTGGAAGAGCACGGAGACTAATACTCACTCCAGCATAAACAAAGCCACACTGACGATGCGTCAACCACTTCCTCCACCACTGCTTCAACCCTCGTATTTGTACAATTTCCTTTTCAATTCTCGTATTTATTATTATTATTTTTATTATTATATTATATTAACATTCTTATATTTATATTATTATTATATAATTATTATATTATTATTATTATTATTATTATTATTATTAGCAGTAGCAGAAATGTTTGATTCTTTGCTGTGTTCAAGAGTGAACACATGATGTCACCTTCCAATACCTGTCTGAATAGCCATTCTAATATGCAGTCATGGATGGGTTTACATTATTTATACTGTAGTTTAATAGCAAATAAACAAACAAAGCACTCACCACACAGTGGTGGGAGGGCTGGCTGCCAGTTGCAGGGGTCGGAGGGAGGGTAGTAAGGACTCATGGCGGTAAACTTAAATATGATTTGGCGGCTGGGAATCTGGCGGTTGGGAATTCGCGAATGTGTGAAGCCCGCGAAAGTTGAAAACGCGAATGTTGAGGGAGACCTGTATAAATTAGCTGACTTTAGCATGTGATTACAAAACCTCAGTACATGAGACAGTTATCAAAATAATTTTATAGCAAACATCAAAATTTGGTTGACTGAACTTTTTTTTTTTTTCTTCTTTTATATTTTGAGACCAAATGTTATGACACTTATTTGTGCATATTTTGATGACAGATTTGCTTGAAAAACAAGCATTACACATTGCTTGGTCACAGCAGAAGCTTTTGTTCAAAGGATTATATGTTCTAGTGCATTATTATTATAATCAAGAGGGAAGCGCTAAACCCGGAGGATTATACAGCGCCTGGGGGGGGGATGTGGAAGGCATTCAGGCTTAATTCGGGGAACTGGAGCACAGATCCAATTCCCTAAATCAAGAGCCCCTCACCAACTGTTCTAGTGCAAATGGTATAAATAATGGATTATGCATTGGTCAATCAGTTAGCACAAGTGGAAATTCACTATATAATGTAGTTTTGTCAATTTCTTTTGCAGATTTACACAGAATTTGTCAGTTTTCCGTCGTGATATAAATGACTCTCTGAAGGGACCAGTAACTAGTAGTGGTGGAGGTAGTGGGAGTGAAATGATGACATCGTGACGTCAACACTACCACCAAAATGGTCTCCACTGCAACCCACACCATAACACCAACTACCACCGTCGTCGCTGCTATTCTCTCTCCACCACAACCACATTTACTGATTCTGCGATGACTAACACTACCATTAATGTTATGGCAGATTCCAGTGGCAATCATTATGCTCCTATGTGGTTGACATAGTTATGACATTATGGAGTCACTTTGACTTTGCCAGTTTTGAATCATATTTTGTAATTAGGGAAGTTTTGCAAATTAAAGGTTACTTTTTTGTACAGAAATGACAAATGGGACCTGACAAAACAATAGTAGCATTATGTGTTTTTCTTAATTTAGAATCATCACAGTCTCACCTAAGGAATCCTATAATGTCTGTCCATGGTAGAAAGTGTGGTATATCCATGTGCATCCTGACCTGAGCAAATATACTGTGCCTCCAGGTGCTTCACCAGGAAGAACAATAGCCAGTGCTTGTGTATTGAGCCACCTATACTAAATTTCCAGGTATAATGAATGTACATTTTCTCTTGAATTCATTTGCCTGTGAAAATGGTATGGGTTATCACTTTAGGAAAGAGTACAGTGATATGTGAAGCATAAAATTAGCTTAAGAAAAAAATGTACCCCTTTTAAAAAGTAATCTTCATGGGAGACTTATTAGGTCAGCTAAGTCTTAGGATATGTGAGCAAAAGATTGGTTATGCAAGTCATGCCATCAGGAGAAGGATGCAGTCAGAAGTAAAGTTTTATTAATTCTTTTGTTAATTTTGGCTATTTTAAGAGCATAATTTAATTATTGATGTTTTAACAACTTAAATAATGTGTTTGTTATGCAGAAACAATGTCAGGAGGTGGTACATTAGATTAGCTTTCATTTTTAATTTGAATTACTAGATAATGAGGATGTCATAAAAGTAATCCTCTGTTAAAATGGATATGTTTAACCACAGCAAGCTGGTTAGTGTTGCTTAAAGTATAGAATTGGTCATTTTTAGCCAGTTCACCCATCTCATACAACATCAGTGCTCGTGTTTCACAATTTTCATCTTGTCATTAGAAAAATTCACATTTTTTCAAACCTGTAAATTTGATTTTATGTACATAATCTAAAAGAATTGTGCTAGAGTTCTCTTTTTACATTGCTAGAAGTTATTTGCAAGTTAGTGTATACCTCATTCACAGACTCTCCTGACCAGATATGCAAGAATGTTTCAGTAAGAATATAGAGGTTTGCACTTTGCCAGGTCTTTCAAATTAAATGCGAGCCTCTTCATATACAAGGAGAGCAGATGTAAGTACCTATCAGCCAGTATATGTCCCAGCCCATATATACTGAAGGAGACTTGTACAATGTTTCTGTGATGGAATGACATATTGTTTAAATAAAAGGACAAAGTTTATGTTGCTTTTAATATACTATATAGTATAAAGCTTTTATTTAGATATCTCAAGATATAGTAATTTTTTTTTTCAGTTGTACTCTCCATCTAGTTGACTGTAAGAGGCAGGTCCATCAAGCCTTGATGCCAGTGAGGTGCTCTTGATCCAGGGAACTGGACTTGCCTTTTCCTTCCTTAGATCAAACCAAAATGCCTCATTCCCCAAGTGTATAATGACCCCTACAGGTTTAGCACTAAAGATTCAAAATGAAGGTAGAACCACCCATGAAATTGGTCCCAGATATGTAGAAATTTTTAAAAGGGGTTAGCACAGTGGTGTGATCAAATTATCAAAGACATATTTATGTGGAATTATGACACATTACTGAAACTGGGGGAGAAAGCCTAGTTCACAGCTTCCCCATAGTGTATATTGTGTTCATTTTGTGTGCTAAACCTGAATTGCATCATAGTGCTGAATAACTAGTTATATAAAAAAAAGTGTAGTACAAGTGGGTTTTCAGTTTCGAAATTTTGATCCACATCACTGATGTAATGAATTTGTTCTTACAGTTGTCAGTGTGACAAAAAGACAAATGCAGCTTCCATGAGCAACAATACAATCCATGTAACTCACAGCTTACTTTTAGTGCAGCATAGTGGATTGATTTTTTCCATTTTACATGTTCATCAGTAAAACAGAACTAACAATACTGTTTATTCCTAAAAAAAAATTCTGTGGCATTTGGTGCTTAAAATAGCAAATGCATTGCAAATGTCAAGAATGGGAATGCAACTGGGTATTCAGATTTTGAACAAGGTTACATTTGCAAACACACTACTGGATCACCAGACGATCAGCTGTTGATTCGTCATTTTCTATGTAATTGTCTTCAGCTAACTGTCTAAAGTGTGCTGAATTTTTGAAAACTGAATAAAGTGTGAACAGCACATGTAAAGACTGAATTCTACTCTTGTAAACTGGAATATCCAAGGTAGCTGAAAAATATGAATAGTGATTAGCATCATAACCTTAACAAGAAATAAACAGTGATTAGAAAATATTTGTGAAAATAAATTTGTGATCTTGGTACATTATTTCAGGAATTTGTTTGGGACCCATGAACTACCTGAAATAGCACCCCTGATGGCAATTCCTTTCTGCAGTGGAGAATTATGATAGTTGTGCCTTCATCTTCACTGATGAGGCTTTTCCTCACCAAGGTGGCTATAGCCTGCAAGGGCTTAACCAGTGCCTCCTCTTAAAGGAAGATAATGGACCTTTTGTCTACTAACTTGGACCAAACTTGATTACCCCCACCCCTGCTTTACCATCTCGCCTCCTTTCTCCATGGAAATTATAGCTCTTAGGTTGAGGAAGGAGAATTGTTGTCCATCCCATTCTGTTGAGGCCCTTGATAGTGGTGTGTGTAATGGAATCTGGGTAATCTAGGAATGTGTAATCTGGAATTCCAGCGGGGGCATTGGGTGCCCTCAAGGTGACAAGTGTATCTCTGGAGGGTGCCTGTCAGTTCCAGGAGGTGGCAACCCATGGGGGGTATGCCTCTTTTGTCTGCCAAGGTGGCTCAGTGAATATGTAGGATGCTATCCTGAAATGCTTGCTTACTGGCAAAGGGAGGTTAGAGAGTGCATTCCATGCAGCATCTGTACTACGTGAAGCATCAAGGGAAATCTTGGACACACAGAGATGTATGCTCTCTTTGTTTCCCCTTGGAGCTATCCTCCCCACACTTCACTTCCTCTCCCCCCCCCCCCTTTTTTTTTTTTAGAAAAAAAAAAATACTCATTGTAGACACATTCATGAACTTCCTCCTCCCAGGCCCCTTCCATTTTTTAGCAGCATCCTCACATGACCTTTCCAAGAACCCATTACCACTGTAGGATAGCACCTTGTTGCCTGACTAAGGTACTGATGTTCCATGACCCTTTCAATACGTCTGACCTTTGCTTGACCTTGGCCATGATTCCAGTTTTTCCTCCTATGGTGCATCAATTTTGGATCATTCGCACATCAAAAGACAACCCAACCCCAGACCCCCATCCAAGCAACCTTGACTGTAACTGATGAGGCCAACTCTGTTGAGCCAATTATTTTTGAGAATAAGAACAACCTGTAATACCTGTATACTCTGTAATAAACGATAATTTACAACCAACACCTGCAATCCTGTATGACCCTTGTCGGTTTAGTGTTTTCTTTGATTATAATAATATTAATACAACCAACACCTCTGAATTATCTTTCTGACCAATAGTATCAGCAAAGCACTCTTGCAGCATGTTGGGCAAAACATTTCATGTACAAAACACTGAGTTAACCTGCAATCTTTTCTCAATTCTTGCTTTGAAACTGTTCGCCTTCTGCACATCATCAGTCACTTAGACTTTCTAATGAGTGCAGACATTATGGAGCAACTCAAGTTCTGGGACCTTCAAATTCTTAAGACACTTTTGTCTTTCCTGCCTGGGGTTGGAGATTTCTATCTTTGGCAATGTGTGGATGACACAGCAATCCTCCTTGCAGCTGACCTCCCACTTGCCTTAACTGCAAAGAGGCATATTCTGCATATTCTCGCTGTTGCCCAGTTTTCTTAAGAGAAAGGTAGATCCAGTGTCTAAAGGAAAAAGTGGGGTTTCTCTTATGCCATGGCAGTTTTTCCATCTCCGACTTCAAGGGACACTCCCACCACTTTCCTACACTAAGGTTGCTAGACGGCCTCAAACCTCTGTTGAACCTACTTCCACAGTCACCTCTGTGTCCACTCGATATGCAGTCCTTGCCTCGGATGTTTCTACCTCATTGTCTACTACTGTCCTTTATCTCATTCACGTGTTTCTCCATCTGCATGGCCTCTCCTGACTAAATCATCTTGTCTTCCCTCACCTCCATCGTCCAAAACATCTCTGAAACTCAAAACTACTCTTGCCCCTAATCTGCATATCGTTCCCCCACAGTTTACTTTTAATGACTCTGAGTCTAGTCCCTTGCCTCATATTACACTGGTTACCTTCGTGGAAGTTCATCCACCCCTATGTAAGGTCCCCACTCAAAGTATTTTTCCACCTAAATACCTCTAACCTCTCGATATCTTCCCCTTCTTTGGCAACTACTGATGTCTCTCCAATTGTTACTCAGTCTATATCTTCTGACTGACATCATGCTTCTTGCAGATTCCTTGTCAGATAAAACAACTGAAGCCACCTCTGCATTTACCGAGTCAAAACTGATGATGGACACTGACCCACCTTCTACATTTATTTCCACACATCTGTCTTCTCAGAATTCCCATACTTCGCTTCTCGCTAATTTCCCACTACCCCTATATGTCAACTTCACAGACCTTGTAATAAAGTTGGTAGAATTACCGACAATATGTAAAGTAAAAGGACACAAGTGCAACTAATGTGACATTTAATTGTGGCAACGTTTCGCTCTCCAGGAGCTTCATCAAGCCATTACCGTAATGGCTTGATAAAGCTCCTGGAGAGCGAAACGTTGCCACAATTAAATGTCACATTAGTTGCACTTGTGTCCTTTTATTTCACAGACCTTCCTAGTCCATGGATGGTTCTTGCTTACTGTACTGTTGTACTCCTAATCACATTATTATTATAATCATAGGGGAGCACTAAACCCATAGGATTATACAGCACCTGTGGGGGGAGAGGGGAAGGCATTCAGGTTCAATTCAGGGAACTGGAGCACAGATACAATTCCCTAGATCAAGAGTCGCTCACCAGCTTCAAGGAACATTCCTTGAAGGGTACTCCTAATCCCACATCATGGCCTTCTTACAGTGGAATATTACAACACTCGGAAATTAAGGGGAGCATTGGGTATTGGTCTTCCAGTTTTTACCTGTATGTTTGTTTACAAAAGTTAAAGTGTGCTCTGCTGTTGTCCTTCCCATCTCAGGCTGTTTTGTGTTCACCAGATCCTTTTCCCAATCAAACAATGAAAGTGCACTTCTTATGTGCATTGGTATACGAGCTGTGTGGCAGTCATTCTTCAGTTGGTCTTCCTTACAAAATCCCTTGAGGAGTATGTAGAAGACATTATCAGTCAACTCAAATTTCAAGAGTGTCCTAGCTCCAAAGTGGAGATGATCATTCAGCCCCATAGTCCATAATTCAAGTCAGCTGTTCCTAATCAGACTATAGTGACTACTCCTGTGAGCCTCTGCAGCTGACAACTTGAACAAGGAAGCACAGATGTAAAGAGCTACCAAAAGGTAGGTAGCTATTCCAAGAGTGGTTCATGGAATGTTTCATATGTAGTTTTCTTAACTTAAAATGCATTCTTTCCCATGATGGAAAATTAAGATTTATATCTTCATGATTAAAACAAAGTCTACTTAAAACTTATACTTATCATCAATAATTTTGATTTAAATGCCAGTGTCATATGCAAAGCTGGTAACTTAAAATTATAAAAAAAAAAAAAAATAATGTGAAGTGCTAAATCACTTGTAGTTTAGGGCTATAATATTTGCAAATGATTTATAAAATAAAAAGTAAAAGTAAAAAATCTAGCAACCTATAAATAATAAGTAATCTTAATGACATGGATAACTGTTATGATGCAGTAATATGGATAATGATGGGAGGAGGGGATGATGTCGTGGGTAGCAGTGATGCTGGTAATAGTGACAAATTTCAGTTGTTTCAATATGGGGAGAATGAAGAACTCAAAGCAATCACAGAATATAGGCAAACCATCTCGTACAACATGAGAAATGGGTCGGAGGTTTAGCAATAATGTCAGACTTGTAGTTCAGAGGGTCACTTTGTGATGTCTGCACACTTCTGTCAAGACAGCTATTGAATGAATGAATGTGAATGTGTTTCCTGTTTCTTTGGTCACCCTACCTTGGTGATGATGGTCAGTGATACGAAAATAAAGCAAAGGCCAGAAAAATAACCTTTGGATAATGAGAAATAACTCTGGTGATGGTTTATATATATATTATTTTATTAACACATCGGTCATTTCCCAACATGGCAGGGTGGCCCGAGAAAAAAAAACTTCCATCATCATTCAATCCATCACTGTCTTGCCAGAAGCATGCTTACACTAGTTATAAAACTGTAACATTAACACCATTAACACATTAACAGTAGTAGTACCATCTGGTGATGGTGCTACATACTACTGTATTCAAATCACTTGTCCTCTTGCATGTTAAATATTAGCTCCATTCATGGCAGGACATTAGCTGATTTAGCGCTTGGTTTTGATTATAATTCATTCATGGCAGGAGAGAAATCAGAGATTGTTGACTGCCTGTGTGAAGTCAGTAAAGCTTTTAAACTACTGAGAACATCTTAAAATACATGGAATGTACTCTCTGCAATGAAGATGAAATACGGTACCTGGTAATATATACCTGGAAGATACTGGAGGGCCAACTTCCAAATTTACCAGCTACCATAAACACTTATTGGAATGAGAGATATAGGAAGTGTATAATAAATCTAGTGGTATGGTTTGTTTGCAATCGTGTCATTACGATTTCGTGAGTTGTGTTGACGGCTTTGAGGGGACTTGGGCTAAAGTTCGTCACGGCCACGCTACCTAGAGATTCATCTGTAAAAACTTGCATTTGTGGTCACAGTGGTGCCTATGCTAACCTTCCTATGGTGTAGAAATATACCTAGTTGGACAAATAATATTGTGGCTAGCTGGTCCAGTGGCTAACGCGACGGTCTGGAGTTTTGAGACTCTCTGATCGCGGGTTCTATCCCCACCCATGGTATGGTTTGAAAAGCAGAGGTGCCAAATAAACAATGGAACACTCAATATCTGTAGTCCAAGACTAGACTGCTACGAGCAGAGGCTACAAGTAATGTCAGAACTAATGTAGAAGTCTTGAAAAGGAAGCTGGATAACTACCCTTGCAAGTGCCAGATCAACCAGGTTGTGATAGAAATAAATGGTATCAAATACCGACACAGTGGAAATATAAACACACATGCAGTATAATGTGATCCTTTATTGACAACGTTTCACCCACACAGTGGGCTTTTTCAAGTCACACACAGATCTACCTGGGGTGGAAGGTACGGGAGTATTTATAGTCTATGTGGGCGAAACATCAAGAGACCTCCAAACACGTATTTCAGAACACCAATATGCAAGCAGGACTGACGATACAAGGAATGCCTGTGTACAACATCGCAATTCACACAACCATTTAATTAACTACAGAAACTCAAGACTTATCGCCACAGAAGACAACACTCAATACTGAAGAATCCTGGAATCATCGCTTATCTCTATAACCAACAATTTCAACCAGAACAACAGCTTCTATAACATAGCTGAACCACTCGCCAAGAAACTTCTTCATCGCTATCCCACATAAGAACATAGAACACTGCAGAAGGTCTACTCACAACTTGTCCAATATCCCCACCAAGCTACCCAAGACTCTATAACTCCACCCGGGAGATCATCAGATGCAGCATTCTCCACCTGACCTCAACATTCTGAACAAGACTATAAATACTCCCGTACCTTCCACCCCAGGTAGATCTGTGTGTGACTTGAAAAAGCCCACTGTGTGGGTGAAACGTTGTCAATAAAGGATCACATTATACTGCATATGTGTTTATATTTCCAGGTTGTGATAGGCTGGCCAGCAGGCTACTAACAAAAAATAGCTTGTTGAACAGGCACTCAACAAAGCTTGGCCAAAAACCTGGCTGGTAGGATGGTGAGGATAGAGATGGTTGTAGTGGTATGGGAGGTAGGGATTATAGTGCTCATGTGGGTGCCAGAAGTGTGTTGTAACAGTAGGGATGTTGACAATAGTATGGGTGATGTCAGTACTGGTAATGGAAAGAAAGGGTAGTAATTTTGTGTGATGGTTTTGAAAGTAGTTGTAGTAGGTGGTGTGAGAGATGAGGTGTAGGTGTATATGTGAGGCATTATTGCTGAAGTTCATGATGGTACAAGTTGAGAAGAATTAATTAAAAATGATTCAGTGATGATATATAGTAAAGAAGGGTTGATAAGATGCAACTAATTAATTTACTATAGAACCTGAACAACTCTAATATTAACTTGAGAATACGTATAAGTAAAAGTACCAACCACAAATAATATCAACATAGGCAGAAAGATCCAACTGTAAGGCAGCTGTTGGTAAGCTGATTTCCTTTAAAAGTTCTTCAACTTCACCAGGCCATTCTTGCATTAGAGAGTCAATATCAGGCATACGCCTGAAAGACAAACCATGTATTATTCACAAAGTACTTGCATAAAGTAATATATACACAGTAGCACTGACACTATGTCAATCAGAATAATATAAGCAAATCAGATTGATACATGCAATAACTTATGATAAATTTTTAAAGACTATATATGGAAATTCTTAGGCGAATGCTACAGCTGTGTCCTACACTACAACTGAATCTGAAAACCACATGGAGGTCTACTAATATTCTAACATGACTAGAAGTATTATAAAGATTATGCTACATTATTACTTTAACATACCATGAGGTGTGGACTGTATTAAATATATTAATGAGTGAAATAGATACAATAGGTTGATTATTACAATCCTAGGGAATTGTGGTGTTTATGCCTTGTAACCCAACCTACAGCTATGCATGAACTTAACAGTATAGTATATGCCCAAGAGATCATTCCTAAGCAATAAACTGAAAGCAGACACTAGGATTATCCTATGTTGTGTGTTTGGAGTTATTATATAGTCATCTTAAAGTGAAATAGGCTACTGTTTTAAGCTGCCTATATGTGACCATATGTGCCTATATGTGGAACACTCACAGCACAGTGGTGTTCCCTTGTTATTCTATCAATCACAGTTCCTAGGCTACTCCTGTATACAGACTATATCTGTGTACTCTACTTCAGCTTCAGCCACCCAAAATTTCATTAGCTGTCTCTTTCACAAATTATGTATGTTGATGGTATTATTCACCAGTTCACTGGTGCAGCTGGTAGTGCTGCTGTCATACAGAGTTATGGCTTTCATATAGAAATTGGAGCATGCACCAATAACTTTGCCTCTACCCTTCAAACTGAACTGTTTGCCATACTCCTCACACTCAACTGCATCCATGTATCAAAGGTTGACACTCTAATTGTAACTGATTCTTTTTCATCCATAAATGCTCTTAACTTCTTGAGTATCAATGAGCCACAGGAATATTATGAATTATTGTATTTCTCCAAGTGGTAAATACCAGTACAGCAGATGTAATGAGCTAAGAAATAACAATAGAAACAAACTTTATATAGATGTTCAATAATAGATATGATGGGTTTAATCATATCTATCAGTTGATAGTTAAGAGGCATGATAAAAAAAATTGAAGCACCCTTCTCCATAACTCAAATATGTAACTGTCAATAGAAAACTATCAAAAGAGTGAATACACTTCAGTATTTAAAAATAAGCAATCACCTGCCAAAAGAATATGATTGTCATGACCTTCGATAAAATTCTGAAGGCTTTCATAAATTGAACAATACTTTGTTAATGGTTGAATAAATCAATTATGTAACTTACTTGCTATAGTGGACAGTTGGGGGAGGTTTTGTACGGTGCAGTTCACTTATATCCCTCACCCACTTCTCTACAACTTTTGCATTCTTCTCTGCATTTTCAACTGTTTTCACTGACTGCAAAAGATGGAACCATCATACTATTATATAATATACAACTCTGGTAATTACTGTGGTCTGCTAGTAAAGGGCTTATTCAAAGACCACTGTAACAAAAGCAATATATAGCATATTCCAGTAATAAAATAAAACAATAAAGAATATAAAATGCTTAATTATATTTTAAATGAGTTTGGATATTGCAAATATCATGTTAAACCTATAATTAATGGGTAGTTTCACCAAATATTTAAGCAATTATAAATAAGTATCTGCATTTCTTCCTCAAATTCTACAAAATACAGCAATAACAACCACGATAAAATTAAGGGTTGTGAGCATTCAGGCTTTTAAGAATATACGTATAGGAATGCCTAAAAATAGTTACTATTACAATAAATAAGATATGTAAATATGATAAGGACATTCAGGATGCTTTTGTCAAGAAATATCTGGGATATTTGGTGATAAGGAATAATTGCAATACTAACAAGATTCAGGGAATAGTTACTATTACAATATTTTGGATGTATAAACAAGCCTCTATATGGAGCAGGGTAGGAAAATATGATGGGGGATATTCAGGATATTTTTGTCAAGGAATATCTGGGATATTCATTGGTAAGGAAACTCAGAATACTAGAAAGATTCAGGAATATTCAGGATACTTGTGTGATTAAGAATATTCAGGATACAGAGGAACAGGGGATATTTAGTATTTATTTAGGCAGTATCGAGTAGATTCTGTAAGGAAACTTTGTAGGGAATCTTCTGGATAGTTTCTAGAACATTCTCTGATGTACAGTAGTACAAGATGAAAATGAGCACATCTGATTTGTATGTTAAAACAAAGTTTTACATAAAACCAGTGTGTTTGAGTGTATTAGCCACATAGGTAATGTGATTTCATAACGGCAATACACTAGCTGATAGTAATTAGATGCAATTTTGGGCTATCACTTTTCCATATTATCCTGTAACTTGCTTTCTGTAAACTTCTTACTAGGGCCTCAGACTTCTTTCTGTCAGTCCAGTATCTTCCTCAAAGGTTTTTCAAATTTTGGAAATGTATTCAGTAGAGGCATGACATTATCATTTAGAGCAGAGTAGGGCTCTGTTTGTACAGTAGGTTAGGTTCCAGGCTACTGCTGTAAAGTGAATTATAGACTTTTTTTTACTTTCAAATGCATATAAAAGTCTGTTAACATGTTTACACTATCATATATTAAGTGAGTAATATAGTTAGGCCTAAAATATGAATATACAGTACACACATCACTGACCTTAAAATATTTTCATCCTTAGCTTATAGTGAGTGGTGACTATATTTACTGTAGGAAGTCTGAATAAATGAAGAATGGGTATAAATGAAAACAGATGTTTTAGCAAAACCACTTTATTAGCAAAATGCTGTAAAGCGAAGTGCTGCAAAGTGGGGCCTGCCTGCCTGCCTGTACAGTACACACATTACTTACCTAAAAATATTTTAGTCCTTAGTTAATAATGAGTGGTGACTATATTTATTATAAGAAATCTGAATAAATGAAGAATGGTTATAACTGAAAACTGCTGTATGAGTGAAACACTGTAAAGCAAAAAGCTGTGAAGTGGGGCCTGCCTGTATTAAAATTGAGAATATTGCTAATTATAACCAATTCCCTCATCTTCCCCTGCTGTATGTTGTTTCACCACATCAACACCTTATCATCTACAAATTGTGATAAGGAAGACTGTTGCTGGTATCTTACCGTGCTTTTGGCAGTTGTGTGTTTTGCCAAGGCCCGGAGCTGAAGATCTAACACGGTTGCATCACTCTGGCGGGCACTTGGCTCATCTAAAACTTCAAGACCCACAAGGGTTGGCTTGTTATCTGGTGGTGGGATCTGTGCAAATAAAATATGAATTCAGGACATAACTGAGGTCTGGTCTGCTTACTGTGACCCCCACCCTCTTTTTCAAGGTATAGCTAAAAGAACAGGTTGGGGCTGGTACTGTGGTGCATTTCATTTTCCTTAGAAGAGTGATGACAGATTTTATACCATGAGGGCCATTCACTTTTTCTACTCAATTTACAAATACTTTGTAAATAATGATAATAATAATGATAATAATAATAATAATAATAATAATAATAATAATAATAATAATAATAAAATTTAATAATAATAAGTAATTTAGGATTCTGTTATTTTTGAGCTCTTGTTCTTTCAAGAAATTCACAAGTACTCACATGCAACACCAACGATAAAGACGAAACACATCTATTCATGCTCTCAACTGAGATTTACAAGCATGAATAGATTCCTGATTCTAAACAGACACTGGCAATCTGTTGAACAACCTAGGAGCTACTTAGGAAAAGGCTCTTTCTGGGGATGATTTCTCCCCAACAGCACAAGTTTCATTCAGTCTAAGAGAGCCTCAACAATTCGCAGAAACATTCCCAAGCCTGATGCAAAAGGTACAAACACAGCAAGATACTTTGGGCTCATTAAATTTAATAGATTTAAATGTTAATAAACAGAGTTTAAATTCAACTCTTGCCTTGAGCTCATACAAGGATAAGCCATTAACAAACAGTAAACAATACCAGTCCAAGAGAAGTCCCAAGAAATGCCACAGGACAAAGGAAATGGGTCAAATAGAGAATCATGGACTACTATATACTTGATATGACCGAGCAGAAAGATGCAACTTCAGAAGCAACAATGCAGTATCCCTAAGGCCACAGCCAAAAAGATCACTTATCAGCTATCCATGATCAATAGTATAAAATACAACTGAGAGATCTAACAAAATTAGCAGTGACTTGTATTTTAAACAGGTGTTCAGTACTAAATCATTCTAAAATTTACACAAAGTTGTCTCAGTTGAATGAAATAATCTATACACACACTGAACACAGGGTAAAATGTTATATCACTCCAGAAAAAGAACCAACTGATCAAAAATATAAGAACAGAAACAAGATGATAATTTGATATGTTTTATGAATCACAGGAAGGCTTCTTGAAAAGCAGGAACCAAAGTTCCCTTCACTGACTGTGGAAAACATCCACTTTGATAACAGCATTTGATCAAAACAGCTATAAAAGAAAAAGCACTTTCATGTGTGGGCAAGATCTTTGAAACACTTGTAGGATTTAATGCACAGTATGTCTCTTAGAATCCTTGATATACCCTAGAAACTTCTCCTCGCCAACTAGAGAAAACTGAGAAAAGGTAATCTGTGACATATTATGAGCTTCTTGAATTGAATCTAAAGTCCAGATGAGGCTAGCTGAAAAGCAGAATCAGAGGTAGGCAAAGGAGGTTAAGATACATGACCAGGCAGTTCATTCAGATGGGTGAGCAGGAGCCCCTGATTTCCACAAGATTCAATTTTTCTCCTGTAGTAGTCTATCTTACAAGGCAATACCCTGTTTGTTACTGCTCTATGAGCTTCTACACAATCAAACTATGATTCAGGAGTATGAAATCTATGCCATCGATGCTCAGCACTCCTATAAGACTTATGGAGCTAGGCAACAGAGAAATCATACCACAAGGCAAAGTCATAAATCAAGATCCTCCTAGTGATCAAAGGACAGAATCTACCAGTCACAGCCACAAATATCTCATCATGAATCTTTGCTGACTGGTCTACAGATAGTGCAGATGCAGTCATCTTGCCTACAGCATCTCTTACCACCACATCAACCTGGTCCACCTCAAAGCTTCTATAATTACAGAAAGACAGTATGTGCTCACATGAAGACACCACTGAGAGATCAAAAAATGTAACCATACTATGATCAGACACAGTAACAAGACCACACACCAAAAAGCATGACAAATGAATCTGATTTACATCACGCTTTATATAGTGCACAATGCTCATTCTGCAGCAATTAAATAGTGCTCACTTTTGCAAGGTGATTATCACATCTTCAGAGTAAAATATTTAAAATTAATTCCATATCATTTACTGCATTTTCCTTTCTGGACTATTAGTGACTTATGCTTATTGCACAAGGAACCCAAAATTTTATAAAGCAAAGTACCAACGAGGGAGAATATAATATATATTTTTTTTTTTCAACAAGTTGGCCGTCTCCCACCGAGGCAGGGTGACCCAAAAAAGAAAGAAAATCCCCAAAAAGAAAATGCTTTCATCATCATTCAACACTTTCACCACACTCACACATAATCACTGTTTTAGAAGAGGTGCTCAGAATACAACAGTTTAGAAACATATACATATAAAGATACACAACATATCCCTCCAAACTGCCAATATCCCAAACCCCTCCTTTAAAGTGCAGGCATTGTACTTCCCATTTCCAGGACTCAAGTCCGACTATATGAAAATAACCGGTTTCCCTGAATCCCTTCACTAAATATTACCCTGCTCACACTCCAACAGATCGTCAGGTCCCAAGTACCATTCGTCTCCATTCACTCCTATCTAACACGCTCACGTACGCTTGCTGGAAGTCCAAGCCAATTGCCCACAAAACCTCCTTTTCCCCCTCCCTCCAACCCTTTCGAGGACGACCCCTACCTCGCCTTCCTTTCCCTATAGATTTATATGCTTTCCATGTCATTCTACTTTGATCCATTCTCTCTAAATGACCAAACTACCTCAACAACCCCTCTTCTGCCCTCTGACTAATACTTTTATTAACTCCACACCTTTTCCTAATTTCCACACTCCGAATTTTCTGCATAATATTTACACCACACACTGCCCTTAGACAGGACATCTCCACTGCCTCCAACCGTCTCCTCGCTGCTGCATTTACCACCCAAGCTTCACACCCATATAAGAGTGTTGGTACTACTATACTTTCATACATTCCCTTCTTTGCCTCCATAGATAACGTTTTTTGACTCCACATATACCTCAATGCACCACTCACCTTTTTTCCCTCATCAATTCTATGATTAACCTCATCCTTCATAAATCCATCTGCTGACACGTCAACTCCCAAGTATCTGAAAACATTTACTTCTTCCATACTCCTCCTCCCCAATTTGATATCCAATTTTTCTTTATCTAAATCATTTGATACCCTCATCACCTTACTCTTTTCTATGTTCACTTTCAACTTTCTACCTTTACACACATTCCCAAACTCATCCACTAACCTTTGCAATTTTTCTTTAGAATCTCCCATAAGCACAGTATCATCAGCAAAAAGTAACTGTGTTAATTCCCATTTTGAATTTGATTCCCCATAATTTAATCCCACCCCTCTCCCCAACACCCTAGCATTTACTTCTTTTACAACCCCATCTATAAATATATTAAACAACCATGGTGACATTACACATCCCTGTCTAAGACCTACTTTTACCAGGAAGTAGTCTCCCTCTCTTCTACACACCCTAACCTGAGCTTCACTATCCTCATAAAAACTCTTTACAGCATTAAGTAACTTACCACCTATTCCATATACTTGCAACATCTGCCACATTGCTCCCCTATCCACTCTATCATATGCCTTTTCTAAATCCATAAATGCAATAAAAACTTTCCCTACCTTTATCTAAATACTGTTCACATATATGCTTCAATGTAAACACTTGATCTACACATCCCCTACCCACTCTGAAACCTCCTTGCTCATCCGCAATCCTACATTCTGTCTTACCTCTAATTCTTTCAATTATAACCCTACCATACACTTTTCCTGGTATACTCAATAAACTTATTCCTCTATAATTTTTACAATCTCTTTTGTCCCCTTTTCCCTTTTTATAAAGGGACTATACATGCTCTCCGCCAATCCCTAGGTACCTTCCCCTCTTTCATACATTTATTAAACAAAAGTACCAACCACTCCAACACTATATCCCCCCTGCTTTTAACATTTCTGTCATGATCCCATCAGTTCCAGCTGCTTTACCCCCTTTCATTCTACGTAATGCCTCACGTACCTCCCCCACACTTACATTCTGCTCTTCTTCACTCCTAAAAGATGGTATACCTCCCTGACCAGTGCATGAAATTACCACCTCCCTTTCTTCCTCAACATTTAAAAGTTCCTCAAAATATTCTCGCCATCTACCTAATACCTCCCTCTCCCCATCTACTAACTCCCCTACTCTGTTTTTAACTGACAAATCCATACTTTCCCTAGGCTTTCTTAACTTGTTTAAATATAATATATATGCTAATATATATATATATATAATATATATATATATATATATATATATATATATATATATATATATATATATATATATATATATATATATATATATATATAAAATATATATAAAATATATATATATATATATATATATATATATATATATATATATATATATATATATATATATATATATATATATATATATATATATATTATAAATATATATTTTTTTATTATCACACTGGCCGATTCCCACCAAGGCAGGGTGGCCCGAAAAAGAAAAACTTTCACCATCATTCACTCCATCACTGTCTTGCCAGAAGGGTGCTTTACACTACAGTTTTTAAACTGCAACATTAACACCCCTCCTTCAGAGTGCAGGCACTGTACTTCCCATCTCCAGGACTCAAGTCCGGCCTGCCGGTTTCCCTGAACCCCTTCATAAATGTTACTTTGCTCACACTCCAACAGCACATCAAGTATTAAAAACCATTTGTCTCCATTCACTCCTATCAAACACGCTCACGCATGCCTGCTGGAAGTCCAAGCCCCTCGCACACAAAACCTCCTTTACCCCCTCCCTCCAACCTTTCCTAGGCCGACCCCTACCCTGCCTTCCTTCCACTACAGACTGATACACTCTTGAAGTTATTCTGTTTCGCTCCATTCTCTCCACATGTCTGAACCACCTCAACAACCCTTCCTCAGCCCTCTGGACAACAGTTTTGGTAATCCCGCACCTCCTCCTAACTTCCAAACTACGAATTCTCTGCATTATATTCACACCACACATTGCTCTCAGACATGACATCTCCACTGCCTCCAGCCTTCTCCTCGCTGCAACATTCATCACCCATGCTTCACACCCATATAAGAGCGTTGGTAAAACTATACTCTCATACATTCCCCTCTTTGCCTCCAAGGACAAAGTTCTTTGTCTCCACAGACTCCTAAGTGCACCACTCACCCTTTTCCCCTCATCAATTCTATGATTCACCTCATCTTTCATAGACCCATCCGCTGACACGTCCACTCCCAAATATCTGAATACATTCACCTCCTCCATACTCTCTCCCCTCAATCTGATATCCAATCTTTCATCACCTAATCTTTTTGTTATCCTCATAACCTTCTCTTTCCTGTATTCACTTTCAATTTCTTCTTTTGCACACCCTACCAAATTCATCCACCAATCTCTGCAACTTCTCTTCAGAATCTCCCAAGAGCACAGTGTCATCAGCAAAGAGCAACTGTGACAACTCCCACTTTATGTGTAATTCTTTATCTTTTAACTCCACGCCTCTTGGCAAGACCTTCGCATTTACTTCTCTTACAACCCCATCTATAAATATATTAAACAACACGTGACATCACACATCCTTGTCTAAGGCCTACTTTTACTGGGAAATAATTTCCCTCTTTCCTACATACTCTAACTTGAGCCTCACTATCCTCGTAAAAACTCTTCACTGCTTTCAGTAACCTACCTCCTACACCATACACCTGCAACATCTGCCACATTGCCTCCCTATCCACCCTGTCATACGCCTTTTCCCAATCCATAAATGCCACAAAGACCTCTTTAGCCTTATCTAAATACTGTTCACTTATATGTTTCACTGTAAACACCTGGTCCACACACCCCCTACCTTTCCAAAAAGCCTCCTTGTTCATCTTCTATCCTATTCTCTGTCTTACTCTTAATTCTTTCAATAATAACTCTACCATACACTTTGCCAGGTATACTCAACAGACTCATCCCCCTATAATTTTTGCATTCTCTTTTATCCCCTTTGCCTTTATACAAAGGAACTATGCATGCTCTTGCCAATCCCTAGGTACCTTACCCTCTTCCATACATTTATTAAATAATTGCACCAACCACTCCAAAACTATATCCCCACCTGCTTTTAACATTTCTATCTTTATCCCATCAATCCCGGCTGCCTTACTCCCTTTCATTTTACCTACTGCCTCACGAACTTCCCCCACACTCACAACTGGCTCTTCCTCACTCCTACAAGATGTTGTTCCTCCTTGCCCTATACACGAAATCACAGCTTCCCTATCTTCATCAACATTTAACAATTCCTCAAAATATTCCCTCCATCTTCCCAATACCTCTAGCTCTCCATTTAATAACTCTCCTCTCCTATTTTTAACTGACAAATCCATTTGTTCTCTAGGCTTTCTTAACTTGTTAATCTCACTCCAAAACTTTTTCTTATTTTCAACAAAATTTGTTGATAACATCTCACCCACATCTCTCATTTGCTCTCTTTTACATTGCTTCACCACTCTCTTAACCTCTCTCTTTTTCTCCATATACTCTTCCCTCCTTGCATCACTTCTACTTTGTAAAATCTTCTCATATGCTAAATTTTTCTCCCTTACTACTCTCTTCACATCATCATTCCACCATTGCTCCTCTTCCCTCCTGCACCCACTTTCCTGTAACCACAAACTTCTGCTGAACACTCTAACACTACATTTTTAAACCTACCCCATACCTCTTCGACCCCATTGCCTATGCTCTCATTAGCCCATCTATCCTCCAATAGCTGTTTATATCTTACCCTAACTGCCTCCTCTTTTAGTTTATAAACCTTCACCTCTCTCTTCCCTGATGCTTCTATTCTCCTTGTATCCCATATATATATAATATATATATATATATATATATATATATATATATATATATATATATATATATATATGCATATATATATATATATATATATATATATATATATATATATATATGCATATATATATATATATATATAATATATATATATAATATATATAATATATATATATATTATATAATATATATATATATATATATTTTCTTCTTTCTTTCAACACACGCGGCTGTATCCCACCGAGGCGGGGTGGCCCAAAGGAAAAACGAAAGTTTCTCCTTTTACATTTAGTATATATACAGAAGAGGTTACTAGCCCCTTGCTCCCGCATTTTAGTCGCCTCTTACAACACGCATGGCTTACGGAGGAAGAATTCTGTTCCACTTCCCCATGGAGATAAGAGGAAATAAACAAGAATAAGAACTAGAAAGAAAATAGAAGAAAACCCAGAGGGGTGTGTATATATGTGCTTGTACTGTATGTGTAGTGTGACCTAAGTGTAAGTAGAAGTAGCAAGACGTACCTGAAATCTTGCATGTTCATGAGACAGAAAAAAGGACACCAGCAATCCTACCATCATGTAAAACAATTACAGGCTTTCGTTTTACACTCACTTGGCAGGACGGTAGTACCTCCCTGGGCGGTTGCTGTCTACCAACCTACTACCTATATATATATATATATATATATATATATATTATATATATATATATATAATATATATATAATATATATATATATATATATAATATGCATATATATATGCATATATATATGCATATATATATGCATATATATATGCATATATATATGCATATAATATGCATATATATATGCATATATATATGCATATATATATGCATATATATATGCATATGTATATGCATATATAATATATATGCTAATATATATTTTCAAGTAAACCCTTACAACTAGGGATGTGCCGAAGTATTGGTACTGGTGGTATCTGTTGATTATGATGATATCAGCATTGGCCTCCAATTGAATATTAGTATCAGCAAAAATTTAGGCATCATCCCACCCCTACTCACAACATAAATAAAATTACATGAATATACATACCTTGATGAAAGCATCAATATCACCCACAGCAGGGATGTAGTCAGGAATATAAGGTCTGAGGCGGTGCTCCAATTCAATGCCCTGAGGTGTGTAACGAGTGATATAGGAAAATAATTCTGAAATTTCAGAGCTGACACTGAGATGCTCATAGTCAGCTGGATCATAGGCTCTGTAAAAGAAAAGAAAACCAATCAGTTAGGCTTATTTCCTGTGAAGTCCTTTGTTTCTGATCCAAAGGATATGACTCACAACAGTCAGCTAACTCCCAAGTACCTAATGCTAGGTGTAAGGAAGCACTTCAAACACCACCACCAGCCCGGGGATAAAAACTGGGTTCTGCAGTTGTGAGCCATGAGCTGTAAGATTTATCCCCTGCCTTAAGAATGCAAAACAAATCAGAAAAAAATTAACTATCCAAGAAAATTTCCAAATCAGTAGGCATCATTTCTAAGATACCATACTATGTACCACAAACAATACTCCTTACCCTATACCACTCTTTAATATATCCATACCTCACCTATGGTATTTGTGCCCGGGGATCAACCACAGCCAACCACCTTAAACCTCTAATAACCCAACAAAAACTGCTGTGCAGATGATTACCAGCTCCTATGGTAGACAGCACACCCCACAACTTTTCAAAAGCCTGAACTTGCTAAATATACAAGACATACACTTATATTATTGTGCCTACTACATATACAGAACATTAAACTCCCCTATTAACTCTCCACTTCAACTTCTAGTTGATAGTTAAACAGAATGCACAGTCACAATACAAGGCATAAGGCACTCTCTGATGTCCCTTGTGTCAGTCTCACATTATGCAAAAATGCAATGCACATAAAGGGCCCAAAGATCTGGAACTCACTACCTGAACAGGTAAAGGATCCCCTGACTACTTATAAATTTTGGACTTTGCTTAAAAATCATCTCATCTCTCAATACTAACGAACTCGACCAAAACAAATTTTTTTTTTTCAATAGGTCGGCTGTCTCCCACTGAGGCAGGGTGACCCAAAGGGAAAGACAATCCCAAAAAGAAAATACTTTCATCATCATTCAACACTTTCACCTCATACATAATCACTGTTTTTGCAGAGGAGCCCAAATACAACAGTTTAGAAGCATAATCCCTCCAAACTGCTAATATCCCAAACCCCTCCTTTAAAGTGCAGGCATTGTACTTCCCATTTCCAATACTCAAGTCCAGCTATATAAAAATAACCGATTTCCCTGAATCCCTTCACCATTCGTCTCCATTCACTCATACCTAACATGCTCATGCACGCTTGCTGGAAGTCCAAGCCCCTCGCCCATAAAACCTCCTTTACCCCCTCCCTCTAACCTTTTCGAGGACGACCCCTACCCCGCCTTCCTCTACAGATTTATACCCTCTCCATGTCATTCTACTTTGACTCATTCTCTCTAAATGACCAAACCACCTCAACAACCCCTCTTCAGCCCTCTGACTAATACTTTTAGTAACTCCACACCTTCTCATAATTTACACACTCCAAATTTTCTGCATAATATTTACACCACACACTGCCCTTAGACAGGACATCTCCCCTGCCTCCAACCACCTCCTCACTGCAGCATTTATAACCCAAGCTTCACACCCATGTAAAAGAGTTGGTGCTACTATATTTTCAAACATTCCCTTCTTTGCCTCCATAGATAACATTTTTTGTCTCCACATATACCTCAACGCACCACTCACCTCACCTTTCTTCCTTCATCAACTGTATTGTTAATCTCATCCTTCATAAACCCATCTGCTGACACATCAACTCCCAAATATCTGAAAACATTCACTTCTTCCATATTCCCTCTTTCCAATTTGATATCCAATTTTTCTATATTTAAATCATTTGATACCCTCATCACCTTACTCTTATCTATGTTCACTTTCGACTTTCTACCTTTACACATCCTCCCAAACTCGTCCACTAACCTTTGCAACTTTTCTTTAGAATCTCCCATAAGCACAGTATCATCAGCAAAAAGTAACTGTGTCAACTCCCATTTTGTATTTGATTCCCATAATTTAATCCCACCCCTCCCCCCAACACCCTAGCATTTACTCCTTTTACAATCCCATCTATGATTATATTATACAACCATGATGACATTACACATCCCTAAGACCTACTTTTACCAGGAAGTAATCTCCCTCTCTTCCACACACCCTAACCTGAGCCTCACTATCCTCATAAAAACTCTTTACAGCATTTAGTAACTTACTACCTATTCCATATAATTGCAACATCTGCCACATTGCTTCCCTATCCACTCTATCATATGCCTTTTCTAAATCCATAAATGCAATGAAAATTTCCCTACCTTTATCTAAATACTGTTCATATATATGCTTCATGTAGGTAGTAGGTTGGTAGACAGCAACTGCCCAGGGAGGTACTACCGTCCTTCCAACTGAGTGTAAAATGAAAGCCTGTAATTGTTTTACATGATGGTAGGATTGCTGGTGTCCATTTTTCTGTTTCATAAACATGCAAGGTTTCAGGTACGTCTTGCTACTTCTACTTACACTTAGGTCACACTACACATACATGTTTTTTTTTTGTTTTTTTTTCAACAAGTTGGCTGTCTCCCACTGAGGCAGGGTGACCCAAAAAAGAAAGAAAATCCCCAAAAAGAAAATGCTTTCATCATCATTCAACACTTTCACCACACACACATAATCACTGTTTTTGCAGAGGTGCTCAGAATACAACAGTTTAGAAGCATATACGTATAAAGATACACAACATATCCCTCCAAACTGCCAATATCCCAAACCCCTCCTTTAAAGTGCAGGCATTGTACTTCCCATTTCCAGGACTCAAGTCCGACTATATGAAAATAACCGGTTTCCCTGAATCCCTTCACTAAATATTACCCTGCTCACACTCCAACAGATCGTCAGGTCCCAAGTACCATTCGTCTCCATTCACTCCTATCTAACACGCTCACGCACGCTTGCTGGAAGTCCAAGCCCCTTGCCCACAAAACCTCCTTTACCCCCTTCTCCAACCCTTTCGAGGACGACCCCTACCTCGCCTTCCTTCCCCTATAGATTTATATGCTTTCCATGTCAAGTACAAGTACAAGTACATGTATAAGTATATATATACATACCCTTCTGGGTTTTCTTCTATTTTCTTACTAGTTCTTGTTCTTGTTTATTTCCTCTTATCTCCATGGGGAAGTGGAACAATATTCTTCTTCCGTAAGCTATGTGTGTTGTAAGAGGCGACTAAAATGACAGGAGCAAGGGGCTAGTAACCCTTTCTCCTGTATAAATTACTAAATTTAAAGAGAAACTTTCGTTTTTCTTTTTGTGCCACCCTGCCTGGTGGGATACGGCTGGTTTGTCGAAAGAAGAAGAATATATGCTTCAATGTAAACACTTGATCTACACATCCCCTACCCACTCTAAAGCCTCCTTGCTCATCCGAAATCCTACTCTCTGTCTTACCTCTAATTCTTTCAATAATAACCCTACCGTGCACTTTTCCTGGTATACTCAGCAAACTTATTCCCCTATAATTATTACAATCTCTTTTGTCCCCCTTCCCTTTATATAAAAGAACTATACAAGCTCTCTGCCAATCCCTAGGTACCTTCCCCTATCATATATTTATTAAACAAAAATACCAACCACTCCAACACTATATTCCCTTCCCCCCTGCTTTTAATATTTCTGTCATGATCCCGTCAGTTCCAGCTGCTTTACCCCCTTTCATTCTACGTAATGCCTCACGCACCTCTCCCACACTCACATCCTGCTCTTCTTCACTCCTAAAAGATGTTATACCTTCCTGACCAGTGCATGAAATTACCGCCTCCCTTTCTTTATTGACATTTAAAAGTTCCTCAAAATATTCCCGCCATCTACCCAATACCTCCAGCTCCCCATCTACTAACTCCCCTACTCTGTTTTTAACTGACAAATCCATTCGTTTCCTAGGCTTTCTTAATTTGTTTATCTCACTCCAAAAAAGCTTCTTTTCAGTTATTATATTATGTGATCTCTAGTCTTTTAAACATCTGCCAGTCCATGAAATATTACTGCTTGAACCATTAATTGTAATACTGTTTTCATTATGTGGAACTTCAAGATTATTATTCTTATAAACCTCCACCTTGACTACCTCACATTACTATTAAGATTAAATAAGATTTTAATAAAGTTAACCACTGTTATCTTGTCTAGTTTTAAGTAGTTACTGTGTACTAGGATTAGTCTGTCGAAATGCCCTGGCATGATAGTGGCTTTCTTTGTACATACTCAGAAAACCAAAATTGTAATTACACACTGTAACCTTTACAAAGAAATCAATCTTTATCTTTAACTACAATTTTTTTTTTTTTTAACACATCGGCCATTTACCACCGAGGGAGCGAGTGCAGCATTGTTATTGCCAGAGTGAAGGGTTTTAACAGTTCATGGGCATCTGTTAGGTTAAAGAGATTAGACAGTATTAGCCCAAGTTACAGCAGCTGTCAAACAGCAACACAAGTAAGAACCATGTAATAATAATAATGCTCAACTCCATCTATGCATCTCTAGAGCTTATGATGCATCTTGCTGCTTAAGCCTGATTATGAAACCAGGAGGCACTGCTGTCACATGAATAACAACACACAACATGTAATCATAAATGACAATACAGTACTTCATCAACTTGACTTATCATCCTATTGACAGTACAAGGCATCATCCTAGGCCCTCTTATTTCTCATCTACATCAGAACCTTAAACTAGTTCTGTTTACAAATAACAACTTTTTGTCATCTCAAATCTAGATACAAATATCTTGAACAACACTGTTAATGAAGAGCTCATCTACCTGAATGACAACCTACAAACTCACATTTAATAATATTTTCTACAGTGTTTAGGAATAAAGCTACAAATATTCAGGTAAACAAAAAGGTAAAAAATACACACAATGAAAGACATGATGAAGAAAAATTCTTAGTATACCTTGACAACCAACAAAAATTAAAAACTCACATACACCACATATCTAAAAATGGTTCTGAGACAGAAGACATTCTTTCAAAAATAACTCAACAAAAATTTACCAATAGAATGATCATTCAATCATTTTTCTGACAATACATTCTTATGACTCAAAGGATTAAATTTATTTAGCACACAAAATTTTGTTTCACACTGCAATGAAATGCTTACTACACAAATGGCAGAATTATGCTGTCTCATAGTTTTTCACCTCACCATAGAAATTCATTTTTCATGTCTTTCTAAATACTTGAGGAGCCTGGGGAATGCTAGATTCCACTTATCACCTCGTAACTTACTGCATCCAACAGCACAACAAGCAATTACCGCAGAGGTTTAGGCGAGTTAGTAACCTGTGATGTCATGTGTAAAACCTCAACAGCTCATGTTCCTTGCTTTTGCATATGGCTGTGTACTTGTGTATGGCTAGTGTTTGCACTTTGTATAGATGTTGATCATAAGCTTATACTTGTGTGAGGCTGCTGATCCTTGTACTTGTGTATGGCTGGTGATACTTGCACTTGTGTATGGCTGGTAATACTTGCATTTGTGTATGGCTAGTGATACTTGCACCTGTGTATGGCTGGTGATACTTGCACCTGTGTATGACTTCTGTTCTGTGCTTGAGTGTTATGCTCATCACTGTGCACATCTTACCTATTTAAACATTTAAAAAATAAAATCTAACTGCATCATATTCAAAATGAAGAATATTTTTTTTAAGCTGAATGAATACAGTACTCCCAAATTATACACGAGGAATGATTTTTGAGGCAAAAGTATACCCCCTTACCCTTGTCTTATGACCTGTGCTGGCTTATGGCTGGCAATATAAAATAACAGAGCTACCTCTTTCAAAAAGTATATATTGTACTACCCACATCAATGAAAATTTTACATCAATGGTCATTACCCCTCAGGGGGTGGAGCCTGACCATCATCGTCATCATCATCTTCATCCTCGTCTTCTTCATCATCATCTCCTCTACCTGGCATTCCTGGTGGATGAGCAAGAGGCTTTGGTTGTCCTGGACCTGTCATTCCACCTAATTCCCCTAAATCCTGTAAAACAAGACCAAGTTCAGTCTGACTAAACATACCAGTAACTTTTAACCCTTAAACTGTCCTAACATAGATCTATGTTCACTCTCGTAGCGCTCCGAACGTAGATCTACGTTTTTTTTATATGCTTTCTTATGGAGAAAATCAAGGTCGGAGCACTATGCGCGTAAACATAGATCTACATTTGGACAGTTTAAGGGTTAAATGATTTTATACATCATGAATATTCTTAAAAAAATATGAATGGCAATGCAAAATATTTTTTATTTTCAACATATGCACAATCATTACTAAATTGGGTAACATTTACTTCATACATTCTGAAAAGCACATTCAGGAATAGCAATTGTGTAGAATAAAACTAAAATTACTTTTAATCACGTCTACAGTTACGTATAACTGCGTACACAAGTAAGCTATATTTATTGTACTGTGTTTTAGCTATGCTTTTTAAGAATAACAAATGTTTGGTTTATATTGAACAACTCCAGGGGTGCACTGATATCATCCTTGTGTTTACTTAGGGATCTGACCTTGTAGCTAAACACTAGGATGTGCTTGGTATTTATGAAATAATTTTTTGTTTGGGTAGATGAACAATACAGTACATGTATTGTTCATCTACTGATTATAGATGTCAGGAGATTTGGTTCAGAATCTATATTAGAATTCAAGAACCACGATATAGCAATAAGGATTTAGTGTTAAGGAAAAGTTAAGAGTTATCAAATGTTTTGCTATTAATAATAATGGCAATAAAAATAATGATTACAAAATATGATGATAATAGTTGTGATTAAAAAAAAACTGTAAGGTATCAAAAATATAATACTATATACAAACAATAGTAATAGGGTAATAGAAAAAAAATGAACATTCTAAAACAATAGGATAATAGAGTATTAAACAGGATAAGAGCAGTGTATTTACATAAAACAGTATGAATACCCTATCAGATTACATAAAATACACATGAACATACAAAAAGAGTTACCAGGAAAAGTTGGACACTGATTACTGTACAGAAGATATACTAATTACTATACAGAAGATACATTTAGTAATATAAATGCTGATTTACAACATCAAAAGCACCAGTGATTTACAAAAAGTGAATTATATACCTCAAAGACAATAATATTAAAAGCAGACAAAATCTCAGTGAGATTCCAATAAAATGATATGTAACAATTCAACAAGTTGTTAGGTATCATTATATAAATAGTATACAATACCAACAAGTTCATGAATAAGACATGTTAAACACTTGACCAACTTTATTACTGAAACATTTTGCTTGCACAACAACTATCTTTAGTTGAATCCAGGGGTGACATTTAAACTGATCGTCACATAGAACTACATCACTGAGGCCACAGTCCTTCAAGTAGTTCTAAGTCATGAGCTCGGCTCACTCAGATAAGCTGTGAGTGGTAAATTTTGGCCTAAATATGAGATAATGGGTATGTGCACTGAGTGTGAACAGTATAAAAACATTCTGTTCCATACAGTGCATGATAGTAAAAGTAATTCTCTGAATTTGTGTTTGGTTTGAAATAGCAATTTTGAGGTATTTGTCTATGATTTTTTAATGCTTTATTGACTGTTTCTTGGTATCATTTGATAAAGTGGAAAACATACTACTGAAATAAGAGATGATTTTGGTTGGTTTATGGATTGAAAGTAGCTTAAAATTTGACTCAAATTAACATAAATATTCGACTTTTGCCAATTTTCCTGAGGATGAACAAGATCCCTTACTCCCCCACTCTGTTTTATGGAATTTTAATAAACCTGATTCAATTACCGAGATATCATAAACCCTGACCAATAATTCCTGGTTATATTTTGTTATCCTGGAAATAGTTAATCCCCTGTTTTTGTGTGATTATGAATTCAAAATGGAAGGCAAGTGTAATATTGAAGAGGCCTGGGGAACATGATTAATGAACATAAGAAATGTTGTCTTAGTGCCAGGAATGTCGACATTGTTTATTTTGCACTCTGTATGGAAGAAGTGAATGTTTTCAGATAATTGGGAGTTGACGTGTCGGCGGATGGATTTATGAAGGATGAGGTTAATCATAGAATTGATGAGGGAAAAAAGGTGAGTGGTGCGTTGAGGTATATGTGGAGTCAAAAAACGTTATCTATGGAGGCAAAGAAGGGAATGTATGAAAGTATAGTAGTACCAACACTCTTATATGGATGTGAAGCTTGGGTGGTAAATGCAGCAGCGAGGAGATGGTTGGAGGCAGTGGAGATGTCCTGTCTAAGGGTAATGTGTGGTGTAAATATTATGCAGAAAATTCGGAGTGTGGAAATTAGGAGAAGGTGTGGAGTTAATAAAAGTATTAGTCAGAGGGCTGAAGAGGGGTTGTTGAGGTGGTTTAGTCATTTAGAGAGAATGGATCAAAGTAGAATGACATGGAGAGCGTATAAATCTGTAGGAAAAGGAAGGCGGGGTAGGGGTCGTCCTCAAAAAGGTTGGAGGGAGGGGGTAAAGGAGGTGTTGTGGGCGAGGGGTTTGGACTTCCAGCAAGCGTGCGTGAGCGTGTTAGATAGGAGCGAATGGAGACAAATGGTATTTGGGACCTGACGAGCTGTTGGAGTGTGAGCAGGGTAATATTTAGTGAAGGGATTCAGGGAAACCGGTTATTTTATATAACTGAACTTGAGTCCTGGAAATGGGAAGCACAATGCCTGCACTCTAAAGGAGGGGTTTGAGATATTGGCAGTTTGGAGGGATATACGTATTGTGTATTTTTATACATATATACTTCTAAACTGTTGTATTCTGGGCACCTCTGCAAAAAACAGTGATTATGTGTGAGGTGAAAGTGTTGAATGATGATTAAAGCTTTTTCTTTTTGGGGATTTTCTTTCTTTTTGGGTCACCCTGCCACGGTGGGAGATGGCCGACTTGTTGAAAAAAAATATATATATATATATACCTACATGCACCACTCACCTTTTGTCCTTCATCAATTCTATGGTTAACCTTATTCTTCATAAACCCATCCACTGACACATCAACTCCCAAATATCTGAAAACATTCACTTCTTCCATACTCCCTCTTTCCAATGTGATATCCATTTTTTCTTTATTTAAATCATTTGATACCCTCATCACCTTACTCTTATCTATGTTCACTTTCGACTTTCTACCTTTACACACCCTCCAAATTCGTCCACTATCCTTTGCAACTTTTCTTTAGAATCTCCCATAAGCACAGTATCATCAGCAAAAAGTAACTAGGTCAACTCCCATTTTGTATTTGATTCCCCATCATTTAATCCCACCCCTCTCCCCAACACCCTGGCATTTACTTCTTTTACAACCCCATCTATGAATATATTAAACAACCATGGTGACATTACACATCCCTGTCTAAGACCTACTTTTATCAGGAAGTAGTCTCCCTTTCTTCTACATACCCTAACATGAGCCTCATTATCTTCATAAAAGCTCTTTACAGCCTTTAGTAACTTACCACCTTTTCCATATACTTGCAGCATCTGCCACATTGCTCCCCTATCCACTCTATCATATGCCTTTTCGAAATCCATAAATGCAATGAAAACTTCCCTACCTTTATCTAAAATTCTAAATACTGTTCACATATATGCTTCAATCTAAACACTTGATCTACACATCCCCTACCCACTCTAAAGCTTCCGTCCTCATCGAAATTCCTACTCTCTGTCTTAACTCTAATTCTTTCAATAATAACCCTACCATGCACTTTTCGTGGTATACTCAGCAAACTTATTCCCCTATAATTATTACAATCTCTTTTGTCCCCCTTCCCTTCATATAAAGGAACTATACAAGCTCTCTGCTAATCCCTAGGTACCTTCCCCTATTTCATATATTTATTAAACAAAAATACCAACCACTCCAACACTATATCACCCCCTGCTTTTAAAATTTCTGTCATGATCCTGTCAGTTCCAGCTGCTTTACCCCTTTTCATTCTACGTAATGCCTCATGCACCTCCCCTACACTCACATCCTGCTCTTCTTCACTCCTAAAAGATGCTATACCTCCCTGACCATTGAATGAAATTACCGTCTCCCTTTCTTCATCGGCATTTAAAAGTTCCTCAAAATATTCCTGCCATCCACCCAATACCTCCATCTCCCCATCTACTAACTCCCCTACACTGTTTTAACTGACAAATTATTCGTTTCCTAGGATTTCTTAACTTGTTTATCTCACTCCAAAAATTTGTTTCTTATTTTTTGCAAAATTTCTTGACAGTGCCTCTCCCACTCTATCATGTGCTCTCCTATTGCACTCTCTCAGCACTCTTTTCACCTTTCTTTTACTCTCCATATACTCTGCTCTTCTTATAACACTTCCGCTTTGTAAAAACCTCTCATAAGCTAACTTTTTCTCTTTATCACACCCTTTACTTCATCATTTCACCAATCACTCCTCTTTCCTCCTGCACCCACTCTCCTATAGCCACAAACTTCTGCCCCACATTCTAATGCTGCATTTTTAAAACTATTCCAACCCTCTTCAACCCCCCACTACTAATACTTGCACTAGCCCACCTTTCTGCCAATAGTTGCTTATATCTCACCCTCACTTCCTCCTCCCATAGTTTATACACTTTCACCTCTCTCTTACTTGTTGTTGCCATTTTCCTTTTGTCCCATCTACCTCTTACTCTAACTGTAGCTACAACTAAATAATGATCCGATATATCAGTTGCCCCTCTATAAACATGTACATCCTGAAGCCTACCCATCAACCTTTTATCCACCAATACATAATCTAACAAACTACTTTCATTATGTGCTATATCATACCTTGTATATTTATTTATCCTATTTTTCATAAAATATGTATTACTTATTACTAAACCTCTTTCCACACATAGCTCAATTAAAGGCTCCCCATTTTCATTTACCCTTAGCACCCCAAATTTACCTACTACTCCCTCCACAACATTTTTACCCACTTTAGCATTGAAACTCCTAACCACAATTACTCTCACACTTGGTTGAAAACTCCCCTTGCACTCACTCAACATTTCCCAAAATCTCTCTCTCTCTCTCTCTCTCATCTACACTTTTCTCTTCTCCAGGTGCAAAAATGCTTACTATAACCCACTTTTCACATCCAACCCTTATTTTACTCCACATAATCCTTGAGTTTATACATTTATATTCCCTCTTTTCCTGCCATAACTTATCCTTCAGCATTATTGCTCCTCCTTCTTTAGCTCTAACTATTTGAAACCCCTGACCTAATCCCATTTACTTCTCCCCACTGAAACTCTCCCACTCTCTTCAGCTTTGTTTCACTTAAAGCCAGGACATCCAGCTTCTTCTTCATAACATCCACAAACATCTCTTTATCATTCTCACAACATCCACGCACATTCAAACATCCCACTTTGACCGTTTTCTTTTTAGTAGGCTATACAGGAAAAGGGGTTACTAGCCCATTATTCCCAGCATTTTGGTTAACTTTTACAACACGCATGGCTTACGGAAGAAAGATTCCAATATTTACATACAGTTCGTAGGGGTCTGGAACGGATTAATTGCATTTACATACAATCCAATGGGGAAATTAGGTTCGGGTCACAACCAAATTGGGTCGCGACCAGAGATTTGGAACGAATTAAGGTCATGATCAGAAGTTCCACTGTATAAGGTTCCACCATAACCATACTGTACCTTTCAAAATATATGTTAAAGATAGTACTGTATCACAGTATTACAAAAATAGGCTATCCACTATCTAAAAACTAAACAGTGCAGTGTTGGGTTTAGTTTAGTAATAATTGTAAAGTAAATTAAACTACTAATTAATGCTCTTAAGCCATTTCTAATTAAGTACCTTAATGCTTATTAATACAACAATATAGTATAGACATTGCAAAACATTGCGAGTAACAGTTGGGATCTAGAAACTTTAGTTAGACCGCATAAAATAATTTGTTCCAGTTGTAAATCAGCAGCAAAATATAAATTCTTTCACATGCAGTACATGACACCACTGTAGTGCCAAAGATATGAAGATTTCAGTGCAGTAACTCAGTGATACAATACTGTATTCTGATGGTCACCACAATACAATACTGCATAACATTATTATTAAGGGGAAGTGCTAAATTTGTAGGCAGTTATACAGTAGCTAGGGAATGGGAAGATAACAGTTTTGATCCAAGTAAGGGTACCTCCAATTCCTTGGATCAAGAGATTTCAAGCATTAGGATAAAAAATCCACAAAGAATAACTATATAGCTTGAATAAACTGATCATAGGTTAATTAACTCCCTTCGTCATCCATAACAATATAATCATCAGTATGTGATAATTAGTCTCTCAAACAGTAACTTTAAGATGTGTTTATTTTATTAGAGCAATAATAGAGCATAATGTTCACCAGAATGCACCCTACAATCACACAGTGATGGGACAATAACAGAAATTTCAGTGCCTTGAGTTTATACAATGTCTCTGTTTGTGTTATCTAATTACCAAGAATACCTTCTGTCTTTAAAGAAGTTTTTAATAAAATATAAAACTTACTGGTTTTCACTACATTTCAGGTTTTTCTAAATATCCTAGCAGTGACCTAGCTTAGTTCTACTGCAGTGATAGTAGACATTTCAAAAAAGGAAAAAACCAAGTTCCACACAGCATTGAGGTGCAAAAAGCATAAGCTCAAAATTACAGTCAGCTGCTGTGACCGGACAGAAATATCTTACGGCCAATTCACCCATGCCGTCGTCATCAATTTCATCAACTTGAGATGCCCCCCTATGGTAGCGGGGATGATCTTGAAGAGGGGAGGTGGGAGCAAGATGAGGGGGAGGGGGAGCATGGGAGGGTCCTGGAGGAAACTCATCAGCATTTTCTATTGAGCCATCCATAGTTTCACCCTCCCCTTCCTCTCTCCTCACATCATTACTACTACCACCATTCTCATCAACACTAGCTGAAGGGGGCTCCAAGGGACCCTCATGAAAGGCTGAATGAATGCTCTCAACCTGTGATCATAATATGGCATATTGTGTCAAAACAGTCTTAGGAGAATTAGTATTTAATTAAAGTTATGATTAGCATAAGACAACAACAAATTTACCTTCTATAGCCTGTTTTTTCCTTGAACCATGAACACAGTATAAGACTCTCATCAGTATTACACATAATGCTGTGTAAATTAACAGCTAAAAATATACAAAGGCACAAAAATTACATATTAACCTTTGTCCTCATTGCATTAGGTACTAGTAAAAAAAAAAACAGCACTTGCTATGGAGTGGTCAATGTAATCATTTGTGTTCATCATACAATCATGAGAAGAAAACCTGATTCAGAAAATGCAAGAAAAAGAATTTAAGCAGGATTTCAAATATAGTGTAATGGCATACTGTACCTGGAGTTTACCTGGAGAGAGTTTCGGGGGTCAACGCCCCCGCGGCCCGGTCTGTGACCAGGCCTCCTGGTGGATCAGCGCCTGATCAACCAGGCTGTTGCTGCTGGCTGCACGCAAACCAACGTACGAGCCACAGCCCGGCTGATCAGGAACTGACTTTAGGTGCTTGTCCAGTGCCAGCTTGAAGACTGCCAGGGGTCTGTTGGTAATCCCCCTTATGTGTGCTGGGAGGCAGTTGAACAGTCTCGGGCCCCTGACACTTATTGTATGGTCTCTTAACGTGCTAGTGACACCCCTGCTTTTCATTGGGGGGATGGTGCATCGTCTGCCAAGTCTTTTGCTTTCGTAGTGAGTGATTTTCGTGTGCAAGTTCGGTACTAGTCCCTCTAGGATTTTCCAGGTGTATATAATCATGTATCTCTCCCTCCTGCGTTCCAGGGAATACAGGTTTAGAAACCTCAAGCGCTCCCAGTAATTGAGGTGTTTTATCTCCGTTATGCGCGCCGTGAAAGTTCTCTGTACATTTTCTAGGTCGGCAATTTCACCTGCCTTGAAAGGTGCTGTTAGAGTGCAGCAATATTCCAGCCTAGATAGAACAAGTGACCTGAAGAGTGTCATCATGGGCTTGGCCTCCCTAGTTTTGAAGGTTCTCATTATCCATCCTGTCATTTTTCTAGCAGATGCGATTGATACAATGTTATGGTCCTTGAAGGTGAGATCCTCCGACATAATCACTCCCAGGTCTTTGACGTTGGTGTTTCGCTCTATTTTGTGGCCAGAATTTGTTTTGTACTCTGATGAAGATTTAATTTCCTCATGTTTACCATATCTGAGTAATTGAAATTTCTCATCGTTGAACTTCATATTGTTTTCTGCAGCCCACTGAAAGATTTGGTTGATGTCCGCCTGGAGCCTTGCAGTGTCTGCAATGGAAGACACTGTTATGCAGATTCGGGTGTCATCTGCAATGGAAGACACGTGCTGTGGCTGACATCCTTGTCTATGTCGGATATGAGGATGAGGAACAAGATGGGAGCTATATTGTGCCTTGTGGAACAGAGCTTTTCACCGTAGCTGCCTCGGACTTTACTCTGTTGACGACTACTCTCTGTGTTCTGTTAGTGAGGAAATTATAGATCCATCGACCGACTTTTCCTGTTATTCCTTTAGCGCGCATTTTGTGCGCTATTACGCCATGGTCACACTTGTCGAAGGCTTTTGCAAAGTCTCAACTGAGATGGCACAAACCATAATGATGAAGCCAACATCTGAACTTGGTAAGAAAATCTTTAAAACATCATTCACTGAGATGTAAAACAAAAACAAAAAAGTTGATAAGCTTGTTTATTAACTACTGGCTGTTTCCCACCTAGGCAGGGTGACCAAAAGAACAAAACACAATCACCATCACTCATTCTTAGGTGTCTCATTGATTTACCACATGTTCAACTTAATCTATACAAGAACTCCATGTAAATAAAGAGCCCTAAAATTTGGAACTCCCTTCAAGAAGATGCAAAACAGTTCCCCTTCAGCCGTCTACTTCAAAAATGTAGCTCTTAATTCTGATTAAAATCCTTCTTAGATAAATTATGTTAAAGTCTGATGTATCAATAGCAATCTTGTTGATCCAACTCATATTAGTATTTACACTGATGTTCAATCATCAATCTGTTTCAACATATGCATAAACCAATGATATGTTTTATACACAAATAACCAGCGCTTAAGAGACTGAAACTTATGATGACATTTTGGTCTGACTTAGACCAATGACTAGACCCACAGTCTCCTACATGCACACATTGTGTCTTTTTATTTGATATGTCCTACATCAGTATTCAGTATTCACCAATATAAACATTATACCAAAATGTTACACATGATCTAAAAATATCATAAATCATAAACTAAATTGTTATAGTACATAAAATGTCAAATTTCGAAAACCAACGTATTCTAGTAAACTGACCTAATTGTATAATCACTCGGTAATTATAATTTAATTTTAAGGTTGCCCAAAATACTCTGCATAACAAGGAACTTTCTATAGTTTTTATATGCCATTTAATAGTATGTCAATTGTATACTGCACTATATAGAAATAAAGTTGTTTATTTTGTTTGTTTAAGCTGTCATTTCAGAAGTGCACAGACATCACAGGTCAAATAACCTAACAAACTACAACATCCCTACTCATCCTCCAAAGTACAAATACTGTACTTCCCACCTGTAGAATTCAAGTCCAGCTAACTGGTTTCCCTGAATCCCTTCATAAATGTTGCTTTGCTCATCCTCCAACAGCACATAAAATCCTAAAAGTCCCTTGTCTCCTCTCTGATCTAACCAGCTCACAAATGACTACTAGACCTTCAAGCTTCTATCTTCTGACCTTTATCACTCCTTCCAACCCTTCCTGGAACATTTCCTATGCCATCTTCCATCTATCCAATTTACATATCTTTTTGATCACTCTCTCTCTTATCTGAAAGGAAGAATGGGTGGCTCTCATTGGCTCTAAATTGGAAAAGAAACACTATAAGAATAAGAACTATGGTATCAAAAATAGAAACTATTTAAAAAAAAAGGAAAATATATAAAGTGTATATTGAGTGTAAGCAGAAGTTTGTAAGCTCTACTTGCCATCTTTCATGTTTATGATACAAAGAAAAGACCTCCCTGGGTAGTTACTGTCTGCCATCCTACTAAATATATAGGATATGCAATACTGGTGAATAAATTTTAATATTATGAATCAACTTACTTTTCACAATGTGGAAAACACAAAACACACAATGACTGAACAGTTTTCATGTGAAAAATAATTAATAATACATTTTACAAAACAAGCATTAAATTTTAAATATAAAAGCTTCCAGTGAACAATGAATTAATGCTGGATTCTTTATACAACAAAACTGTTTCAAGCTAAGAAAAGACCTACAATGAAATCATGAATTAAAAAACTACTTTAACTCTTTGAACTTACTGTTCCATCCAGTTCCAAGTTACGTTCATTATTTTCTTGTGTTGTCATGATTACCTTCTTTTGTGGAAGAGAAGTGTTACTTGAGTGTGATAATATCTCTTTTGATGAATGTTCCACAAAAGTTGATCCTCTCCCAGAGATTTGTTCCTAGCAGCAGCAGCAGCAGCAGCAGAAAAAAAAAAAAGCATGAAAGCTTTGCACAGAGAAATATTGTGTAAATGAAGGTTGACAGCAAATACTTGCCATTCCTGAGTGTGAAGTGCCACAAAAATCAAGAGTATGGCAAAAATGCAAATAAGTAATGTAGCTGAATAGATGGTAAAAAATATGGACTAAGAAACCAGAAGTTGTAGAAGAAATAATGGGTCCAGGGACTGGGCCCAACATTTTGTTAAAAGATGTACCAGGCAGATACTACTTTAAACTTCCAAATTGTTTTTTGAAAGCACTGGTCATTTTATCATGTAATAAAAGTTAATTTTGTCAAGAGTTTATGTCAGGTGTAGGAGTCAATGAGAAACAGAATTATAAGTGAACTGACACTTTAAAAATAGAATTACATCATTGTAGTACATGACTTGCAATACTCTTCACCATAATGTTATGGCCACTTCACAGGCATGACTACAATATAAAGTGAGAAATGGAAAAAATTCTTGATGCTATGAATAAGTAATATGGTTAAAAATCTAAATATAATCAATTTAACACTGACAAGTGAATAAGGTAAAAAAAAAAATGAAAAAAATTTAACACTGTTGAAACAGTAGTATCCTAGCAAACAAGAGATTATATACAGAGAATTATTATTTTGAGGAATGCTCATAAGGTTAAATATTGTACCAACATGCCTATTATTTTCACAGGTTGTTTCATATCCTCTATTTGAAGCAGGTCATTTTACTACAGTATTATCATCATTTTTACATATGAGAATAAACAAGGGCTGATTTGATCAGTGATGCAAATAAAATAGAAGACATTAATTTGTATGTCAATGTATTCAAATATGAGTACAGCAAGTGTAGGTACACGAGTCGGGGTACAGAAACAAAACTATTAAGGACACTACACTTGTAAAAATGTACAAAGTTAATTTTCTAATTAATAACAAAATATACCTGAGCCTTGAGCTTTCCTGTTATGCATAAATAGTGCAGTGGACACCCGCCTTACGATATTAATCCGTTCCTGAGAGCTCATCGTGAGCCGAAATTATCGTAAGGCAAATTAATTTTCCCCATAAGAAATAATGGAAATCAAATTAATCTGTGCAAGACACCCAAAAGTCTGAAAAAAAAAATTTTACCACATGAAATATTAATTTTAATACACACAAACATAAGAAGACATGTGCAATTAATACTCTACTAAGAACAGAATACATGACACTTACCTTTATTGAAGATCTGGTGATGATTGATGGGATGGGAGGAGGGGAGAGTGTGGAAGTTGTTATTGTTTAAAAGGGAAATCCCCTTCCATTAGGACTTGAGGTATCAAGTCCTTTTCCGGGGTTACTTCCCTTCTTCTTTTAATGCCACTAGGACCAGCTTGAGTCACTGGACCTCTGTCGCACAACAAATCTGTCCATAGAGCTCTGTACCTCCCGTTCCTTTAAGATTTGCCTAAAATGGGCCACAACATTGTCATTGTAATAGTCACCAGCACGGCTTGCAATAGCTGTGTTAGGGTGATTTTCATCCATAAAGGTTTGCAGTTCAACCCACTTTGCACACATTTCCTTAATCTTTGAAGTAGGCACAATGGATTCCACAACTGGCATAGGCAAAACACACACACACACACACACACACACACACACACACACACACACACACACACACACACACACACACACACACACACACACACACAAAGAGACCTGGACAGGCTACAAGCCTGGTCCAGCAACTGGCTCCTTGAATTTAACCCTGCCAAATGCAAAGTCATGAAGATTGGGGAAGGGCAAAGAAGACCGCAGACACAATATAGTTTAGATGGCCAAAGACTGCAAACCTCACTCAAGGAAAAAGATCTGGGGATGAGTATAACACCGAGCATATCTCCTGAGGCGCACATCAATCAGATAACTGCTGCAGCATACGGGCGCCTGGCAAACCTACGGATAGCGTTCCGATACCTCAGTAAGGATTCGTTTAAGACTCTGTATACCATCTACGTCAGGCCCATACTGGAGTATGCAGCACCAGTTTGGAATCCACACCTAGTCAAGCACGTCAAGAAATTAGAGAAAGTGCAAAGGTGTGCAACAAGACTAGTCCCAGAGCTACGGGGATTGTCCTATGAAGAAAGGTTGAGGGAAATCGGCCTGACGACACTGGAGGACAGGAGGGTCAGGGGAGACATGATAACGACATATAAAATACTGCGCGGAATAGACGAGGTGGACAAAGACGGGATGTTCCAGAGATGGGACACAGACACAAGAGGTCACAATTGGAAGTTGAAGACTCAGATGAATCAAAGGGATGTTAGGAAGTATTTCTTCAGTCATAGAGTAGTCAGGCCATGGAATAGCCTAGAAAGTGATGTGGTGGAGGCAGGAACCATACATAGTTTTAAGGCAAGGTATGATAGAGCTCATGGGGCAGGGAGAGAGAGGACCTAGTAGCAATCAGCGAAGAGGCGGGGCCAGGAGCTGTGACTCGACCCCTGCAACCACAAATAGGTGAGTACAAATAGGTGAGCACACACACACACACACACACACACGGACAGTAACACATACTCGCACACACATAGACGGGCAACACACACACACATGAACAGGTAACACACACACACATGAACAGGTAACACACACACACATGGACAGGTGACACACACACACACACACATGAACAGGTAACACACACACATGAACAGGTAACACACACACATGGAGAGGTGACACACACATGCACATGAACAGGTACCACATACACTTGGACAGGTAACACACACACACACACACAAAGACAGGCAACACACACACACACACACACAACACACGTCCCAGACGAATTGTGTGAGGCGAGGCAAAATTTTTGCGTTCAAATGTACCGTATGGCGGATTTAACGTAACGCGATGCCATCGTAAGGCGGGGGTCCACTGTATATAGAAAAATTGCTTTTAGAGGCTGAATAGTGTAACTTAAAAAACTGAGAGGCAAATTTGTATGTTCGGGATAATTACAGAATACAGTTTGATACTGCACTTAAGAATGACTCACAGAAACTTTCAGATGATGAGTGGAGATTGCTCTCTCACCCTGTACAAGACTATGGTATGAAGCCTGCTGAAGTGGCTGACTTTCCTCTGAAATGTCAGTTACTTCATCATATTCCCAACTTGCTAATGATTCTGCCTGCAAAAATATACATCATTAGTTAGAATGATAAAGGACAATCCTACAGTGTCAGTCATACACTATTCAATGTGCACAGTAAAATTATACATCAGCAAATATCTAAAGACAGTACTGTAAGACTTTGGTATGATGGACCCAAATGGAACAAATTTTGGATAAAACAGACTAAATTTGGCAGGATAATGGCTCAGCGAGTGTGCTGCACAAAAAAGGGGAGGCTGTCCAGAAGAATTATCAATGTAGAGGACTAAATCCATGGCATCGTACAGTTATCTGGACCAAGCCCACTTCATTACAAGTTTGTCTGGTTCAGGCTATGTCCAGGACCTATCTGTTTTCATTGTTCCTCAGCAAATGGGGCTAGTGAATCAGCCCCTGCCAGTTTGTTGTCTGCAAATGCTCACATTCTATCATCTGGTCTCTAAATTTCCCTAGATATACATGTAAAGTTTTTATTGCTACTTTTAATTATTAAAGTACCCTGTACAGTGTTATTTACAATGGCCTCTAAAGAAAGTGATGGTGCCAAGAAGCAGCAAGTGAATTTGAGTGTAAAGTAGAAAGTTGAATTAATAAAGAAGGTGGAGTCTGACAGAGAGTCTGCACCATCAACATCTCCCACACCATCTTACATGTTACTGCTGGAGCTTTACAGATTCCCTGATTCAGAATAAAAGCTATTCTGAGTCACCACTAGACAACACAGGAACCTAACTGCAATTTTTCTTACCAGAAATGGTAAGAAAAATTACTGTATTCTACTCTACTATACCTTTAACTCTTATTTTCTGGTACTGTACTGTATTATAACTGTAGTTCATTACTGATATGTCTGGTAGTGCCATCAATGCACCACTAAGTTTTTTGCACTAGGCATTTATCAATGTCTGGTAGTCCAAAGATGCAGTGAACTACATCTACAGCAATCACTTTCACACAATGGATTTTCATTAAAGCAGACACCACCCTCTCCACTATTAGTACAGTACACTGAGATGTCACTGTACTGCATATCTTTAAAGATTTTAAATTTGTGTAGCCAATTATAAAATATCAAAACAAAAAAAAAGTTACAAAAAATAAACTAACTACACACTGTGCAGTTTTTGTGCATATATGTGTATGTGATAACTTATTAGAGAAATTGTCATCACAAAGAGAGCATTGTAATTCAAAGTCAATTAATCACATTCCATGAACCATATGCATAATTCATTCCAAGTCATTAATTACCCTTAAGTCACAAAGTTTAGATGAAAAGAAAAGTGCCCCTGTTATTTGTGCTTAAAAAGATGTGCCAAGTTAGGTAAATACCCTGTGAAAAGAATAGCAAGTCATTCAAAATGATTTCTTCCCTTTCCATCTTCTCCCCAAGCACAGCCCTTTTAAATCTTACTGAGTAATAGCTAATCAATTTGGCTCACTGATTATATTTTCCTGTCTATCTTGATTTAATTCCAATACAGTACATACTTAAAGTGTTATTTTTATGACAAGCTCCTACTTTGCTAAACCTCTAAAATCATTTTTGGTTGCTGTTCAGCTTGTTTGGTATAATGCATATCTGTTTATTTTAGCAGGCATTTAATGGTCCAGTGAGCTGGTGTTTTAAGCTGTGAGAGTGAAATGGCATAAATTCAGATTATTACCTAGGCTGGGCAGAGTCTTGAGGCCCTCGTTAAACTAGCGATGGCACCAACACTGGATACCTGAAATGCCATTTTTTATAATTCTACTCACAGCATACTAAAGAATTGTACCATAAAAATATTCAAGCTAAAGAATGTTGCCTTTTGCTTTATATTCTGTGACAAACATGCAAAACTTGTATAAAAGCAACAATGGCATATCTTAAAACTCTTCTTCTTACAAACTAGATATAAATGAGCAAATAAGAAAGATATGCATTAGTTATTTTAATAATTATGAGGTTATGCAACAGAAACACTTGAATTAAAATACAGTTGCATTAACCCTTTGACTGTCGCAACCCCCAATCCTGAGGTGTCTCCTGGTGTCGCACAATTTAAAAAAAAAAAATTATTTTTTCTTATGAAATGATAGAAAATCTTTTCCCGATTGTAATGACACCAAAAAAACGAAATTTGATGGAAAACTGACGGAGTTATGCTCTCGCGAAGTTAGCGACCTCGGCGATGTTTACAAATCGGCGATTTCGCCCATTTTGAGCCCTATTTTCAGCTGATTCCATTGTTCCAGTCGACCAAACTCATAGCTATTTCTTTAGAACTCCATTTTTTCTATCGATTGAGTACAAGAAACTGCCCATTTACCGATTTCAACTACCTAATAACATGGTCAGAAATTTGCAATTTGGCCAATTTCACGAAAATTAAAAAATATGACAATTTCAAAATAAGGTCCAGAATGAACAATGCAGACATTCCTGGCTCTAAAATAACATTTTCTTTGTTCATCAGTCATGTCTCCAGGCCCCTCTGATATTACTCTTGCTTTCTATTTTGAATTTTTATTCAAACAAAAAATAGAAGACTTACTATTATGCAGACTACTGCAATACTGTAATAATTGTATAAATAACATCAACCCATTCATGACTGCATATTAGAATGGCTAGTTGGACATTTATTGGACAATGACATCATTTGTTTACTTTTGAACATTGGCAAAAATCAAACATTTTCCCTACTTTGAGCTCCATTTCCAGGTTTTTTTTATAGTAATATCAATCAAAATCACCTCTATCTCTATAATATGTTTCCCATTCTATCAAATGAGACCAAGAAAATGAGAATACAACCATAAATACTATACGAAAATAGACCACAAATTCGGCATTTTAATTAAAAAAAAATGGTCGGAGTTTTTTTTTTCTCATTATGCACTGCGTGCTCCAGGATTTTTTTTATATGGTGCACACTGACCACACAGACCCATTCTCTCACATGTGGGCCTACCAGCTTTCTCCTGCTTGATTTGAAGCCGCTAGAATTTATGAGTATATATACGTCAAACACGGTACCTCGTAAGACGTATATATACGGCCGCAACAGTCAAAGGGTTAAATATAAATAAATATGTTGGATGTAATACATGAAATAATAAAGGAAACAGTAGAAAGTCTATTGCCTCATGCACAACAGCTTCTATTTACAGTACTGTACGTATATCCAATACTGTACTGTAAATTTTGTTCATGCAAAAATGTTAATATCTAAACATTGCCAGAAAAGGAAACCAACTATAATTCATAAATACTGTATATAACCTCTCATCACTTAACAACAAAGTTCTGTTCCTAAGACCACATCGGTAAACAAATTCATCACTAAGTGAGTAGCATATTACGTATAATGGTAGTGGGTTTGTGTCAACCATCTTTGATATTGTTTTAATGTCACCTTTGCACCATTTATAACATTTCTGGTATATTTTTAAATGTTTATACAGTAGCGTACTGTATACTGTACTGTAATAAACAGAATAGAAGAAATCAGCTCTAATATATGTTATTTAGGTATGCATACTGGTCAGAGAGCCCATCGTAAGTCCGAGTCATCAGTAAATGAGTATGTCACTAAGCAAGGAGAGGCTGTACACTCACAATAGTCATACAGTGCCTGAGAATGAGAAGCAATCAGCTTTGATCCATTGTGTGGTTTGCATTAAATTAATGGACTATACTTGATGCTGGTGAGGGGTTCTTGTTCCTCCCTCTTCCTTGGATTGAATTTTAATGCCTCTCATTCCACAGGTATTACATGATTCATACATGTTTACCCCTTTCCCCTTGATTAAAACAAAGCAATTCTGAACAGCATCATTCTTTAATGGATGATGCCTTGTCTGAACAGGATGGAATTTCTTAATTTAGGCTCTGGTGCAAATTTTGTTGGATTGTGTGTAATAACCAGAGAATGCATCTTCTAGCTGGTTTCAAATTTTTAGTAACATGCATTGCATAATTAGTGGCTTCCTTTTGTGTTTTACCAATGTTTTATTACATGTGTGTACTACATTATGTGTACCACATAAAGAAATAAAAACTGTATTGTACACTAAGCTTCACCTCGATTTTAGGTTAGTAAGTTTTAGTGTACCAGTTTTATTAATCAAATTGATTTCTACAGCTCTACTGGTTATCCTAGGTTAAACCTACATAATATACCTTTTATGTGCCCATAACATCTGTGCCCTCTTGAATGCTGTTAAAAGTTTGCATGTACTATACATACCCAAAGCTTAAATAACATTTACTTAAACCCTAAACACGGGCCAATTTCACTTAGGGAAAAGTCTGGATAGATTTTGGCCTCACTCTTTTTTTTTTTTTCCTTTAAAAGAAATGGAAAAAGTGAAATGCTGTACTGCTTATCATGAGATAATTTCTGAGTGCCTCATCCAGTTGGCTTCAATTATTCAATGCTGAAAACTTGATAGTGCAACTTCTGAGTGGCTTCAAATTTAATGTGGTGTTGAATTTCATGATATTGTTCTCTCCAAGAAAACATGAATACGTCTCTTTATTTTGTTTTCAAAGTTGGAGTTCCTTAGTAGAAGGTTTAAATAAGTTTTGGGGTGTGTATGTTCTAATTTGTCATTTTTATTGAATAAGTTGGGATATTAGTTTCCATGTTAGAATTTGTAAATACTGTACCTCTTCCGATTCATTTCAAATCTTTAATATTAATATATAACTATTAGAAACTTATGTTATCACATGCACTGAGGCACAATTCCTTGCATCAGGAGCCCTTAATCAGCATCACTTAAAGTGAATCTCAAAAAATTAGTCTTCTGTGTATTTACAGTACAGCTGACTAAGACTTCAGTGTTTATGGATGTGTTTGTGTTAATTAACTCAGTGTTATTGGTAATTATGGAGAACCAGTCCTTAGGTTAGGTTAGGTTAGGTAAGGTTTGTCAAGAAACAGGACAAGTGTTTCCCAATGCTGGTTTTAGTCATATGTCCCTCCACTGGAGCTTTTGGTCATCTGACCGAGGCCTTCCACTGGCTTACCAGTCCACCCCTTTAAAAATTATGTTCACAGTTATAACCATTTACTAATTAGTTTTCATAATTTGTTTCTTAAAAATGTCAAATATAAAGCAGGTTTTGTCAGGAACATTATTTTATGTTGCATAAATGTAAGAAGTGCAACTTAACCTAATGAAACTGGGCCTAACCCAAATTAACTGAATTTTTAATTTGAATTTTGAATAAACCTTAATAATTATAAAAATTTTGTCACCTCTCATTTGTATTAATGTAAAATAATGAAAAATTAAAATTTACCACTCCATAACCTGTCTTGTTTTACGTAGTGTGTAAGCATTAGGATTAGTCTGCCTGAAATGCTCAGGTATGCAACACGCAAATATATAACATTTGTATTTGTGTTTACTCCACCAGCAGTAGATTTTGGAGTAGTGCGCCTTTGTTTACATTCAATTTATCTTTGTTGACATTCACTGTAAGATAAGTTTTTGTTAAAATTATTAACCGAGAGGGTTAGTCACCCAGGATAACTCAATAAATAATAATAATAAATAATTAATAATAATAATAATAATAATAATAATAATAATTATATACAATGTTATTAGGCCTATTTCACATCAATGCCATATACTAATATATGAAAGCCCCTTGTTTGTGCCAGCAGCATTTTAGGCAAATTTATGACGTCAATTTTATCCGGGATTGCGACCACACGTAATATCCCCGGTTACTTATTTTACTGATAGGCGATACATGGACAATAGGTTTTCTTAAGAAACACGTCTAATTTTCTAGCAGTAACCGGGATAACCATAGACCTACAGTGTATTAAGTGCCTAACAATCAGCCTACGGACACTATTAGTAACATCCTTGTGTCAGATCTTTTTTTATTGATGTTTAATATTATCCCAGGATGCAACCCACAACAGTCATTAACTATACCATCTACTATTACTGTAGGTGAACAGGACATAGGTTATAGGAAACAGTGGTATTTTGCAGCCAAAGTCGATACTTGGCCTCAGTGTTGAGATGAGTGCCTATCAATCCACTGATGGTATTACATTCTTACTAATCAAAATAATTTCAGACAATAACATTTGTCCGGGGTATAGATACGAGCTTGTATATATAAAAATAAAAAAAATAATGTAGTTAATTTCTCTAATAGAACCGGAATCGCTATGTTCATCATTATTTACTTACTGGAAAATAGTGATAAACTCATATAAGAATACGATAAATACTTTATCAAGTGATCGCTCTGGTCACTCATAGATGTGATGTTGACGAAGTGATGGGAATTTGGTTCCTCCTTCACATCACAACCATACAGCAGAGGCACTACACCAGGCCACAGCACCTAATGCCTGATATGCACCAGGCCACCCACACAGGTCACCCAGAAACCAGCAACCCAGACCATGGCCATATCTACTCATGAACAGGCAACCAGACAGGCACAGAACCAGGCACCGCCACCAGAGCCATCCCCAAGTGGACCATGTGTCCACCCAATCACCAGGCCACCCCAGCACCAGGCCACCCCAAGCACCAGCGACCACACCCACACCAGGCCACCCAGAACCAGGCCACCCCAGCACCAGGCCACCCCAGAACCGGCCACCCCAGAACCAGGCCACCCAGCAACCAGGCACCCCAGCTACCAGGCCACCCACAGCTACCAGGCCACCCCAGAACAGGCCACCCCAGCACCAGGCCACCCCAGCACCAGGCCACCCCAGCACCAGGCCACCCCAGACACCAGGCACCCCAGCACCAGGCCACCCCACACCAGGCCACCCAGCACCAGGCCACCCCAGCACCAGGCCACCCAGCACCAGGCCACCCCAGCACCAGGCCACCCCAGCACCAGGCCACCCCAGCACCAGGCCACCCCAGCACCAGGCCACCCCAGCACCAGGCCACCCCAGCACCAGGCCACCCCAGCACCAGGCCACCCCAGCACCAGGCCACCCAACCCAGGCCACCCAGCACCAGGCCACCCCAGCACCAGGCCACCCCAGCACCAGGCCACCCCAGCACCAGGCCACCCAGCACCAGGCCACCCCAGCACCAGGCCACCCCAGCACCGCTGCACCAGGCCACCCCAGCACCAGGCCACCCCAGCACCAGGCCACCCCAGCACCAGGCCACCCCAGCACCGCTGCACCAGGCCACCCCAGCACCAGGCCACCCCAGCACCAGGCCACCCCAGCACCGCTGCACCAGGCCACCCCAGCACCAGGCCACCCCAGCACCAGGCCACCCCAGCACCAGGCCACCCCACACACCAGGCCACCCCAGCACCAGGCCACCGCACCAGGCCACCCAGCACCAGGCCACCCCAACACCAGGCCACCCCAGCACCAGGCACCCCATCACCAGGCCACCCCAGCACCGCTGCACCAGGCCACCCCAGCACCAGGCCACCCAGCACCAGCCACCCCACAGGCCACCCCAGCACCAGGCCACCCCAGCACCAGGCCACCCCAGCACCAGGCCACCCCAGCACCAGGCCACCCCAGCACCAGGCCACCCCAACACCAGGCCACCCCAGCACCAGGCCACCCCAGCACCAGGCCACCCCAGCACCAGGCCACCCCAGCACCAGGCCACCCCAGCACCAGGCCACCCCAGCACCAGGCCACCCCAGCACCAGGCACCACACAGCCCCCAGCACAGCCACAGGCCACCCCAGCACCAGGCCACCCCAGCACCAGGCCACCCCAGCACCAGGCCACCCCACACCAGGCCACCCCAGCACCAGCACCCTGCAACCAGGCCACCCCGCACGCACCAGGCCACCCCAGCACCAGGCCACCCCAGCACCAGGCCACCCCAGCACCAGGCACACACCCAGCACCAGGCCACCCCAGCACCAGGCCACCCCAGCACCAGGCACCCCAGCACCAGGCCACCCCAGCACCAGGCCACCCCAGCACCAGGCCACCCAACCAGCACCAGGCACCCAGCACCAGGCCACCCAGCACCAGGCCACCCCAGCACCAGGCCACCCCAGCACCAGGCCACCCCAGCACCAGGCCACCCCAGCACCTGGCCAACCCAGCACCAGGCCACCCCAGCACCAGGCCACCCCAGCACCAGGCCCAGCACCGCCACTCAGCACCAGGCCACCCAGCACCAGGCCACCCAGCACCAGGCCACCCCAGCACCAGGCACCAGCACCCCCAGCACCCGCACCAGGCCACCCAGCACCTGCACCAGGCCACCCCAGCACCGCTCACCAGGCCACCCAGCACCCTACAGGCCACCCCAGCACCGCCACCCACCAGGCCACCCCAGCACCGCTGCACCCAGGCCACACCGCACCAGGCCACCCCAGCACCAGGCCACCCCACCCACCCCAGCTACAGGCCACCCCAGCACCGCTGCACCAGGCCACCCCAGCACCAGGCCACCCCAGCACCAGGCCACCCCAGCACCAGGCCACCCCAGCTCCAGGCCACCCCAGCACCGCTGCACCAGGCCACCCCAGCACCAGGCCACCCCTGCACCAGGCCACCCCAGGCACCCCAGCACCCATGCACCAGGCCACCCAGCACCAGGCCACCCCAGCACCAGGCCACCCCAGCACCAGGCACCCCAGCACCAGGCCACCCCAGCACCAGGTACCCCAGCACCAGGCCACCCCAGCACCAGGCCACCCCAGCACCAGGCCACCCCAACACCACTCACGAATCAAAACTAAGCGCTAAATTCATCAGGGTCATACTACTGTAATTTACAGCTAGGCTTTAAATATTAAAATATTACAAAGACCCCAATGGAAATATGTCACTTTGACTTTTTTGGGGTATCTTAAGTAATTTACACATATATTAAACTGTATATGATAATTATACTCATGCGTGCCTGTACTTAAATAAACTTATTAATTCAAGGATAGCATGCCCTTATTAATAACCCTAACAACAACATAAAAACAATAACAGAAAAGCATCAACAGCTACAGTTATTTGTGCCATCTGAGCGTATTGTTACATTCGCAGGTCATCATACCAGAGGTAGAGCAAAAAACAGTATTACAAAGTTGGCGCAACACGTCTGGCGGATGGGAATGAAAATTCTGATTAATTAAATATAAAGCTTTAACTCTGATACCATGGCAACGGCTTGTTTAATGCAATACTTCTAATTCGTTTAATAAGACACTATACCTTTCTCCGATACAAGAAAAATTATAAATAAAATATAATTGTCATGTTATTAATAAAGCTGTTAAGTATAATTTCACAAGTTTGACAAATGTGGTGTAACATGTTATGTCCGAATGCTTTCCCTGACAGTTTACTTCATTAACATCATCTAGGTTTATATTCGAAGTCTTATTAAGACAATATTTCTCTCACAAACCATATTGTGACGTGTGTTAATTAAGAGCAACACTTAATCAATATGAGAAGGAAACGAAGGAAAATATTGAGTAAGAAGGTGGGTGAGGGATGGACAATGTTAGAACACCTGAGTCAAAACAGACGACCCAGGACCAGCTGGCAAAGTTACAGTAGGTGGTCGGTACTCTTCCTCTCCATTACTTCTTATGCTTCTGCTGCTAAGCTTACTTCCCTCAGCCTTTGGCAAGTATCAAACTCTCTATCACAACTTAAACTCGATCACGTTTGTAAAGTTTCTCACCAGCATTGCCCAGAATATCGGCCTTAAATTTAGTCAAGGTTAGTAACCAAAACCAACATGGTTATTATTGTAATCAAAAAGAAGCGCTAAACCTACAGGGGTCATAAGCCAATATGGTACTAGGGAAAGTAAACACAATTTTGTAGTACCTACAGTAGGTGGTCAGGCCTCAAACATCTTTTATTATATAGCAATAAAAGGGTGGAACGGATTGCCAGAACATGTCCAGGTGTCTTAGCATGAACCACCTCAGGAAGAACTGAAAGGTTCCTGATGAAGGAAGCTACAAAAGGTTCACATAGCGCTAAAGAAGCGACAGAACGGGAGGAAAGTGATTTGTGTAGTTCAAGTTCATGTGCCTATTAATCAGATTTTCTCTATTTAATGCTTGATTTATTTTATTTCTCTTGTACCACTTTTTATTGTAACCCCTTTTATGCAGTCGAGTTACTTTGTTTCTTAATTTTTTATGGTTATAATTATGACTGATCTCACTATATTTAATAGCTATGCTTTTAATACTAAGCTATTACATGGACCCCAAGTAGAAATAAATCACTTTGATTTTTACACATGTATATAAATAGTTACACAAGAAATTGTACTTACAGAATGTACTTAAGTATAGGTGCACTTGACACAAATTGTCATGAACCCCAAGGCAAATCAGATACTTTGATTTTATGGAATGATTCTAAGTAATTTAAACTCTTGTTACTAAATAAGACGACTATAACACTCTAATTGTGTGTAAAAAATATGAATAAAGTTAAGTATGTCAGGGTTGGTAGATGAATATCTTTATATATTTTAAAAATTCCATCAGTATACAGCATTTAACCCCTAAACGGTCCAAATGTATATATACATTTTTACCACTAGTGCCCCAAACGTATATATACGTTTTAATTTTCCTGCCTCCTAATTTGGCACGATTGGCCTGAGATGCCTGGTCAGCATAGAATGGGTCTTATCACTCGGTGTGCACCATATTAAAAAAATCTGGGACCACTTAGTACCTTGTGGGAGTTAGTTAGTTTAATATGTTTATTATGCACCCCATACCCATCCTGTGGGCGGTAGTCAAAAGATTACAGAGGTACATAATTGGTCCAGGGACTGGACTCCAAAGTTTTGATAGCTGAGCAAGTTACAGAGGTAATGAACTCACAATTTACAAAGGTAATGAACTCACAATTTACAAAGGTAATGAACTCCAGGTAAGTCTGGTCACAATCATGACAAGTTACAAAGGTATTTACAGATTACAGAGGTACGTAATGGGTCCAGGGACTGGGCCCCCAAAGTTTTGATAGCTGAACTAGGTACAAAGGTAATGAGCTCACAAGTTACAAAGGTAATGAATTCTGTAATGAATTCTGTGGGAGCGCCAGTTAATTTGAGTGCCAGCTCGAGCAAACAAACAGTGCGGCAAACACCAAGGATTCACTGATGTAATGTCATGTTAACACTCCCCATTTAAGAGGAAAGTGACGTTAACCCCAGGTTTAAGGTCTCTATCTCTGTCTGTCTGTCTCTATCTGTTTTTATGTCTCACAGGTACACACAAATACAGTTATATGTACTTCTTCCTCCTCCTCCTTCATTCTTCCTCTATACTCTCACGTATCCAAAACATTGCTGGGACCTATAAATACTTGTGTATATTCCTAGACAATAGCAAATGACCAAGGCAGGTGTAAATGTCCACCTGTCAATGTGTTTGTGACAATTTGAGTACAATTTCAATACCTAATATTAGTGTCAGAACAAAAATTGGTTATGAAATGCCAAGAACTACAATAAATTGTCATTATCAGAACATAGAAATTATATAAAATATAGAAATGGGAAAAAATGGTATATCGGCAACACTTCCTCAAGCGGCAGGACTCGATGTTGCCATCAGGTGAGCATTAAGTGCCAACTTTGCATCCTCATATCTCAGTAAGTACTGACCCTATTTTTTATATTTTAATCCTATAACACTTAGAAAATTTTTCTCTTTATTTCAGTGAAAAAACAAAGATTTTTTTGTTTTTCAAAATATTCGGGGCACTGGGGGAGAGAATGTATATACAGTGGACCCTCGACTAACGCTATTAATCCGTTCCTGAGAGCTCATCGTTAGTCAAAATTATTGTTAGTCTAGTTAATTTTCCCCATAAGAAATAATGGAAATCAAATTAATCCGTGTAGGACACCCCAAAGTATGGAAAAAAAAATTGTTTTTACCACATGAAATATTAATTTTAATACACACAAACTGAAGAAGACATTCACAGTTACATGACACTTACCTTTATTGAAGATCTGGTGATGATTGTTGGGATGGGAGGAGGGAAGAGTGTTGATGGTCTTAGTGTTTAGAAGGGAAATCCCCTTCCATTAGGACTTGAGTGGCAAGTCCTTTTCTGGGGTTATTTCCCTTCCCTTTAAATCTCTCAAACCAACCTTTGCTGGCCTTAAATTCACTCGCATCACCACTAGTTGCTGGCATTTTTTCATTAAATCGTCATGCAACTTCCTAGCCTTTTCACATATGATCGCTTGAGAGATGCTATCTCCTGCTATCTGTTTTTCGTTTATCCACACCAATAACAGTCTCTCAACATCTTCGAGTACTTGCGATCTCAGTTTCAAAAACATAGTTGCACCTTTGGCAAGAACAGCTTCCTTGATTGCCGTTTTCTTGGCCACAATAGTAGCAATGGTTGATTGGGGTTTTGTGTACAACCTGGCCAGCTCGGAGACACGCACTCCACTTTCATACTTAGCAATGATCTCTTTCTTCATATCCATAGTAATTCTCACGCTTTTTGCTGTAGGGTTGGCACTAGAAGATTTCTTGGGGCCCATGGTGACTTATTTTCAAGGTGCAATCACTCGGTATCTGCTGGCATGGGAAATCTGGAAAAACAGATGGGACGTGCAACTATGACCACCCTAGAAAATGCCATGCCCATATGACAACAGGAAAATGCAAACTCCCTTCCTGTAAGCTTTTTCACCCTGAACTGTGTACCTCTTCAGTACAGGAAAGACTGTACTATAACTTAAATTGCCAGGCATACCATCTAAAGGGGACAAAAAGATACAAAACATCCAGGCCATGGGAATACCTGGGTAGCCACAGCCACTCAAGAGGGAGAGGTTTTTTAGTGCCAGGAAGGAAAAAAAACTGGCAGGAAATGGCAGAAATCGTACACCAAATCCAGTCATTCCTGGAGTGGGAAACCACAGTCGATGGCCTCCACTCCAAACCAACAGATACAGATACTAATGCCGGAAAAAAAATCCCCCCCAGTACCAACAATACCACCAGTCCGATAACATTCTTCTTTGCAAATATACAGGATCTAAAGCCAGCAACAAACAACAAAATACCTTTCATCCGTGGACTGCTTGCAGAGGCAAAGGCAATATTCGCGGCTTTCACTGAGACCCACATAAAGATCACTTGGACAACGAAATATTGATCCCAGGTTACAACCTATACAGATGTGACAGAGTGAACAGGCAAAAAGGGGGGGTTGGCCTGTACATTGCAGAGTCACTTGTTTGCACAGAACTGCTAAATGCCTCAAATGATGTAGTGGAAGTTTTAGCAGTAAAGGTCGAGAACCAAAACCTAGTCATTGTGGTAGTCTACAAGCCTCCAGATGCAACATCCCAGCAATTCCAGGAACAGCTGTTAAAAATTGACCACTGTCTGGAAAACCTTCCAGCTCCTGCACCCAACATCTTGCTCCTGGGGATTTCAACTTAAGGCACCTAAAATGGAGGAATATAGCAAATAATATTGTTGCAGTAATAACACCAGGAGGCAGGTCTGATGAAAACTCACACTCATGCGAGCTTTTAAATCTCTGCACAAAATTCAATTTAAACCAGCAAATAATAGAGCCTACTAGACTGGAGAATACACTAGACCTCATCTTCACTAACAATGATGATCTGATAAGAAATGTCACCATATCAAAAACAATATACTCAGATCACAACATAATTGAGGTTCAGTCATGTATGCGCCTAGCCCCAGACCGACATAATGAGATTAGTCACGAGGGAGCATTCACCAAATTCAACTTCAATAACAAAAACATAAAGTGGGACCAAGTAAACCAAGTCCTAACCGATATAAGCTGGGAAGATATACTAAGCAACACAGACCCCAACTTATGCCTAGAACAGATTAACTCGGTGGCACTCGATGTATGCACAAGGCTTATTCCTCTAAGAAAAAGGAGGAGTAGATGTAAAACAGAAAGAGACAGGCGCTCCCTTTACAGGCGACGAAAAAGAATAACAGAGCGGCTAAAAGAGGTCAATATATCTGAAATGCGTAGGAAGACACTGGTCAGAGAAATAGCAAGCATCGAACTTAAGCTAAAAGAATCCTTTAGGAGTCAGGAATCGCGGGAAGAACTAAAAGCCATAAATGAAATCGAAAGAAACCCAAAGTATTTCTTCTCCTATGCCAAATCAAAATCGAGAACGTCCAGTATTGGGCCCCTACTTAAACAAGATGGGTCCTACACAGATGACAGCAAGGAAATGAGTGAGCTACTCAAGTCCCAATATGACTCAGTTTTTAGCAAGCCGCTAACCAGACTGAGAGTCGAAGATCAAAATGAATTTTTTATGAGAGAGCCACAAAATTTGATTAACACAAGCCTATCCGATGTTATCCTGATGCCAAATGACTTTGAATAGGCGATAACTCCTTGCACTCTGCCCCAGGGCCAGACTCATGGAACTCTGTGTTCATCAAGAACTGCAAGAAGCCCCTATCACGAGCCTTTTCCATCCTATGGAGAGGGAGCATGGACACGGGGGTCGTCCCACAGTTACTAAAAACAACAGACATAGCCCCACTCCACAAAGGGGGGCAGTAAAGCAACAGCAAAGAACTACAGACCAATAGCACTAACATCCCATATCATAAAAATCTTTGAAAGGGTCCTAAGAAGCAAGATCACCACCCATCTAGAAACCCATCAGTTACACAACCCAGGGCAACATGGGTTTAGAACAGGTCGCTCTTGTCTGTTTCAACTATTGGATCACTACGACAAGGTCCTAAATGCACTAGAAGACAAAAAGAATGCAGATGTAATACAGTGGACCCCCGCATAACGATGGCATTGCATAGCGATTTTTCCGCATAACGATTACTTTTATCGCAAAATTTTTGCCGCGCATCCGATTAAAACCCAGCAATACCGATTTTCGTCCGAGAGCGGCGTCTCAATGTTGCCCTCAGCCAGCCCTCACATGTGCCGCTCCGTCCCATTGTTTACCAGCCAGCCTCCGCGGTAACATCCAAGCATACACTCGGAATATTTCGTATTATTACAGTATTTTCGGTGCTGTTTCTGGAAAATAAGTGACCATGGGCCCCAAGAAAGCTTCAGTGCCAACCCTGTGGTAAAAAGGGTGAGAATAGTATGGAAATTAAGAAAGATTTTGAAGGGTTTGGGGCTAACCCTGAGAAAGCCTATGCCAGTTGTGGAATCCATTGTGCCTACTTCAAAGATTAAGGAAATGTGTGCAGAGTGGGTTGAACTGCAAACCTTATAGATGAAATCACCCTGACACAGCTGTTGCAAGCCGTGCTTGTGACTATTTCAATGACAATGTTATGGCCCATTTAGGAAAGTCTTGAAGGAACGGGAGGTACAGAGCTCTATGGACAGATTTGTTGTGCGACAGAGGTACAGTGACTCTCAAGCTGGTCCTAGTGGCATTAAAAGAAGAAGGGAAGTAACCCAGAAAAGGACTTGCTACCTCAAGTCCTAATGGAAGGGGATTCCCCTTCTAAACAGTAAGAAGATAATGCTCTCCCCTCCTCCCATCCCATCAATCATCACCAGATCTTCAATAAAAGTAAGTGTCATGTAATTGTGCATGCCTTTTTCAGTTTGTGTGTATTAAAATTAACATTTCATGTGGTAAAAAAAATTTTTTTCATACTTTTGGGCGTCTTGCACGGATTAATTTTATTTCCATTATTTCTTATGGGGAAAATTCATTCGCATAACGATTATTTCGCATAACGATGAGCCCTCTTGCACGGATTAAAATCGTTAACCGGGGGTCCACTGTATATACAGACTTTGCAAAAGCCTTCGACAAGTGTGACCATGGCGTAATAGCGCACAAAATACGTGCTAAAGGAATAACAGGAAAAGTCGGTCGATGGATTTATAATTTCCTCATTAACAGAACACAGAGAGTAGTCGTCAACAGAGTAAAGTCCGAGGCAGCTACGGTGAAAAGCTCTGTTCCACAAGGCACAGTACTCGCTCCCATCTTGTTCCTCATCTCATATCCGACATAGACAAGGATGTCAGCCACAGCACCGTGTCTTCCTTTGCAGATGACACCCGAATCTGCATGACAGTGTCTTCCATTGCAGACACTGCAAAGCTCCAGGCGGACATCAACCAAATCTTTCAGTGGGCTGCAGAAAACAATATGAAGTTCAACGATGAGAAATTTCAATTACTCAGATATGGTAAACATGAGGAAATTAAATCTTCATCAGAGTACAAAACAAATTCTGGCCACAAAATAGAGCGAAACACCAACGTCAAAGACCTGGGAGTGATCATGTCGGAGGATCTCACCTTCAAGGACCATAACATTGTATCAATCGCATCTGCTAGAAAAATGACAGGATGGATAATGAGAACCTTCAAAACTAGGGAGGCCAAGCCCATGATGACACTCTTCAGGTCACTTGTTCTATCTAGGCTGGAATATTGCTGCACACTAACAGCACCTTTCAAGGCAGGTGAAATTGCCGACCTAGAAAATGTACAGAGAACTTTCACGGCGCGCATAACGGAGATAAAACACCTCAATTATTGGGAGCGCTTGAGGTTCCTAAACCCGTATTCCTGGAATGCAGGAGGGAGAGATACATGATTATATACACCTGGAAAATCCTAGAGGGACTAGTACCGAACTTGCACACAAAAATCACTCACTACGAAAGCAAAAGACTTGGCAGACGATGCACTATCCCCCCAATGAAAAGCAGGGGTGTCACTAGCACGTTAAGAGACCATACAATAAGTGTCAGGGGCCCGAGACTGTTCAACTGCCTCCCAGCACACATAAGGGGGATTACCAACAGACCCCTGGCAGTCTTCAAGCTGGCACTGGACAAGCACCTAAAGTCAGTTCCGGATCAGCCGGGCTGTAGCTCGTACGTTGGTTTGCGTGCAGCCAGCAGCAACAGCCTGGTTGATCAGGCTCTGATCCGCCAGGAGGCCTGGTCACAGACCGGGCCGCGGGGGCGTTGACCCCCGGAACTCTCTCCAGGTAAACTCCAGGTAAACTGAAAAGGCTGTGATAACATGAAATGTTCCGATTGTATGCTTGGAAGCGACCGCGGTGGCTGGCTGGCTGGCTTGTAAACACTGGCCAGAAGTGGACGCGTCTGACGGAACAAATAGTATTGGTCGAGTTTTTTAGCGCTAGTCGAGGCAAAAATTTTGCGTTGAAATGTATTGCTAGTCGGATTTATCGTTAATCGATGCCATCGTTGGTCGAGGGTCCACTGTATACGTTTGGACTGTTTAGGGGTTAAACCATCAATATATAAAAGTTGAATAATTAAATTATTATTATTATAATCAAAAAGAAGTGCTAAACCACAAGGGTGAATAATTAAAATGTTCATGAACATTAACATCACTGTCATCTATTAATGAGGCTGAAGTCAGTAATGTACATAGCATTTGAATATTTGCAAATCACTTCTAGCTTTATTAGTTGGTATGAATAAAGTTATATTCCAGATTTTGTCTTAAACACAGCTAAACACTAATTGCCTGGTAGTATGTTGTGGTGATAATTTGCACTCCAAATTTCAATAATTTTTGTATACTATACAGTATTTTAATTTTTCATTAATAAAACAATCTGTCCTCATCTTGAATGTTGTAAACATTATTGATGTGTTTCATCAAATAGCTACAATACTTTTGTTTACTCATTCTTAGTCCCTGTAATTTGTTCAAGTACTATTATCACTAATTGTGGCTGATTTTCTTTGTGGCTAAAGTCTAACGTACGTATAAAAAATAATGTAATGTGTGTAAGGAAACACTTATTGATTTTTTTTATTACTGTATGTCATAAAATACTTAAATAACATGTCATGTGTGTATTTATATTTCAGGTAGAAAATACTGCAAGCATAGATTAATTTAATCTTAATATTTTAAGATTAAACTAAATTGGTATCAAAAGCTATTACGTATATCTAAAAGCTCTAAAACAAGATTATAATGGCTGCCTCAGCAGAATTGGCACAACCAATGCTTGAAAATCCCCCCATCTCCAACACGCTTCCTACTCCCAAACTTGCATGGGGAGGTGCTGGGATGGCTGGTGCTTGTGGAGCTGCTGCTTTAGTTTCATCTCAAAAAGAATCTTCTATATCGTTTCGCGATCTCATGTCAGAGGATGTTGCCAAGGACATACAGGAGAAGTGAGTAGTGGGCCTTGTGCTTCTAACAAAATATTCCTTTCCAGATTAGTTTAATATTTGCATTACTGTACTGTACCTTTAGTTATTACAGTAACATTATGTTGGATATACAGCATTATAAGTTAATGTATTTAATGTAAACTGATTGAAGAAGTACAGCATGATATTGTACTGTTGTTTGAATGCCTTTGTATTTTTTATCTTAAATATTCTTTTATGGAAAGGTTTAACAAAAAATTATTGCACCAGTACAAACAGATAAGCTGGAAGAACAGATATGAATCTATGCATGTATGTGAAACTAGAAAAGTGTGTGTATTACTCTACTGTAATAAGGTTGTTAGGTACATACTCTGAATTCTAATATACATTATCTTCATATTTTTCTTAGCATGTATTTTTTTGCACTGTCTTCCATGTATGGTAGCCAAGTTATTACAAGCATAACTTGCTGTGTGCTGCCTAGTGAACTCTGGGTCATGATTAAATTTGTCTCGCCTTTTTGTTTGGGATTTTAACCCATTGTTTGGGCCATTTTCTACTTGACACGGGCTAGGCATGGTTGTCAGTTAAGCATGTTAAGGAAACAAGCTACTTCTGGGTCTACAGATTGGAGATTTTTTTTTTTTTTTTTTTTATCTCCAGCAATTTTTTTAACTGTTTAATTTGTTTCTAAACAGCTATTGTGAATTTCAGTAGGGACAGATTGTCTAAGTAAATAACACTCTAAATATACAGTATTTGATAGATTAAGGATCAAAGATTTTCCTTCTGGAACCTTTGTGAAGTAGAGTAAATTTGATTTTTTCATTTGCATTTGTACCATCTGTAAGCTGTTAATATACTTCTAATATATGTATATACAGTGGACCCTTGACTAACAATATTAATCGGTACCCGAGAACGATTATCGTTAGTAGAGTTTTTTTAACGTTAGTCGAGGCAACATGTTAGTGTTAACATGTATCATTAGTCGAATTTAACGTTAGTCGATGCCATCGTTGGTCGAGGGTCCACTGGACTGTGATTCAAAGAATTAATCTTGTACTGAATAATTTTGTACAGTAAAACTGGTCTCTGTGCAATACACATACCCTTAATTGGCATCAGATATAAGCATATGGCATTCTGATCACCTTTTCATTATATCTATTTACAGAGAAAATGAGGCATACTGTAAGTCTTTAAGTGATGATAAAAAAGACTTAGCTAATCTAATTAATCTGAAAGAATCAGAAGACACTACAGATGACCTCATCTTGGCTCAGATGCTGCAGTATGAATATGACCGTGAATATGACCAGCAATTGAACAGAGAGGAGAGACAGTACAATGGCAATTCCAAAGGTGAGAATGGGTTTTTTGATGCCACAAGTTATGATGTGGGGTCCATGAAAGATGCAAAGAATAAGCAGTTACATTTTTACAGAACAGTTGTTCATTTTCTCTCTAACCTTTTTTTCCTTTATTAAAAATTTTATATTACCATCAGTGTTGTCCCATAGTTTAGGGGTCGTGCACCAAGGCCCGCAATTTGGGGGTCGTGCACCAAGGCCCGCAATTTGGGGGTCGTGCACCAAGGCCCGCAATTTGGGGGTCGTGCACCAAGGCCCGCAATTTGGGGGTCGTGCACCAAGGCCCGCAATTTGGGGGTCGTGCACCAAGGCCCGCAATTTGGGGTCGTGCACCAAGGCCGCAATTTGGGGGTTGTGCACCAAGGCCCGCAATTTGGGGTCGTGCACCAAGGCCCGCAATTTGGGGGTCGTGCACCAAGGCCCGCAATTTGGGGGTCGTGCACCAAGGCCCGCAATTTGGGGGTCGTGCACCAAGGCCCGCAATTTGGGGGTCGTGCACCAAGGCCCGCAATTTGGGGGTCGTGCACCAAGGCCCGCAATTTGGGGGTCGTGCACCAAGGCCCGCAATTTGGGGGTCGTGCACCAAGGCCCGCAATTTGGGGGTCGTGCACCAAGGCCCGCAATTTGGGGGTCGTGCACCAAGGCCCGCAATTTGGGGGTCGTGCACCAAGGCCCGCAATTTGGGGGTCGTGCACCAAGGCCCGCAATTTGGGGGTCGTGCACCAAGGCCCGCAATTTGGGGGTCGTGCACCAAGGCCCGCAATTTGGGGGTCGTGCACCAAGGCCCGCAATTTGGGGGTCGTGCACCAAGGCCCGCAATTTGGGGGTCGTGCACCAAGGCCCGCAATTTGGGGGTCGTGCACCAAGGCCCGCAATTTGGGGGTCGTGCACCAAGGCCCGCAATTTGGGGGTCGTGCACCAAGGCCCGCAATTTGGGGGGTCGTGCACCAAGGCCCGCAATTTGGGGGTCGTGCACCAAGGCCCGCAATTTGGGGGTCGTGCACCAAGGCCCGCAATTTGGGGGTCGTGCACCAAGGCCCGCAATTTGGGGGTCGTGCACCAAGTCCAGGAGTTAATTATGGGTTTCTGCACCAAGGATCAAAAAAAAAAAAACGTTATTGTGATAACCCTTGTAAATAATTAAATTTATTCTTGGGTTAGGCCTCCTAATTATGCAAATTTAGGGGCTGATTGTTCTCTAAATTTAACTCTTCCATTAATAGCTTATTCTAGGATATAGAAAATGGAAGTTAGTTGTTTCTGATAGTTATTGACTTAAATATACATTTACGTTAATGGGGCAAGTGATTGACAGCAAGTGTAATGAATGCCACTTTTTATCACTTCATTGATCCTCATGGGTGTCCAAAATATTGTGAAAGTATATCAACTTTTATTGAATTTTAAATCATGTACTGTATAATTTATTTTATGAGTATCATTAATAAACCTAGGTAGTAGGTTGGTAGACAGCAACCGCCCAGGGAGGTACTACCGTCCTGCCAAGTGAGTGTAAAACGAAAGCCTGTAATTGTTTTAGATGATGGTAGGATTGCTGGTGTCCTTTTTTTCTGTCTCATAAACATGCAAGATTTCAGGTACATCTTGCTACTTCTACTTACACTTAGGTCACACTACACATACATGTACAAGCGTATATATACATACCCCTCTGGGTTTTCTTCTATTTTCTTTCTAGTTCTTGTTTATTTCCTCTTATCTCCATGGGGAAGTGGAACAGAATTCTTCCTCCGTACGCCATGCGTGTTGTAAGAGGCAGCTAAAATGCCGGGAGCAAGGGGCTAGTAACCCCTTCTCCTGTATATATTACTAAATGTAAAAGGAGAAACTTTCGTTTTTCCTTTTGGGCCACCCCGCCTCGGTGGGATATGGCCGATGTGTTGAAAGAAAGATCATTAATAAAAAAATTTGTAAATAAATTATATATATCTGTAACATGTATCGGTAATATTTCTAACATTCACTACTATATGCAGTATCTGTAGCCTTCAGTATCATTTTTTATTCACTTTTCAGTGTCTGTTTCATTCAACAAATTTAAGATTTGTCCAACATGGTATGGTCCAGACAGTGATGATGAGCTTCCAGAAGTAGATGATGAAAATAGAGCCATCGACTCTTTTGAGGTTAAAAGCTGTGACTTGTTTTTTGTTTAATACTGTAATAATAAATTTAATTGTTGGTCATGATAAAACTAGTGGAAATGCCTTCTTATTCATTTTCTAGTAACCTTATTCTTCCTATAATTCAGGAGCGAGAACGTGGGGAACCAGTTATCCCCGCATGTGGTTATGTGAAACAAGGCACAAAATTTGTAACTAAACACGATCTTAAAATATGTGGAAGAAGAAATGCTGAACGGATAATGAATCTACCACCTGGTATAAATACAGGAGATGGCGGAGGATTTGATATGAATTTACCCAATAAGGTGTGTAAACAAGTAACATTTTTTTATTAGTATATTCAGTGTGTATAAAATCATCACATTGGTCTTGTAAATTACTGTATTTTCTGGCTGTCTAGATCCCCCTTCCCTTTTTTTCCGCTTAAATTGATGGGCTATGATTTGACATTTCTGTTTGTGCCATCCAAGGATACCATTACAGCACTAGTCAGATTGATAGCATTTTGTTTACTTTCAATCTGGACTAGCATTTGTTGCTGATAAAAAATTATTAATCATATTGTAGGCAACTTGTTCCTATTGTATCTGACATGGCACACTTTATACATGCTGTCCATTCCTTCACTGTTACAGTGAGAATAGGAGGTGTCTTGGTGTGGGAAGGTTCTAAGAGGGTAATGCCTGCCCAGCCTTCAATGGAAAATGGAGAGCAGTGAGTAGCTGGGCATGTAGCAGATTATTATTATAATAAAAAAGAAGTGCTAAGCCACAAGGGCTATACAGCGCTGCAGCAGAGGGCTGTGGTATAGGTAGATGCAAGTTCAATCTGTTGGTGTGTTCAATCTGTTGGTGTAGAAGGGGAGGGTTGTGGTGAGGGTAGCAAGTAGCTGGTTGTGTGTTAGAGAGGGGTGTGATGTCAGTAAACTTATAACTGAGTGATCGCACATCTATCACAATTGTGTAGAGGACAGGACTCCCTGCCTCCCAATAGACAAATGTAATTATTAAATCTACTACTCTTAACTAACTCTACAAAATACCATACATGCTAAAAATAATACAAGCAAAATATTATTTTTAACTATACTGGCCCCCTCCCACCAAGGTAGGGTGACCCAAAAATAAGAGATACATTCACCAACATTCATTCAAGAACTGCATTGCCTATAGTGCACAGACATCACAACTCAATTAACCTTCTGAATTGCAACATCCCCAACTCTCCAGAGTTTACTTCATATCTCCAGGACACAAGTTTGGCTAACCAGTTTCTCTAAACTGCTTCATAAATGTTAACTTGTTTATACTAAAACAGCATGTCAGAAAATATATGTACGTATATATATTAAAACTTAAATAAAATAATTATTAAATCCACAGCTCTTGATAAATCTCGCCCAAACAAATATGAGTTCTCTGCACTTTCATAAAATGTACATACAGAAAATATGAAAGCATTTACCATAGTAAAAAACAGAACATAGTTTTTTGCAGGGAGAGGGACTTTTTATCTCTTGAAATTTAAATGGAGAGGGGAGAGGTCTGGTCCAGTTCAATCAGATGGTCCTATGGGCTTTAACCCGTAAACGGTCCAAACGTATATATACGTTTTTTCAACATTTTAAAGTATGTAAAAAAAGTAGATCTTTTTTTTTTACATTTGAAAATGTGTAAAAAAAACTTTGATCTACTTTTTTTTTTTTTTTGTTTTATTTGAAAATATGTAAAAAAAATGTAGATTTACTTTTGGAGCACTACACGTGTGAACATAGATCTGCCTGGACCATTTACGGGTTAAAATATGGTACAGAATATACTGTCTCATTTTCACAAATCATACATCTGAAAGAAATATTTCTATTGTTTGGATCTACATATAAATTAAATATATTAATTTCAAGGTTATCCATTTTAGGTATTTAACAAACTGTACCGCTCAGCCCTGACGGACATGAGAAGAAAACATCGTGTTCATGACAAGGTACTGTTATGTTAATTATGCCTTTAAATTCTTTACAAATCTGCTTTTGTGGGCTGCTGGTTTACTATTGAAGCATTGCTAGTCTGTTGTATGTAACAACAGTCTGTTGTATGTAACAACAGTCTGTTGTATGTAACCTGGTCTTGTGTATGAGGAGCTATCAGAAAGTTTCAGATTCAAATTTTTGCTTGCTTCCTGGGTGAAATATTGTGGCAGTGTATATCACGTCTTGCAGTACACTTCCTTATGAAGTAGCTTGGTGAGTTTCAGTGCAATTTGTCATTCCATTGAGGTTAGATGGGCATGTTTTGTCATGTCAGTTGAGATTTTTTGTGTAACAATGGCATCTTTGAAAGGACAGTGACCTTGTGTGCATGTATGTATGCTTTTGTGTGTTTTGTGCTTGTTTTAGTTTGAAGCTTGGTAAAATGGCTAGTGAAACCCACAAAAAGCATCAGAAAGCATTTGGCAATGAAGCAATAAGTCAGACAGTGTTTTGAATGGCTTTCTTGAGTCAAAGCAGGACAACCGTCAGTTGAGGATGATGAACGTTAATCGTCCATCAACATTAAAAACAGACGCCAGTGTTGAAAGAGTGAGGAAGGCTATTCACGAAGATTGCCATCAGGATATCGAGGACATTGCAAGTGTTGTGGGAATTTCTTTGTCGTGTCAAAGCATTTTGACTGAAAACTTGAACATGAGGCAAATAGCTGTGAAATTTCTGACCCACTTTCTAACTCAAGACCAGAAAGACCATCACTTGGATGTTTGTTAGGGCCTCAAAAAGAGTTCAGATTGACCAAGATATTCTTTCTAAGGTGATGAAATTTGGATCTATGCCTTTGACCCAGAGACCAAGAAACAGTCTTAACAATGGAAAAAGCCCCTAATCACTCAGGCCAAAACAAAGGCATGCCATATCAAGAGCATGCTCATTTATTTTATTTTAGTCGGAATAATTCATCATGAATTTGTTCAAGCAGGGAAGACATTTAACCAAAATTTTTAAATTGAGGGTCTGAGATGTTTGAAGGAATAAATGAAAAAGGAACATTTGGCATTATGGGCTTCCAACCACTGGTTCATTCACCACGACAGTGCCCCTGCTCATGAACCAAAAACATGGCAGTCACCCCCCCATTCCCCTCCCTACTCCCCAGATCTAGCCTTCCCTGTGACTTCTTTCTTTTTCCAAAAAATAAAAATGGCACTTGAAGAGCAGCATTTTAACAGCGAAGTGACTCGAGCAGAATCACAATCCATGATAGATGCTATGAGGAAAAAATAAGTTTCAGAAATGTTTCAAGAAGTGGCAGAGGTGCTAGGATTAGTGTATGGCCTCCCAAGGAGAATACTTTAGGGGGGAGAACTTCAGCTAGGCAATTAGGTAAGTGTATATGAGTTTTTTTTTTTTTTCAGTAGTTCTGCAACTTTTTGATAGCATCTTGTACTTCATCGAAATGCTCGCATACCTGGTGGGCTAATGCAGGCCACAACCATTCTTTTATTGTCATAATTAATTTTTTTTTTTTTCAACAGGTCGGTCGTCTCCCACCGAGGCAGGGTGACCCAAAAAAGAAAGAAAATCCCCAAAAAGAAAATACTTTCATCATCATTCAACACTTTCACCACACTCGCACATTATCACTGTTTTTGCAGAGGTGCTCAGAATACAACAGTCTAGAAGCATACACATATGAAGATACACAACATATCCCTCCAAACTGCCAATATCCCAAACCCCTCCTTTAAAGTGCAGGCATTGTACTTCCCATTTCCAGGACTCAAGTCCGACTATATGAAAATAACCGGTTTCCCTGAATCCCTTCACTAAATATTACCCTGCTCACACTCCAACAGATCGTCAGGTCCCAAGTACCATTCGTCTCCATTCACTCCTATCTAACAGGCTCACGCACGCTTGCTGGAAGTCCAAGCCCCTTGCCCACAAAACCTCCTTTACCCCCTCTCTCCAACCCTTTCGAGGACGACCCCTACCCCGCCTTCCTTCCCCTATAGATTTACTATATGCTTTCCATGTCATTCTACTTTGATCCATTCTCTCTAAATGACCAAACCACCTCAACAACCCCTCTTCTGCCCTCTGACTAATACTTATATTAACTCCACACCTTTTCCTAATTTCCACACTCCGAATTTTCTGCATAATATTTACACCACACATTGCCCTTAAACAGGACATCTCCACTGCCTCCAACCGTCTCCTCGCTGCTGCATTTACCACCCAAGCTTCACACCCATATAAGAGTGTTGGTACTACTATACTTTCATACATTCCCTTCTTTGCCTCCATAGATAACGTTTTTTTGACTCCACATATACCTCAACGCACCACTCCCTTTTTTCCCTCATCAGTTCTATGATTAACCTCATCCTTCATAAATCCATCCGCCGACACGTCAAATCCCAAGTATCTGAAAACATTCACTTCTTCCATACTCCTCCTCCCCAATTTGATATCCAATTTTTCTTTATCTAAATCATTTGACACCCTCATCACCTTACTCTTTTCTATGTTCACTTTCAACTTTCTACCTTTACACACATTCCCAAACTCATCCACTAACCTTTGCAATTTTTCTTTAGAATCTCCCATAAGCACAGTATCATCAGCAAAAAGTAACTGTGTCAATTCCCATTTTGAATTTGATTCCCCAAAATTTAATCCCACCCCTCTCCCGAACACCCTAGCATTTACTTCCTTTACAACCCCATCTATAAATATATTAAACAACCATGGTGACATTACACATCCCTGTCTAAGACCTACTTTTACCGGGAAGTAGTCTCCCTCTCTTCTACACACCCTAACCTGAGCCTCACTATCCTCATAAAAACTTTACAGCATTTAATAACTTACCACCTATTCCATATACTTGCAACATCTGCCACATTGCTCCTCTATCCACTCTATCATATGCCTTTTCTAAATCCATAAATGCAATAAAAACTTCCCTACCTTTATCTAAATACTGTTCACATATATGCTTCAATGTAAACACTTGATCTACACATCCCCTACCCACTCTGAAACCTCCTTGCTCATCCGCAATCCTACATTCTGTCTTACCTTTAATTCTTTCAATTATAACCCTACCGTACACTTTTCCTGGTATACTCAGTAAGCTTATTCCTCTATAATTTTTACAATCTCTTTTGTCCCCTTTCCCTTTATATAAAGGGACTATACATGCTCTCCGCCACTCCCTAGGTACCTTCCCCTCTTTCATACATTTATTAAACAAAAGTACCAACCACTCCAACACTATATTCCCCCCTGCTTTTAACATTTCTGTCATGATCCCATTAGTTCCAGCTGCTTTACCCCCTTTCATTTTACGTAATGCCTCGCGTACCTCCCCCACACTTACATTCTGCTCTTCTTCACTCCTAAAAGATGGTATACCTCCCTGACGAGTGCATGAAATTACTGCCTCTGTTTCTTCCCTAACATTTAAAAGTTCCTCAAAATATTCTCGCCATCTACCTAATACCTCCATCTCCCCATCTACTAACTCCCCTACTCTGTTTTTAACTGACAAATCCATACTTTCCCTAGGCTTTCTTAACTTGTTTAACTCACTCCAAAATTTTTTCTTATTTTCATTAAAATTTCTTGACAGTTCCTCTCCCACTCTATCATCTGCTCTCCTTTTGCACTCTCTCACCACTCTCTTTACCTTTCTTTTACTCTCCATATACTCTGCTCTTCTTATAACACTTCTGCTTTGTAAAAACCTCTCATAAGCTACCTTTTTCTCTTTTATCACACCCTTTCATCATTCCACCAATCACTCCTCTTTCCTCCTGCCCCCACCCTCCTATAACCATAAACTTCTGCCCCACATTCTAATACTGCATTTTTAAAACTATTCCAACCCTCTTCAACCCCCCCACTACTCATCTTTGCACTAGCCCACCTTTCTGCCAATAGTCTCTTATATCTCACCCGAACTTCCTCCTCCCTTAGTTTATACACTTTCACCTCCCTCTTACTTGTTGTTGCCACCTTCCTCTTTTCCCATCTACCTCTTACTCTAACTGTAGCTACAACTAAATAATGATCCGATATATCAGTTGCCCCTCTATAAACATGTACATAAGAACATAAGAACGAAGGAACACTGCAGAAGGCCTAATGGCCCATGCGAGGCAGGTCCAAGTCTCCTACCGGCTTAAGCCAATGCACCCAACCTAGTCAGGTCAGGTCACATTGACTTAAGGGAGGAACACGGCAACCGACCTGGTAGCACAAGCTATGAGGTCCAACTCACACCCACCCACATCCACTCATGTATTTATCCAACCTATTTTTAAAGCTACACAACGTTCTGGCCTCTATAACTGTACTCGGGAGTTTGTTCCACTCATCCACAACTCTATTACCAAACCAGTACTTTCCTATATCCTTCCTGAATCTGAATTTTTCCAACTTAAAACTATTGCTGCGAGTCCTGTCTAGGCTAGATATTTTCAGCACACTATTTACATCCCCTTTATTTATTCCTGTCTTCCATTTATACACTTCAATCATATCCCCCCTAATTCTACGTCTTTCTAGAGATTGCAGATTCAGGGCCCTTAGTCTATCCTCATAGGGAAGGTTTCTGATACATGGGATCAACTTTGTCATCCTCCTTTGTACATTTTCCAGAGAATTTATGTCCATTCTGTAATACGGTGACCAAAACTGTGCAGCATAATCTAAATGAGGCCTAACCAAGGATGTATAGAGTTGAAGAACAACCTGAGGACTCCTATTATTTATGCTTCTTGATATGAAGCCAAGGATTCTATTAGCTTTATTGCGAACACTTATGCACTGTTGTCTTGGTTTCAGATTACTGCTAACCAGAACTCCTAAATCTTTTTCGCAATCCTGGAGCCTACCCATCAACCTTTTATCCACCAATACATAATCTAATAAACTACTTTCATTACGTGCTACATCATACCTTGTATATTTATTTATCCTCTTTTTCATAAAATATGTATTACTTATTACCAAATCTCTTTCTACACATAGCTCAATTAAAGGCTCCCCATTTACATTTACCCCTGGCACCCCAAATTTACCTACTATGCCCTCCATAACATTTTTACCCACTTTAGCATTGAAATCCCCAACCACCATTACTCTCACACTTGATTCAAAACTCCCCACGCATTCACTCGACATTTCCCAAAATCTCTCTCTCTCTCCTCTACACTTCTCTCTTCTCCAGGTGCATACACGCTTATTATAATCCACTTTTCACATCCAATCTTTATTTTACTCCACATAATCCTTGAATTAATACATTTATAGTCCCTCTTTTCCTGCCATAGCTTATCCTTCAACATTATTGCTACTCCTTTAGCTCTAACTCTATTTGAAACCCCTGACCTAATCCCATTTATTCCTCTTCACTGAAACTCTCCCACCCTCTTCAGCTTTGTTTCACTTAAAGCCAGGACATCCAGCTTCTTCTCATTCATAACATCCACAATCATCTCTTTCTTATCATCTGCACAACATCCACGCACATTCAGACTTCCCACTTTGACAATTTTCTTCTTATTCTTTTTAGTAATCTTTACAGGAAAAGGGGTTACTAGCCCATTGTTCCCGGCATTTTAGTTGACTTTTACAACACGCATGGCTTACGGAGGAAAGATTCTTATTCCACTTCCCCATGGATATAAAAGGAAAAGTAATAAGACCAAGAACTATTAAGATAAAATCAAAGAAAACTCAGATGAGTGTGTATAAATAAATGTGTACATGTATGTGTAGTGTGACCTAAGTGTAAGTAGAAGTAGCAAGACATACCTGTAATCTTGCATATTTATGAGACAGACAAAAGACATCAGCAATCCTACCATCATGTAAAACAATCACAGGCTTTCATTTTACACTCACTTGCCAGGACGGTAGTACCTCCCTGGGTGGTTGCTGTCTACCAACCTACTACCTACAAAATTAATGTTCATGTTTATTTCCAATATTTATGTTTAATATCCAAATACAAGTTCAGTATACAGAAGGGCCCTGCATATACAACACCTATTTTTGGCATTCCTCATTTTTGTTCACTTTGATTTGAGCTATAGGTTACTATTGCTGGTGGGTGGAACATAATGAACAGTGGCTCAATTTGAAGCCAACAAAAATGTGGATCACCGGAAAGAAGGTACTGTATATGCAGGGCCAGCTCATTAATATCATTTAAACTGTAGTTTCCAATTTACACTTAAAATTATCAAAGAATTGTATCACTTACTTGACCCAAGTTAACTGGTATTTTGTTCTGAACTAATATTTCTTATCTTCCTATTATTATAGAACTTACTTTCCTAAAGTATCTTGTTAGCAAAGAAGACCCCATGTAGCTCTGTTTGAAAAATAACTTCAGTATCCTGTATGCTGTCATGGAACCTATTCAGTATGTAACCCCCCTGCTTTCCTTATGCATGATATTGTCTACCCATCACAACTTCCCTCTTTCTGACTTGACATTTGTTTTTCTTACATCACTGTAATAGTACCATATCTTTGGCTTACTCTTCTCTCGTGTATCTTCCATACATCGTCATTTTTCCTATTGGCTACTTCAACCACTTATTATTTCTTGCATAATTATTTTCAACAGCCAGAATTTTAGTCATGTCAGTGTTCCACTCCCATAGATTAAGGTTTGAAGGAATATGTATACTGACAATTCTTTTTCACATATATATAATTATCTCTGGCTTCATAATCACTAGGAATTATATTGCTCTTCTTTATACTGTATGTAACTTTAGTCGATTCTACATTACAGGACCCTGAAACACACTGATGAACTGCAACAGAACACCTAGGCACAGTAGAAAATTAATTCTTAACAGTCTCATGCATACAGTGTCATGTACAGCATATGTTCCTGAGGACATGTTCTTGTGACCTTAGGAATATCTTTTCGATTACAGGAGTTCCACTTGCTACACATTGAACTTTTCAAATTTAAATTTTTCCCCAATGAACTTGCCATATCCCACTGAGACAGAGTGACCTAAAAAAGAAAAACTTAAGTTGTTCTTTTTTAAATTTAGTGTTGCCAGGAGAAGGGGTTACTAACCCCTTGCTCCTGGCATTTTAGCCGCCTCTTACAACACGCATGGCTTATGGAGGAAGAATTCTTTTCCACTTCCCAATGGAGAAAATTCTGTAAAGGTTTTGGCATTTTTTCTAGTAAAAGCACCTTGGGAGTAGGGGAGTGGTGAGAAAAATAACTCTCATATATGTAGTTTTTATTTTTCTTTATTCTAACCTAACCCCTTCCTCATTAATTCAGCTATTGGAGTGTATACTGTAATTGCAGTGTGTAACATGTTTAAATATATATAATTTTAAACATAGATGCTTACCTGGATTCTGTTATATCTTTAAGGTGGAGAAAGCAACGTCCGAAATGGCTCTTGACCCCAAAACTCGTCTTGTGATATTCAAGTTGGTTAACAATGCTGTCCTGGAATCTGTTAATGGTATTATAAGCACAGGAAAAGAGGCTGTTATCTTTCATGCTCAGCTTGGAGAGTAAGTAAAATAAAAAAAAATTCCAAATAGGAAGAAAATTTATTTATTCAAGCACTATCTCAGTTTCTCTTTGACTGTCCTTACACTGTAGCTCATTAAGCTGAAACACATCTTGAGTAAATGTTCTTGCTTGAGTTTTGGACAGGGTAAGGGAAGTAGTAGTTCCCTGCACTTAAAACTTGGTTAGTGATGTCATGATTCAGTAGCTAAGATTAGCAGTGATGTCTGTGCCTTTCTGGAAAGGGAGCCAGAGCCAGAGTGGGAAATTGTCAGTAAGGATAAAGGTTTTGAAAGAACTTGTTTCTTTGCTAATACAGTAGTACCTATACCTCTCGCAAAATTAAGTACTTTATAATATACTTGACATTAGATTGTAACAGTAAGCTCTCGTATAAAGCTCTTCCATATAGCAAATGTTTTTTTTTTTTTTTTTTGTAAATACAATTGAAAATGTGCATTGAAAATTGAATTGCACATGAAAAAACCTTCATAGTACATGCTGCTAGTATTCAGTCTTGGGTGTACTTTTTTCAACTGCATTTGCCAAAAAATTGCACTAGTTAGAATAACTTCATAAGAGAACTCACTTTTTTTTTAAAAACACAGCCATTTCCCACTGAGGCAGGGGTGACCCAAAAAAAATGAAAAACTTTCATCACTCACTCACTCCATCACTGTCTTGTCAGAGGTGTGCAGATAATATAACTTACTGTTTACTAAAATATTACAAACATTACAGTTTTGTAATGTTGCTACAGTTCTCTAAAACTCAGATATTTTTTAAGATGTTTTTTCCTGGAAGCTTGAGAAAAGATTACAGGTCATTTTTCTTTCTCCAGGAATGAGGATAAAACTGCTCCTGAAGATTGTGCTGTGAAGGTGTTCAAGACTACCTTGACAGACTTCAAGACACGAGAGCGTTACATAAGAGACGACTACCGGTTCAAAGACAGGATGACGAAAAACAATACTCAGAAGGTTTGTTATTTTGTGTAGCCTAATGTTTTGATAGTCATTATCTTGACTAAGATAGTGAATAATTTTTCTTAAGTTTGAAATTACATGTATATGCTTGGGAAGTGAAAGTCTATGAATGAAATTTAATGTTGGTGATTGTAAAGTTGGAAAAGTGAGTTTGAAGTGTTAGTCAAGAATGAACTGATGTTATTTTGGCAATAGTTCAACAAAGATTCCCAGTCATGATCAAGGAGATTAAGCTTTATAAGAAATTGGCAGATTTTATTAATGTGTCAGGTTGGATTAAATTGAGCTGTTGGAGTGTGAGCAGGGTAATATTTAGTGAAGGGATTCAGGGAAACTGGTTATTTTTATATAGCCGGACTCGAGTACTGGAAATGGGAGGTACAATGCCTGCACTTTAAAGGAGGGGTTTGGGATATTGGGAGTTCCTACCTTGTCTCGCACAACATATTAAACCCCTGTCAGTTTGGATTCAGGAATGATAAAAGTACAAATGATGCTATTATGCACATGCTAGAACTAATATACACTGCTCTTGAGAAGAAAGTCCCGCTGGGAATCTTCATTGATTTATGTAAAGCTTTTGATACTGTCGACCATGATTTGCTGCACATTAAATTAACACACTATGGTATAAGAGGGCACTCCCTCAACTACCTGAAGTCATACCTTAGTAACAGAAGCCAATACTGTATTTGTACACAAATGGAGCAAACTCTTCCACTCAGTCACAGTCGGTGTTCCACAAGGAAGTGTCCTTGGCCCACTCCTCTTTCTCATTTATATCAGTGACCTACCAAATGCAACACAACTACTCAGACCCATATTTTTTGGAGATGACACTACATACGTCTTCTCTCGCCCAAACCCAGTCATACTGGCCAACACTGTTAATGCCGAATTGCAGAAAATACCTACCTGGATGATGACTAATAAGCTTACCTGTTTCATTCAGTTTAGAAACAGCTGCAAATGTTCCACTTAACATAATGCTAAATGGATTACCCATCACAAGACTCAGAGAGGGAAAATTCCTAGGAATCCACCTTGACAGTAGCCTCAAATTCCAGACACATACAACAAAATTCCAAGAAAATCTATAAGACAGTAGGCATACTATCAAAGATACAGTACTTTGTTCCACAATCAGCTCTCCTTGCACCGTATCATTCACTCGTCTACCCTTATCATGACCCTTGTGCATGACGATCAACAACATTAAATCACCTAAGGCCACTAATAACCCAGCAAAAGGCTGCAGTCTGAATAACAAATTCCCACTCCTGACAACATACTCCACCAATACATTATTCAAGTCTAAAACTGCTCACCGTAAAGAACATCCATACTTGCTCATGTGCCTAATACATACATAGAACACTACACTCAAACTCCTCCTCACCAACCTTAACAGGTCACACAACCATAACACAAGACACGGATCTCTTTTTGACATACCCTGTGTCCATATCACACTGTGTAAAAACTCTATGCCCATAAAGGGCCCCAAAATTTGGAATTCATTACCAGTAAATACTAAAGTAGCCCAGTCTGAACATCAATTTAAGACTTCTCAAAAACTACTTACTCACCCTAAACTAAATACTCAGTATTTAATTCTCCCAATTACCTAAATCTTAAAACTTCAAAATGGGATGCCCAGAGTTCATACATTGATTAAAACTACCTTGTAGTACAAATTCCTACCCATAACATTACTGCTTGTAGCATTCTCATACTGTAAACTACTTTCAACAACTCAGTGTTATATTCCCATAATATAATTTCAATATTTACTATTAAAACTATTGTAATTTCAGTAAAATTACCGTGTACAATAAATAAACAAGATGTACAACTTAAACTATGTTCAATTTCTTCAGTATTAAGTAGTCTGTAAGCCATTAAATTAAGTCTGTCCATAATGCCTAGGTATGATAGTGGCTCTCTTTGCACTGCAACTTATTTTTGTAATTTCATAATCTCAATGTAATCTTGCAAGGAAATAGAAATTGATTGATTTGGAGGGGTATGTTATATATCTTTGTATATGCTTCTAAATTGTTGTATCTGGGTGCCTCTGCAAAGACAGTGATTATGTGTGAGTGAGGTGAAAGTGTTGAATGATGATGAAAGTATTTTCTTTTTGTGGATTTTCTTTCTTTTTGGGTCATCCTGCCACAGTGGGAGACAGCTGACTCGTTGAAGAAGAAGAAGAAGAAAAAACAAAACTGCATTATGAATAAGATTACATGGCTGGAAATTACACACAAATGAGCCACAGGGATATTAGGAAGTAATTTTTCAACAAAGTGGGGCATATCTAAATTTTAGGTTAGACGAGCCTGCCATTTATTTTACAAGATGGCAAGGCATATCCATTAATGTGCACAGTGGCTCAGATTTATCTCATTGCTTAGTTAAAGAAATGCCAATAAGACAATGTATTAATAAGGATTGTAAACCCCCAGTGTTCATCCAGATTTTCCATTTGTTTCAGTTTATTCGTTTATGGGCAGAAAAAGAGTACCATAATCTTCGCCGTCTTCAAAGTGCCAAAATTCCATCTCCCGAGCCAATGTTCATAAAACAGCATGTCTTGTTAATGTCATTCATTGGGTCTAATCATCAGGCAGCTCCCAAACTGAAAGAAGCATGCCTCTCCTTTTCTGATCTCTGTTTGGCTTATGATCAAGTGGTGAAGGTAAGTTCTGTAAAATACTATACAGTATATATTGTCACTAAATACACATATAATTGTGTTGTGGTATAATAGGAAAGAGGCCTTCACTACATTAACCCTTTGACTGTTTTGGTCGTATATATACGTCTTACGAGGTACCGTGTTTGACGTTTATAGATACTCTTACATTCAAGCGGCTTCAAATCAAGCAGGAGAAAGCTGGTAGGCCCACATGTGAGAGAATGGGTCTGTTTGGTCAGTGTGCACCATATAAAAAAAATCCTTGAGCACGCAGTGCATGAGAAAAAAATCCGATTTTTTTTTTTTTTTTTTTTTTTTAATTAAAATGCCGACTTTGTGGTCTATTTTCATATAGTATTTACGGTTGTATTCTCATTTTCTTGGTCTCATTTGATAGAATAGAAAACATATTATAGAAATAGAGGTGATTTTGGTTGGTTTTACTATAAAAAGAATCTGGAAATGGAGTTCAAAGTAGGGGAAATGTTTGATTTTTGCCGATGTTCAAAAGTAAACAAATGATGTCATTGTCCAATAAATGTCCAACTAGCCATTCTAATATGCAGTCATGAATGGGTTGACATTATTTGTACAACTATTACAGTATTACAGTAGTCTGCATAACAGTAAATCTATTTTTGTTTGAATAAAACTTCAAAATAGAAAGCAAGAGTAATATCAGAGGGGCCTGGAGACATGACTGATGAACAAAGAAAATGTTATTTTAGAGACAGGAATGTCTGCATTGTTCATTCTGGGCCTTATTTTGAAATTGTCATATTTTTTAATTTTTGTGAAATTGGCCAAATTGCAAATTTCTGACCACATTATTGGGTAATTGAAATTGGTAAATGGGCAGTTTCTTGTACTCAGTCAATAGAAAAAAAACAGTTCTAAAGAAATAGCTATGAGTTTGGTCGACAGGAACAATGGAATTAGCTGAAAATAGGGCTCAAAGTGGGCGAAATCGCCGATTTGTAAATATCGCCAAGGTTGCTAACTTCGCGAGAGCGTAATTCCGTCAGTTTTCCATCTCATTTCGTTTTTTTTGGTGTCATTACAATCGGGAAAAGATTCATCATTTTTTTTTTTTTTTTTTTTTTTTTTTTTTTTTTTTTTTTTTTTTTTTTTTTTTTTTTTTTTTTTTTTTTTTTTGCGCGCAACAACAGGAGACACCTCAGGATTGGGAGTTGTGACAGTCAAGGGGTTAAATAAGAGATCATTAAATGAAGTGCATAATAGTAAGCCCTTACATACATAGACCTGTAATTAGTCTAATGAGGCATTGCTGAACGCTTCTTGAAATCTAAATAAATGCGATTTTCAAATCTGTTTTTCTTAAATAATTTGAGTGTCAATAGCTTAATATATTTACATACAGGAATTTTATGAAGAGAACCAAACTATTTGCTAGTTAGGATGTTTTTGCTCTTAAGTTGTATTCACTTTCTAATGACTTTTTCACAATGTTGGCTTTTGTGCACAATTAAAATTTCAGTGATGACTAGTGTTATTGTTGTATTATGGATGAATTTGAAACCAAGCCGTTATATATAGAGACAAAAGTTATTTTGGTCCCAAACCATCGTTAGTTAGTTTAATGTTTATTATGCACCCCATACCCATCCTGTGGGTGGTAGTCAAAAGATTAGAGGCACTTAATTGGTCCAGGGACTGGACTCCAAAGTTTTGATAGCTGAGCAAGTTACAGAGGTAATGAACTCACAATTTACAAAGGTAATGAACTCCAGGTAGGTCTGGTCACAATCATGACAAGTTACAAAGGTATTTACAGATTACAGAGGTATGTAATGGGTCCAGGTACTGGGCCCCCAAAGTTTTGATAGCTGAACTAGGTACAAAGGTAATGAGCTCACACATTACAAAGGTAATGAATTCTGTAAGAATGGTTACTTACGTTTATACATGGCTACAATCATGAACAAATTATAGTGTAATGAGCAATTCGCACTTCCACACCCGGTCACAACTGGAATGAGTTATTGGTGCAAATATTGATTGTTGAGTGTCTCTCTCTCTCTCACTCTCACTTTCTCACTCTCACTTTCTCACTCTCACTTTCTCACTCTCACTTTCTCACTCTCACTTTCTCACTCTCACTCTCTCCTCTCCTCCTCACTCTCGCTCTCTCACTCTCGCTCTCTCACTCTCCTCCTCTCTCTCGCTCTCTCTCGCTCTCTCTCGCTCTCTCTCTCCTCTCTCTCGCTCTCTCTCTCGCTCTCCTCTCGCTCTCTCTCTCGCTCTCTCTCTCGCTCTCTCTCTCGCTCTCTCTCTCGCTCTCTCTCTCGCTCTCTCTCTGCTCTCTCTCTCGCTCTCTCTCTCGCTCTCTCTCTCGCTCTCTCTCTCGCTCTCTCTCGCTCTCTCTCGCTCTCTCTCGCTCTCTCTCTCTCTCTCTCCTCTCTCTCTCTCTCTCTCTCTCTCTCTCTCTCTCTCTCTCTCTCCACACACACACACACACACACACCACAAAAGTGAGTACACACACACACTACAGTTTAGTTAACCCACCACAAATAGGTGAGTACACACACACATACACACAGTTTAGTTTAATATCTTTATTATGCACCCCATACCCATCCTGTGGGCGGTAGTCAAAAGATTACAAAGGTACATAATGGGTCCAGTGACTGGACCCCAAAGTTATGATAGCTGAACTAGTTACAAAGGTAATGAAGTCCAGGTAGATCTGGCCACAATTCAAATTCAAAGTTTATTCTCTATAAGGATTACAATGCTGAGTTTACAGAAATTTGGTTATTGTTTGGTTTACATGTAGTAAATTGTGATTACAGAGTGTACCACTAGAACGCTTAGCATGGCTAGGCATTTCGGGCATACTTAGTTTTATTCTTAATTGTAAAATATTACAAATTATGAGGTAAGTTGGTATTATGGCTAAGTGACTAAATACTAGTTTGTGAGTTTAGCAATGTGAATGCTTTTGTTTTGGCACAGTACATAGTTTCAGTATTGGAGTATCACAGGATTCATTATTTTAAGACTGAGATTAATATTTCTGATTTCTGATGGCAAGTTACAGAGGTAATGAATCAGCCTCACTCCTATACATGGTTATAGTCATGAACAAATTACAAAGTAATGAACCAAACCATCGAATGAGTCATATTATAGAAAGAAGTGCTAGACCCACTAGGGTCATACAGCACTGATGAAAGTCATAGTTCCTGAAAATAGTATACAGTTGGGAAAATCTGCCTTATCACGTGGATTAAAAGCATTTTTTTTTTCCAATGACTATTTTCAGTTGGAAGTTTAGGAATACCTCTTATTATATTAATGTGCAGTCAGTTGACAGTGAATTTTAAAATTACCTTTATTTTGCTTAGGCCATGAAGACAATGTTCCATGGATGCCATTTAGTTCATGCTGACTTGAGTGAATACAACATTCTATGGCATGACAATAAATGTTGGATTATTGATGTCGGCCAGGCTGTTGAGCCCACTCACCCACGTGCTCTGCATTTCCTGTATCGTGACTGTTCTAATATCATCAAGTAAGCTTTCTAGGCAGTATCTTCTCTTGCCTAATTTACCTATTTTATTGTTTTCTTTATTACCAATTTTATGGGTTTAATTAAACATTTTGACATTTTTCTCCATGTAGCCTTGGATATTATGCCCATAACATCCAAGATGAGTGTCAGCATGCTCATTATAAATGTAGTCTACATTATATATAACCCTCTACCTACACCTTTAGTAACTGATAAATAACTTGTGTTAATTTTCTTGATATGCTCTGTATTCAGTATACTGTGTCTGTTGCTTTCATTTACTGAAACAGATGTTCCTAAACCTGCTTATATTGGCAGCAAATAAGAGAATTTGCTTCATGCAAAGAGGAGCAACTGTTTTCATTTTTATTCAGCCACTATTTTGCTGTATTTTATCTGGCTTTTTCTATAAACTTAAGCAGCTGCAACATACCTGTGACTGGTTAGGTGTGTTTTTCTATCCACAAAGCTCAATTTTAGGCCAGATTTAATAAAAACATTTTCAGGTTCTTCCATTCTAAAGGCCTTCCAGACCTGCCATCACCTCTTCAGCTGTTTGAGAAAGTCAGCAACATATCACTGCCTGGGACTGATGAGTCTGCTTCGAGAATGGTGGGTAAATGGTTGCGAATAATTCATTACCAACCTTTTAGTGAAATGTGTAATACTAAGAAGGTATAAAAACTGATCAGCCAGGCTGTGATAGCTGTTAGTCAGTAAGACACTAGTAGCAACATCCTTGTTAACCAGGTAATCAATAAGGCCATGCTTCTTGTTGCCTTCTGAGCAAGAGCTAATTTTGGTGTCTGCATTATGTGAGAATGATAATTATATCCGACAATTAGTTCAAAATAAATTTACAGTATTGCCATTTAACCACTTATATTGTGTACATTTTTTTTGAATACAGGTTAAGATCATTTTTATAGAAAAGAAAAAAAGGTGAGCTATGCAGTTGCACTATTTGCAGAAGGACTATTAAAGAAAAGGAGCTTTCCCTTGGGCAATGATAAAGAGCTTAAATAAACTCAAGATAAGTTGTAACGAATGATTATATAAATGAATCATGGGTTAAATGGTTAAAATGTTTCATATTGTGATACAGATTGAAGAATATGAGACCCACCAGGAGCTATGGCGTGAGGGTATGAGCGGTGTTAATGATCAGTTCGAGTTCCTTTGGAAAGATATACAAGCAGAAGAAAATTGGCGCAAGAGATTAAATAAGGAGGAAGATGATGAAGAGGAAGAGGAGGAGGATGAACAGGAGGAAAAAGAGCTGCCTGATAAAATATCAAAGGTAGAGTATATTTGCTATCTGCATTTCTTTTTTTTTTTTTTTTTTTTTGTAACACTTTTCCCTTGCCTCTAACGTAATGAGAATGTGTGTGCACTAAATAGTCAGTGTTTTTAAAGAGAGATGGAAGAAAATAATGAAAATTAAAAGGCCTGTTCATTAAATATAAGAGCAAGTTGAAATACGTGTATTTGATAACTTTTTATGTCCCATACCAGTGTAGTCTATGCAGATGTTTACAATTGTGCATTTACTAGTAATCATCATTTGTCAAGCTTATCAGCTTTGCCATTTCCTTCTATTTATGTTTAAATTATGTAGTCTGTTTGTATTTGATCAAAGACTGATTTGCTTATTATTCATCCCAAAACATTAGTGTGTACTGTCTTGAATCTAGTTGAATTTTTTAAATTATATTATAGCACTACTTGGTTTGTTTTTTGGTCATAATGGAGTTGAAGACCTCTCAGCTGTATAATCCTCTGGGTTTAGCGCTTCCCCCTTGATTATAATAATAATAATGAAGACCTCTCAGTGTCTCATAGGTATTGCCATTATCATGTACACAGGAATGAGCAAAAACACCGCCTAATAAGGCAAACGAACCTCACCATGAGATCAGGCTTGGAGAAAGACATGTCACACATCATTAAATTGTGAGAGTTGGTCACACACGAGGTACCAGGCATCAGTAAGAGTTATAACTGCATTTCAAATTCTTTATTTTAGTGTTTATTGATCTTGGGTGACTATTTGCTTTCAATTTTACTACTCTGAAAATTTAAAATTTATAAAAGTATCTCATGCCTAACAGTTTTGGACACACACATACAGCCTCTCCTCACTTAATGATGGGGTTCCGTTCCTAAGAACAGGTCAGTAACTGAATTGGTCGTTAAGCGAGGAGCATACTATACTTGTAGTGGGTTTGTGTGAAACCATCTTTAGATATTTTTTTAATGTCACCTTTGCACCATCTGTGACATTTCTGGTATACTTTTAAATGTTTATACAGTAGTGTATTTACTGCATACAGCTCTCCCCACTTAACGACGGAGTTCCGTTCCTAAGACCATGTTGGTAAACAAATTCTTTGCTAAGCGAGGGGCATACTATAATGATATTAGGTTTGTTTTAATGTCACCTCTGCACCATTTATAACATCTTTAGTATATTTTTAAATGTTTATACAGTAGTGTACTGTGTATTTTAATAAACAGAAAAAAGGAAATCAGCTCTAATATACATCATTTAGGTTTGCATACTAGTTGGAGAGCTGGTCCCAGTGGTCGGTAAACGAGTACATCGTTAAGTAAGGAGAGGTTGTATTAAAACTCTTTATTATTGATTCATTCCATGACTAGGTTTTGGATAAATTGAGCTTAGATTAAATTGTAAAAAAAATTCCTCACCAACAGGATGAAAAGGAACTGAAAGAACCTCTGCAGAATCAGAGCAATAATCAGCAGATGGCTATAAGATGTAATGGAGAAAAATTGCTTGAGGAAAAAAAATTTACTGATATTCCTGCGAAAGACTATTCCATAACAGAAGGAAAAGGGCCAGAAAGCAGTGCAGTTAGTACTACCAAGGTAACACAAGACCCTGTCTCTGCAGAGCAGTTGCACAGCTCAGCAGCTAGCAGATCCAGTGCTAAAAACTTTGAGAAACATGGTAAAAAGAAAAGTAAAAGCAAAAAGAATAAATAATTTATTTTTTTATGGATGCTGATTGTAACTACCTAGGCTATAAAAAAAATTGTTTTAGAAATCTATAATGTTTATTTTTTTTTAACAAATGTCATCTATTTTATAGTTGAATGTAAGAATTTGTATTCATTTATTTAATATTGTCAAGTGAATATATTACATGTATATTTTGAGCATACATTAGATGCATATAAGCAGACAGTACTGAGAAAGTACTGCTAGTTTGTTTTTGAAATTGTATATTATTTGTTTTTGCTTATATATGTATATATTTTTTTTTTTTTTTAAGGTTTCAGTGAATTAAACATTAAGTAAATCAAATGGTAAATGAAAGGATTTGAACATTTACAAATACAGTTTTTGCATTTAATATGCATTTACTAGTGTATGCAATTTAACCACTTATTCACTATACTAGTACTGTAAATACATATTGTATAAAGTATTTTACTATATTTTGTACACAATATAAAGTAATCATTGTTAAGATGCATGGAATACTTTTTTTTTGTTTCCATACTTTTAATTCTCTAGGTAGATTTATAGTGCTACTGTATAGGGGTGTGCCAAACTATCAGTATCGGCCTAAGTGAGCGTCAGTGGGTATTGGCTAATTTTGGTACCATCCCATAACTACTACTGTATATGGCTACACAAGTAAAGTTAATGAGAGCAGAATCCACTATAGCAGGAAATGTTTTCATAGCTTTTGGTTATATATCTATATCAGTATAAATGTAGGAATACAAACATGTTCCCATATTCACAAAAAAATGTTTTTTTTAATCTAAAATCTAATACAGTGGACCCCCGGTTAACGATATTTTTTCACTCCAGAAGTATGTTCAGGTGCCAGTACTGACCGAATTTGTTCCCATAAGAAATATTGTGAAGTAGATTAGTCCATTTCAGACCCCAAAATATACACGTACAAATGCACTTACATAAATACACTTACATAATTGGTCACATTCGGAGGTAATCGTTATGCGGGGGTCCACTGTACAGTGGAACCTCGGTTTTCAAATTTAATTAGTTCCAGATGTTGAATCAACAACTAAAATCAACAACAACCAAAGCAGTTTTTCCCATAAAGAATAATGTAAATAGAATTAATCCGTTCTAGACCCCAAATGACGGTGTAATAATATATTAATAATGTTCTAACTATACATAAAACAATGTATAAAATTATACGCACAGGGAAACTAAAAATGAAAATTTAACTGAAATACTGTACAGTAAATAAAAATTTAACTGCCCCTTACCTGTCAGAAGAGAGCCTAGCTACACTATGACTTCCACTTCTTTTCTTAAAATTATCAAACCAACCCTTACTAGCCTTGAAAGATTGAGTTTCAGAACTTGTTTTGGTTTCTTTTTTCAAGAGAGGTCCTTGTGCAGCTTCTTCACTTTTTCACAAATAATGGCCTCGGAAACATTATTCCCCTGTAACTGCTTTTCGTTTATCTAAATCATGATGGCTCATCTCAAAATAAAAAAACTGAACTAAAACTGCAAAATAATAAAAAAAAGTTTGCAAGGTATGTAACAAAAACTCAGATGTTTACAGCACGCAAGTTAGTGGCTATGCTGACTTGTACACCCCCCTCGACCCAGTGTCCAGTGCGCATTCCGTGAGAATGAGACCTGAGCCATTTTGTCTCATTCTGTACATGCGAAAATTTGTCTGCTGACAACCAAGAGAACATACGAAAACCAGGACATTTTTTCTCGAACACCTCGTTTGAAAACCAATTTATTCGACAAGTAATGCAATTGACAACCGAGGTTTGACTGTATGTTAATTTTAACTAAGAGATAATACTGTAGTGACCAGTTTATAATCCAAGACTGATTACAAGTTCAGTACTCTGAAGGAGGAGTGAAGATGTTAGTTTAGTTCATATGAATTGTTAGGTCTGCTTTTCTGGCAAGACCAGTGGTTGAATGAATGAGGATGAATTTTTCCTTTATTTTCTATTTTTTTTTTTTAATTATATCATGGTAGTAGATGGCCAATATAGTTAAAAAAAAAAATGACAATAAAACATAAACATGTCTTCTTCGCTCTTCTTCAAACAAACCAGCTGAATACCACCGAAGCAGGGTGGCCCAAAAAGACAAACGAAAGTTTCTCTTTTTAACTTTAGTAATATATACAGGAGAAGGGGTTGCTAGCCTCTTGCTCCTGGCATTTTAGTCTCCTCTTACGACAAGCTTACGGAGGAAGAATTTTGTTCCACTTTCCCATGGAGATAAAAGGAAATGAACAAGGAGGCAGTGGAGATGTCATGTCTGAGGGAAATGTGTGGTGTGAATATAATGCAGAGAATCCGTAGTTTGGAGATTAGGAGGAGTTGCGGGATTACCAAAACTATTATTCAGAGGGCTGAGGAGGGGTTATTGAAATGGTTTGGACATATAGAGAGGTGAAATGAAATAGAATGACTTCGAGAGTATAAATCTGTAGTGGAGGGAAGGCAGGGTAGGGGTCGGCCTAGGAAAAGTTGGAGGGAGGAGGTAAAGGAGGTTTTGTGTGTGAGGGGCTTGGACTTCCAGCAAGCGTGCATGAGTGTGTTAGATAGGAGCAAATGGAGACGAATGGTTTTTAGGACTTGACGTGCTGTTGGAGTGTAAGCAAGGTAACATTTATGAAGGGATTCAGGGAAACCAGCAGGCCAGACTTGATTCCTGGAGATGGGAAGTACAGTGCCTGCACTCTGAAGGAGGGGTGTTAATGTTGCAGTTTTATGGCTAGCGTAAGCATGCCTCTGGCAAGACAGTGATGGAGTGAATGATGATTAAAGTTTTTCTTTTTTGGGCCACCCTGCCTTGGTGGGCAACAGCCAGTGTTAATAAAAATAAATAAAAAAAATAGTAAGAAAAATAGAAGAAAACTCAGGGGGGGGGGGGTGTATATATACATGTATATGCTTGTACATGCATGTGTAGTGGGACCTAAGTATAAGTAGAAGTAGCAAGACATACCTGAAACCTTGCATGTTTATGAGAGAGAAAAAAAAACCAGTAATCCTACCATCATGTAAAATAGTTACAAGCTTCCGTTTTACACTCGCTTGGCAGGACGGTAGTACCTCCCTGGGCAGTTGCTGTTTGTCAATCTACTACCTAAGATGAACAAAAGTGTCTGCTGTAAAAAAAAAAAAAATCACAACTAACTCATATTTGAGATAATCTTTAACTAGTTGACATTTCAGTTCGTCAAAAACCAAATCATGACTTGATGATTTGTTCAGGACAACCTGAATATTGTATGAAGATCTATTACTAATTTGTGGATTAGTTTTGATAGAATTAAGTTAATAATGAAACTCTGTACAGTTATCAAATACATTTGAACAAACTAACAATATAAAATGAACCCCTAACCATAATCCTTATTTCTTCAAATATTTATCGTGCACAATTGTAAAAGTATACTCCCATACAGGTGTTCAACACTTGTATAAAAACATATCCTTTCATCTCATACTGTGCATTTGTTCAGATGTTTGTGATTGCTTACTTGGGCATTCATATACTCCTGCAATGAAGTGGAAAACTTTTATTCCTTTTGGTTGTATACAACTTTTAATTAGGGTGGCTGCTGTATTTTGTTGTGCATATTGTGTTGTATAACTAGTGTACTTAGTTACATCATCTGCACAATTTTTTTAATGGAAATTAACTTTTTGTTCTTGTCATTATGATGTCATGGAATAAATAATGGTCTAGGACAGAAAGCTAATTCATTAAGTTTTTATCACCAATTTTTGGGCTTGTGATTGTCATCATAAGTTATTTAGATAAATTTTTTTGATAATTTATTTACAGAGTAATCATGTTGGTTATTATTGTAGCATGTTATTAACCCTTTAGGGTCCGTCCCGTAGATCTACGGCTTTACGTTCAGGGTCCAAACCGTAGATCTACGCCATGAGCTCAGCTCACTCTGATAAACTGAGAGTGGTACATTTGGGCCTATATATGAGAGAATACATCTATGTGGTATGTGTGCACCACATAAAACAGATCCTGCAGCACACTGTGTATAATGAGAGAAAAAAAATGAAATCATGATTTTTCGATTAAAACAGCAACTTTGCAGTGTTTTTTCCTATGTTTTTTATAGTTGTATTTGCGATTTCTTGGTCTCATTTGATAGAATGGAAGACATATTACAGAAATAGACATGATTTTGATTGGTTTTAGCACTGGAAATGGCTTGAAACTGAGCTCAAAGTAGCAGAAATGTTAAATTTTTGCCGATATTCAAGAGTAAACAAACGACCTCACACGTCTAATACACGTCAGCTGGTGGGTCTAATATACATTCACAAATATGGTGATGATATTTATACAATTATTACAGTATTGCATAACAGTAAATCTTCTATTTTTTGGTATGAATAAAAATTCATTATGTGAATAAAAAATCAAAATGGAATTTATTTGTAAAGCCTCAAAACATAACTAATGAACAGAGGAAATGTTAGTTTAGTGCCAGGAATGCCTACATTGTTCATTCTGGACCCTATTTTGAAATTGGAATATTTTGAATTTGTGTTAAATTGGCCAAATTAACAATTTCCGATCACTTTATTTTGTAGTTGAAACAGTTGACTTGGCGATTTCTTGTGCTCAATCGATAGAATAGAAGTAATACTAGTGAAATACCTAAGAATTTGGTTGATTGGAATAATGTAATTGGCCTAAAATGGGAGTCAAAGTCGGCAAAATCGCCGATTCGTAAATATCGCTGACACATCAAAATTCGCAAGAGCATAATTTCGTCAATTTTCCACCAAATTTCGTACTTTTTGTTTTATTACCTTCACAAAAAGATTCTCTACGATTTCATAAGAAAAAAATAACAAATTTTTTTTTTGAAAATTCTTGGACACTGGTGCGTGACTCCAGATTTGGGCCTTGGACCCTGAAAGGGTTAAAAATGAGTGGTTGATGTGATAAAGCAAAGTGGTTTATTAAGGAATTTTTTCTCCAAAAATACTATACATGCATTGTCTATTAGAGTACTAATGTTCACAGATTACTAGTCACAATTACCATATTTAACCCTTTGGGGGTTTTGGACGTGCTAGTACGGCTTGCAACCCAGGGTTTTTGACGTACTAGTACACCTAAATTCTGGTGCCCTCAAATCTAATGAGAGAAAGCTGGTAGGCCTACATATGAAAGAATGGGTCTATGTGGTCAGTGTGCGCAGTATAAAAAAAATCCTGCAGCACACAGTGCGTAATGAGAAAAAAAAAAACTTTGACTGTGTTTTTGGATTAAAACTGCAACTTTGCACTGTATTTTCCTATTGTATTTATTGTTGTATTCTAGTTTTCCTGGTCTCATTTTATAGAATGGAAGACATATTACAGAAATTGAGATGATTTTGACTGGTTTTACAATGAAAAGTACCTTGAAATTGAGCTCAAAGTAGCAGAAATGTTCGATTTTTACCAAAGTTCAAAAGTAAGCAAATCATGTCAAGCGTCCAATACACATCAACTGGTGAGTCTAATATTCTTTCACACGTGCACTGATATTATTTATACCATTTCTACACTAATGCAGTAGTCTGCGTAACAGTAAATCTTCTATTTTTTTGCGAGAATAAAAATTCAAAGTGGAAAGCAAAAGAATGTAAGAGGGGCATGGGGACGTGACTAATGAACAGAGGAAATGTTATTTTAGTGCCAGGAATGCCTTTCTTGTTTATTCTGGACCCTATTCGGAAATTGGCATCTTTTGAAATTTGTGTGAAATTGGCAAAATTGCTAAATTTTGATCACTGTATTGGATAGTTGAAATTGGTAAATGGGTGGTTTCTTGTACTCATTCGATAGAAAAAATGGAGTTCTAGCGAAATAGTTATGATTTTTGTCGACTAATACACTGGAATTGGCCGATAACAGGGCTCAAAGTGGGCAAAATCGTCGATGCGTAAACATCATCGAGACAACTAACTTTGCGAGAGCCTAATTCCGTAAGTTTTCCATCAAATTTCATACTTTTGGTGTCATTATGATCGGGAAAAGATTCTCTTATCTTTTCATAAGAAAAATTTTTTTTTTTTTTTTAAATTTGGCCGACCCTGAGAACAAGTCTGAGAGGGCCTGTCGACCCTGAAAGGGTTAATAATGAGTAATGTTAAATAAAAGGATAGAAGGGAAATCAACTATGGCTCCAAATGTTGGTTTCCTAGTTCTTCCCCTTTATGCATTTGTTTTAAACTAAATTACATAATATTGTTGGATTTCCTATGCCTGATTATGTTCATTTACATTCTTTAACCCTTTGAGGGTTTTGGTCGTACTAGTACGTCTTACGCGTAGGGGTTTTTGTCGTACTAGTATGCATAAATTCTAGCGGCCTCAAATCTCACAGGAAAAGGCTGATAAGCCTAGATGTGAGAGAATGGGTCTGTGTGGTGGGTGTGCGCAGTAGGAAAAAAATCTGGCACCCAGTGGTGCATTGTGGGAATGCCATCATAGTACACAATTTCCACCGTGCCTCGCGGTAAGAAGTTCCTCACTCCTCGGCGAATTGGGACACTTTTGTTCCCCAGTGACAGTTCTAATACAGATGGAAGTGACAGTGAAGATGAGTTTCAAGGTTCTGGTGAGGTTTTGACCGAAACTAATGACCATAATATGGGTAATAGTGAGGAAAACCCAGACAACCCACAGCCTTCCACCTCTGGTGCTGGGCCATCTTGTTCACGTTCAGTTGTACCAGAATCAAAGAGGAAACTCCTATTTTCCAAAATCCCAGACTCAGATGTGAGCATTGGTGATGATAGTGATAGTGATTATGAACTACAAGCTCTTCAAACTTGTTCCAAGAATGGAGGATGAGGAGGAGGCAAGAGGAGGAGGAGGAGGCAAGAGGAGGAGGAGGAGGCAAGAGGAGGAGGAGGCAAGAGGAGGAGGAGGCAAGAGGAGGAGGAGGCAGAGGAGGAGGAGGAGGAAGAAGAGGAGGAGGAGGAGGAAGAAGAGGAGGAGGAGGAGGAAGAAGAATACGTAATGATAACAATAATACATAATAATAATAATAATACATAATAATAATAATACATAATACATAATAATAATAGGTAATAATAAATGTTCACCCATGACAGTAACAAGATAAGGGGAGATAACATCTGATAAGTGCTGACGTTTGATGAGGGTAAATGAGGGTAGAGCTGATGCCAAAAGATGAGATGAACCTCTCCCTCCCTTTGTTTTTGCTGGTATACTAACATTTCTGTCTGTCTATTTGTCTGTCAAGCTCCCTGTCTATCTGTCTATCCGTCTAGCTCTCTGTCTCAGAGAGCCACAAGACTGTGTCATCACTTTTACTCACATCTTCAAGCAGAGTATAGCACTTTGTCTGGATTTCTTGGGTTATCCTAGGTAATTTATACTATGTATACTTGTATTTATGTGTACCTGTGAGACAGAGGTAGACAGACAAATAGAAAGAGAGAGACAGATTGAAAGAGATAGAATGAGGGAGAAAGATAAACCACCATTGTGTATGACACCATGTTTCAGAGTTCCACAAGCTGCAGAACTAATAGGAATATGTTCAGTGACTGTATATTGGTATATATATTATAGAACAATAATAATAAACAATGTTTTGTATTGTTTGTTTTTGTAAACAAGTTTTGTAAACAATATATTGATAATTATGTTTGTGTGCTTATTGTGTTGTATACAACGAGTGTATATATGTACATTGCACCTTACTTTGGTCTCATAGGCCACATAAGTTATGTGAAAAAATAAAATAGTGAAAAAAACAACAAACCTTCAAATACAAGTAAACTAAAGTTTACCGGGTGAGTGGCAGTCGCCGCTGTTGCCATACGCAGCTCATTTTCTGCAAACTTCATGCATCCATATCTCCGTAAGTATTGATGGTAAATTTTTTTTGTTTATCCTATAATGTTTAGGAAAAAAAAAACTATTTTTTCATAAGAAAAAATAATTTTTTTTTTTTTTTTGAAATTTGGCCGACCCTGAGAACGAGTTTCGGAGAGGGCCTGTCGACCCTCAAAGGGTTAAATCCCCTTCTTGACTAATCCTGCAATGAAAGTGAATAATACTTTTATGCAATTATGTCCTGCATTCCCAAATTTCTGGTCTATTCCACTATACTTCAACTGGTATCTATTTGGGTAAGGTGCATATGGTTTGCTCTTCATATATGCTACACATCCTTTTTTCTTTAATGCATAATCTCTTATTGTGATTCTTACCTAGCCAGTTAGTTATTACATTAAAGGTGTATAATACTGACAAGCTGATGAATGAATGAAAGTGTTTCTTCTTTTTCAGGTTGCCCTACCTCTGTGGGAGAATGTTAGAAAAAAATGTTGATGAATAAGACATGTGGAACATCTGGATATTTTCTTTGGCAATTAGTTTTCCCTGAATGGCAGGCTCTTTCAGTCTAATACATAAGCATAAGGATGAAGACTTGTATACTAGAGCCAGAGAAGAGATGCAGCAGTAGAAGATATCATTATATAGATGATGTTAAAGCATCTCTCCTAATGCAAATACATATATTTTTCCTACCCTTGCACATTCCTGCTTCTCACCCCTCCTGTCCTTTGGTGCTGTATGACCCCTTCGGGTTTAATGCTAAACTGATTATACGTATTATTATTTTTAAAATGATAAATTTTCACTTATTTTGAACAGTGACCATGAAAGAACAAGTTTAAGCTGCCCAATACTG